TCGGTAACCATGTGAACAGTCGTGTCAATGTCAACGCGCGTTCAACGCTCTTCATGTGCACTAGCCCTTTGAGTATATTATATCATAGTCATAGAGACTTAGACTATTATATACTCAAAGACAAGTCCATTCCATACCAAATGGATCGAGAGCCGCGTGCCGACGTAGCGTATAGTGAGTGATGCAGCTCATTTATGGAACAGTATCACCATAAAACCGTGTGTACAATATATTGAAAAATATTTTGTGTTAACAATATAATATTTGAAATTGAATATGCATACATAATATTAAACGAATGAACCGTAGAGACAGCATGACTGACGGCTACCTCATGGCCAAGGATGACCCCCTTCATGCCCTACTGTCGGAGGGCGGAACACTCTTTACGATTTACGGTCAAGCACATACTTTTCGAATGCCCTCAGTATTCAATGCGATATGAAACTAAATTATTCGCAAACAAATTATCATCCATTTTTCTTTTTTAAGATTTTCATCAGTTGGAAATTTTTAAAATGTATAAAATAAATTATTATTTACATTTAAGAATCAAAAGGCAAAAATATTATACATTAATGCAAACATTTACTAAACGAAAAAGTTAATATTTTCGCTAATAGTGTTATGGCAGATAATTTATCTTAGATCCATTTTAAATAAAATATTTAGGTACATACTTATATTAAAAACACTAAAGTTGGTACTAGGTATATTAAAGATTTAAATTATCTTTAATTATGACAATCCATAGACATAACAGCATTATCATTTAATCTTATTTTTTAAATTCTGAATGGAGCGAGAAATGTCTTGGTTTTATTAGGATGTTTCTTTTTTATTCTTTTTATACCATGTACAAAAATTCTACCAGAAATCTTGCTCCGAAGTATCAAGTACATTCCCTTTTCTGAAAGGGAATTTTCCTGGGGTGGTATTTTAAGGGAGTAATTTTTTGATTTTCCCAGGGGGCTAATAAATGGGAGGACAAAAATAATGCTTTTATTCTTTTCAATTCTATATTGTAATTCAGCGAAAAATATTCGTGAAAACTTGAAATTTTCACAGAAACCTTATGTATCTTGTTAAAATGTTCAAAACATTTGAGCCATTTTTAAGCTAGGTATTAAAAATTTTAATTTTGCGAATTTTTTATTTAATATTTATTCGGTAGGTATTATATGAACAAAATGACAACTAAGCAGGAGGTTCATTATAAGTTGTACTTAGTCAACAAGGTCAATAAGAAAAAATTGAGTTTAATGTAATTTTTTTTTTTCATAAGAATTTTAATATGGAAAAAACGGAAAAATTTGAGTTAAAATCATAAATATTACAGACTTTTAAATACATATAATCGAACTCCGCTCAGAATCATTTTTCGTTAGCATAGATTAATTGTTATTTGTTGCGTTATACAGATATACATTAATAATTCTCCTCTATATCTTATTACCTTCCCAACTTCTCTCCTGTAACAATGGCCCCCCCATCGTGCAAAGTATGTCCATCTTTTTACAATTCAAGTTATAATCTGAAGATTTAAAATGAGCACTAAAAACCATTGAAGTTTTTTAGGCATGTACGATGTTTGTATTTTTTTAATTTCATTAGTCCATATTATTGCCACTTGTTCAATACTTGGAAATTGTTAAACATACCTATATTAAATAGTAAAAAGTAATGCCAATATTAAAATTAATTAAATATATAAATTGCATAAATTTACATTTACAATTTATTGATTTTACTATGCCATAACTCGTAAGCTTTTTTCCTAACTAACTTATGCATATGAATACCATCCTTTCTAAGGTTTCTACAGCAAGTTATAGAACATATAAATACTTGCTATTTTATTTTTTGAAATAATATAAATATTTTCACTTAACTGAAAAAATCATAGACAATATATTACACTATTAATAATATTGACATATTATATCATAGATTATAATTTATAATTTAATTATTATAACCTATTATTATATCCTATAATTAATATTTATTAGGAAAATGTGAACCAAAACCGCGGCATTTCTCATAGACAAATATTATGATTACCTATCATGGAAGAAAAAAGAATAGATAGACATTTGTCTGTGATTTTTTACTATATACCTATTATTATTACTATTACAATTTTGTAAAACACGTACCCTCTCCCACCAGCGGTAATAGTCTTGGTAGACACGGTATCAAAATGTATCTACTATGATAATATGACCCAATCAGAAAAGAGTGTTTCACATTTAAACATTTTTGATGACAGAAAAACCGTTAATTTTAATACAATATTTTACTTAATATTTAGTTATCTATCATTTTCTTGGGACCTGAGATAGGTACCGCGACATTTTCATAATATTTTTATATAATCATTATTAACTTGTAGGTATATTTATTGTTGATAACTTTTGATTTATTTATTTTATCAAGTACTTTTATATCATTTGATGAAATTTTGTGCATGTTTAATACGGTATCCTATTTAAGTACATTAAATTATGCGAAATCTGTCATTTACATAACTATAAAATACGGGTTTATTTATGGACTTTTAATTTTTAAAATTTATAATTAGATAATTCCCACTTAGCAAATTAACAACTGCCGAGCATCCACAGTATCCACCATAGAATCGGATCTATAACTGACAGTGTCTACCTATTTTGATAAATAAATCGAAATAATAATATTCGATATTCCTAAACAAACATCCGAAGATATCACTGAAAATGAATTCTGTAAGTATCTAACTAATGTAATGTACTATGTTAAGTTTTTTATATTATTTTGCAAAATATATTGTAATAATTCTTTCTTGGAGAGGGAACCAGAATACTCCCACCTTACCTCTAATTGTTGTATTAGACGATAAATGGGATTGTGTCTAGTGTCAGGTCGACAGCTTGTATACAATTCTGTCAGTATGAGAAGTTCTAAATATGACTGGTGAATTGCCTCATCGCGCATATTCGCGATGACAACAGGTGAGAGCAGGTATCATAATGTTTCTAGATGATATATCTTAGATAAGAGAAAATCTGGAATAAATTAATAATAGAGTTAAGAAATAGAGAGTAGCACTTGACCAAAAGGGACTATGGATAAGTAGAAATAAATCAGAGTATAAGTTTGTAGGAACAAGATAGCTAATGACAATAAGCATTTATAAGCGAGGTTCACCTTTTGACCCTAGTATATGTGAGCTGGGAGATGTAGTCAAGTTAAAGCTTAAAATGAGGTTAGTCTTATGGCTGCCTCAATATGATTTCATTATCAATACAGCAGTGTCAACGTTTCAAAATATCGAAAAATGGTAAATAGTTTAACGGTTAACAATTTGTATAGCCACTTTAAATATTACTAAGTGGTTAAAATTTTCGATTTTTGAAATTTCTGACTGCTTTTCGGGGTGCTATATGGTTCTATAGCTGTACGTCACTGTTTTTATTTACAATTTTATGTAATCATTTTATAATATGTAGCAAAGAGACCAATTATACATAGTTTATTACATGATGTATTATGCATCTTTATTTTAATTAAATATTCTATATTATTTTGTATAATGTGAAAGGAAATCTTGCATATTATTGCTGGAAATTGGAAAATGAGTATTCTGACTGCATAACATAAATTAGGTAAGGAAAGGAAAGAGAAAATATGAGAGTGGTTTTTTTAACTTTTGTTTGAACCCAAGAGCCAGACTTCAACCCTTTTATCTGTGTATTTGTTTTTGTTGTTTTTTCTATAGTCATTTAATCAACTTCATTTCATCTTGTAAAAATACTACAATGAACTTGTTTTAATAGTTCTTTCTGATGTAATGCTCTACAGAAACGATCTATAAGAGTATCTACTTTGTATTAATTGATAATAAGTTTTAAAATTATTTAAAATCTAAATATTTATGTCCATCACATATTATCTATCTAGATTTACATTTATGAATAATCATATAGGTATATATTAAGATTATTAAAGATTCATATTAAAATTACAATTGAAATGATATAATACTGAATACCTACTGAAATTTGAATTTGTATATATATTTTTTTTAGAAAGAACCATTCAAGACAACATTAAATTTAGAAGATGTTTTTTGTATAGCATGTAGATGCATTTATTTACAACCGGTCACAATGCCATGTAATCATACACTCTGCTTAGATTGTTTTAAGAACATGGTAAACATAACAGCATTTCAGTGTCCTTTGTGTCGAATGCGAATCAGTAATTGGCTTCGTAAATACAAACACAATTGGGATGCCATGGTCAATGAAAAATTATGGGAAGCTATACAACAGCAATATCCAGTGGAAATACAGAAAAGGTTAAATGATGAAGATGACGGCATTGAAGAACGTAATTGATAATAATATTAATTATTATATTATTTATATCTTAGAAATGGTCAATATTGGGATGAAAGTTAATTTTACGCTATTCAATTATTAAATCCCCTCCCACAAATACTATGCAATTCATTTTAGAATCAATTATCACATTATTATTTAATTTATATTCCTATAACATTATAAAAATTCTAACTTTTTAGCCAACTTATTATGCATAGATATCTCTTTTTATTGGTCTCCTTTAGTAGGTAGATTTTTTTTTATAAAATTTATAAATTATTGGCATTTAGGAATATACTTACTATTATACTTTATTTTTCTGGTCTGAATACTTTCTTAAGATATATTCCTTATAAAATAACTAAGTTGGTATGCACTATGTACTTATAGTTGATTAGGTTACTGTAAAGTAAACGAAAAAATATAAAATATTTATGATGGTGAGAAACCTGTTATTTCATAATTATTAGACAAAATTCTATAGGTATTATACAATGTATCATTTTCTTGAAGTTTATTTTTAAATTGAAATTTGGACATTTTATCAATAAATTATTTAATTTATGTAATAAGATTACTAAATAAAAAAAAAAATTACATTTTACAATCAGAACTATAATACAAATAAAAACAAAGTAAATTTGTACATGTTTAGGAATTGTTAGCCAAGGATTCACGCGTGTTTTAAATAAAGAAGGAGAGCTAAAAAAAGAATTTGATGCTATGAGGATGAACATTTTAAAAAATACTGAAGAAATTGAATTACAAAATATAGAACTTGCTAAACAGCTACAGGTAAATTAAGCCAAACTGATATATTCTACTATACAAGGTCTCCTACAGTATTATTTGAATGTTATATAAACTTTTTTTTTTCAATCGGATTTTGATTCAGTTGGACACATATGTAGGGAAAAATATTATTTTTATTCATCCTTTATACACTGAAAAAAATAACTTAATATTTTTACTTATCAAAATGTCCAAAATAGTCATTTTATAAAATTGGCACGAAAACAATACATTTTCAATTAAATATAAGGAATTATCTCGCTGATTGTGATTCCTAATCGCGTAACATGTTATTCTATTAACATTTTTTTTTTCTTAACACATTTCTAAAAATTAAAACTGCTGTTACTTAAAAACTATTGATCAGATATGAATATATGGTATATTAAAATTTTTAGAATAATATTTTTAACAAAATGGCTATTTTGCAAAATTCAAAAATAAATTTTAAGTTATATAACATTCAAAAAACACTGTAGAATACCTTATATAAACAATTTATAATTTTATTATGAATTAATTTTAACCTTCAATAAAAGCAAGAAGAAGAAGAAGCTGATAAAGAAATTGCTGACCGAACGCAAAATGATTCACAATTTGCATTGACTATTCAAGAACAAGTAAGAGTTATTTACTCAAATAGTTAGATATAAAAAAAAATTATTATTATTATTATGGAAAATTCAAAACAAACCCTTATCATGGTCATCCCATTTAAAATATATGGGTAAATAATTAATTTGATTTAAATTTACAATTTCCTTACTGTTCTAAACATATTTTAAAACAACCAAAGTTGTTTTAAAATATGTGTGTGCCCTATTTATGCTTCCCATGACATTTCTTTTGTTCTTCTGTAATAAGGTTAAGTTTCCCATTTAAAATATGTGACTGTAAAGCAGATATTCCTAACATGGTTCCCAACTGGTGGTCTACAAGACATTGTGCGGTGGTACACGACTAATATCTAGAAAATTTAAAAATATTTCATTTTTTCTTTGGGATGTGACAAATACCGTAAATTGTATACAGTAAACTTTAAAACTTTAAGCTTATAGATTAATTTTATCGGTATTCCCCTGAATTTAATAGTTCAAAACAATAGGTATCCGAAGTATGACCCAAAACCATCTTATTGTTTATGTACCTAATAATAACCAGGAAGATTACAAGACGACCAAAACTGTAAGGATACGTTTGAATCTTACATGCATATAGAAGAATTTTGGTTTAAAAGTAATTGTGTATTCTATGCATTGGGAAATCACATAGGGATATTTAGTGAGATTTTCAACAAATTATTTGTGCAAACAAGGATTTTCTAGACTACTCTATGTTAAAATTAAACAAATAAACCGGTTGGATGCCACTAAAGACATGCATGTAACTTGAGCAGTATTCCCTTGAGAATATCTTTGTTTAAAGGAAATACAAACCCATAAACTGCATTGAAATGTTTGTTTTATAATAGTAATTTGTGTTAAATTGTTGATAATTTTAAACTTTACTTAAAATTGATTAATTATAAACTTTATTTTAAGGAAGAACCTATAACAAATTTTATTTAATCATAATCTAAATTCTAAAAAATGTGAAAATAATTGATTCTTGTTTATAAGAGATATAAGGTATAAAATTAAGGTGGTCAGACATATCGAAAGTTCTGACTGCTTAGTAATGTCAACAAAGTTAGGAACCACTGCTGTAAAGTATATAGCTTGATTTTATCATTTTTGTGAATTTTATTTATATCAGAAATCTGCAAAAAATGTATCATATATAGTAATATTTAGTTGGTATACTTATCGAAATAATACATAGTCATGAATTATGCTGATTTTTCATAGTTATATGAAGTGTGGCTGTGCTAAACACAAAGTACCTTTATAGTTTACGATAAACATTAGAAGAAAAAACTGACTATTGATAAATTAGAGCTGTAGTTGTGTATATAGGTTGTAGGTATATTAAAGTATAAATGAGTAGCTTTTATCTTGTAGTCATGTAAAATCTTATAAACGACTATTTTATATGATTTTGTATGTTGATAAAAAGTTGTTTTGATGTCAAAATAAATAATAGATAATATATTATTATATAAAAAAAAGATTTACAAGAGTTCACAGATTAAATAGAAAACGCAGATTATATTGAGTATAGCATGTAGAGATAATCTTCAAGGAGTCAATAAACTATACATAATATTGTAATCACGTGGTAAACACGACAAGATAGCCTATAAATTATAAAAAAAAAAATATGTACAGCAATTGACCACCAACCATCAAATAATATCAATAAAATGAGAAATATTTGTTTAGGTTTCCAAAATAGCATTAAAGTTATTTATAGATAAGTGGGTATGACACTCTTTTTTATATTTTTATCTTGATTAATATATATTTTTAGTTAATATGCAATGTATTTGATGTATGACATTCATACAATTTTAAAATTGCAATACTTTAAAAATCATATCAATTTTCTGGATATTTGACTAAATTTTAGTACTCTAAGATAAAAATTAATAATTAACAAATACAAAGTGACAGCATGCCTGATGATATAAATATTCATTTTTTGATTATTTCTATACCAGATAAATTTTTCTTGTCAGCTCTTTATTCAAATATATTTAAATAAAAGAAAACCAATGTATTTTAAATAGGAAACTTTACTTTGTTACACCATAGGGCTCATATTTTTTATTTTATTTTCAAAGAAAATGAAGAGGCATCTAAGAATAAATTCCAGTCGCTCAAAATAAGAACCACATATCTTATTTATACATTAAATGGCATGAACCATACTTATGGTTTGTTTTGAACATTTCTAAATTGTTATATTTTTTTTTTATTTTTGGTTATCTGACTATTTGAGTTTATTATAATATGACGTGAATAATATTAATTTTTTTCACAGATTAACAATGAATTACAACAAGAACAAATATTATTGAATGAAGCAGATAAGCAGATTGCCAATGAAATACAAAATGTAATATTTAAGAGTAACGTTTTAGGTTAAAAAAAATATTTAATATTTTATTATTTATCAAGGTATCATTAAAATTTAGTAAATTAACGAAGATCGAATCAAATTCAAAAAGTAAAATCTCTAACAAAGTGAGTAATACAAAAAATGTTAGGACACTAAATAATGTACTTTTGCTTCTTTTGTTAACATAATATGATTTTCAGCAAAAACAACAGAAAAAAGGGCCTCTGGATAAAATGTTTAGTAAGTTATCAAATAACTTAAGATTTTAAAGTTATATTTATATTTATAACTTATATTTTTAGCCAAATTAGTTCATAACAATGCTCAAGTGCAATATAGAAACAAAGAAAACAGCTCCCCCAACTGTTCATCAAACAAAAGTAGCTGTAGTACTTCTAGTACATCTACAAGTAATCAATACTGTAACCAAAATTTGGAAATTTTTAATAATACATTTTTTATAGGTTCCAATACAAATACAAATTTGACTACAAAATTAGAAGATAGTATGAATTGTACTTGTGGAAGATTGCAAGATGTTTTAAACAATGACTTATCTGCTTGTCAGTTTTGTATTGTTCAAATTTCCTTGTTGGATAAATTGATTAACCAACAAAGAAATGATTTTCTGATGGCTAAACAATTGGAAAAACAATTAAACATGGAAGATATAAATAATTACAATTTGAGAAAAAGATCAAGTCCAACCCATAATACAAAACCAAATAAAAAATCAAAAAAGCTTTCTAATGGACAACAGACACTCCATCAAGTATTAGCAGAAAAAAATTAAAAACTTCTCTTCGTACATAAACTAATAAGATATTTAAAAGTATTTTGTTATTTCATTTCAAATATAAAATGTTTTTTATAACAATTTAAATTTAAAAGAATTCATATTATAATTTTGTATAAAGCTTATTTACATTTTCTGTTTTTTTAGTAGATTAATAAATATAGAAATATTTCGACTTGGAAATTTAGTCTGTATTTTTCTCTTCTTTTAATTCATTACCAAATTTAAATTAATATATTATACAATTGATAATTTAAATTTGAAAATGAAAATCTTAACAGCATAGAAATATAATTTTTAATATAATAAAACAGTAAACTATTTAATTGAAGACAAAAAGGAAGGCTTGTGATAAATAAATTTATACAATGGTGCATTTACAATAAAATTATCGTTCTTCCAGAATTAATGTTTCTTGTGGATAGAGATTTAGTTCTTTCAATGTTTGAGTTACACCTAATGTCGTTAACTATAAACATAATAGGACAATACATAAGTATAATATAAATAAAAATAAAACCATAATTTTACTTACATCTCTTCTTGGCCAACTAGATATTACTTTGAACTCATCTTGACTGAAGCCATTCACATATAGGTAGTCAAATAATACCTAAAGCATAAATATATCATGTTTTAAATTGAAGTATGTTGGTTTAACTTTCATGACAGATAAATAGAATCTATAGTTTAGTACTCCATTTTATACTCATTAGGGAATTCAAATCTGACTACTGGAACCACTTAAGAAAACAATTTGTTGAACATTTTTAGATGTTATAATCAAATTTGCTATTTTCTTTTTTAAGTAAACAACATAAATGTATTTTTGTGTTTTATTTATATCCTTGTATATTTTAATTTGTAAACCTAGTTATGCTTAATTGTCTAGTCTACTAGTTTATAGTATCAGTGTGATGCCTGACATGAAAAGAAAAAAATATTTTTAAAGATCCAATATTTGTACAGTTTTCAATTATAATTAAATAGTTTTATAATTTTACTTGTAAATTCTCTGATGCAAGAAATCTTCGTTCTAAAAATTTTCCCAAAGGAAGTCTAAATCTGATTTTTGCTACTTGATCACCAGGATCTGGTTCAGCTGGAAGAGATGCTACAATACGTTGTCGAGTGGCCTGTACAAATAGTTAATTACGTTATTTAAGATTATACATTTACACATCATACTATACCTCTTTTTCTGCAGCTGCCTGTCTTTCTTGATTTTCAATTTGAGATCGAATGGCCATATCTTCCATTTCTTGCATTTTTCTTGCTTCTTCTTTGGCTCTGTAATATTTGTTTAGATAATTATATTTAAATCTTATTAAGAATGATTAATTTGATAATACTCAAAAACAAAAAATATATATTAATGTAAATAATAAACTGAACTAAAATTAATTAATTTAAAATATATACCGATCAATAGCCAATGACTGTTGGTAGGCTTCATCTTGTTCTACTTTAATCATCTCTCTTACATTTCGTTCTCCTTCTTCTTTTATTTCTACTTGTTGTTGTATAGAAAACATTTCTTGAGAATTTATAAGGCTTGAAAGTAATTCACTTATATTACAATCTCCTGTAATATTTTACATTTAGTTTACATAGTAATAATAAAATACATTATATTTGTGCATGAAATATTACCATTTATAACTGATAATATTTCTGTGTTTGACCGATTTCGTGTAATCAACACTAGAGCAGGTAGCCTATTTATATCTATAGCTCTTAAAGTAACTTCAGCCATTGTACCCAATGCCTGGGAAGCTGATTGCAATAATCTAAAAATATAATATTTTATATTGATATAATAACCATTAAATGTTTAAACATTTACCTATTTCTGTTAGCTGCATGTGTCATATCCCATCCCCATACGATAAAATTTGCATTCAGATATTGTACAACTGATTCAAAACATAATAACTGTGTGCAAAACACATTTGACAACACACTGCGATCATGATGTAAGTATAGAGCTAATAGACGTTTCTAAAATAAAAAGAAAACAATTAAAATATAATTAATCTAATGTAACTTCAAGTCATAAAATATTTATTATACCCCATTTTTTACTTGAGAAAAATTTTAGAGATAAAGTTCTAAGAATTTTTACTACACTTGAATAGCTTCAATAATAGACTTTATAACTTGAAGTAACACAAACTAAATATATAATATATAAAATAAATCTTAGCCATAAAGAATTTTCATATTGGTTTGTATGCTATAAATGAAGGATCATGTAAGCATTTTTTTTTATTTACAAATAAAAAATTATACTAACATCTTTAGCTGGTTTAAAACATGCAATTTTGATAGCTTGATCAAGTGTCCCCAAAAAGAATTCAGGTCGTAAATCTCCATAACGATTCTGAAATTCTTCAATGAATTGAATGGCACCAGCAAGTTCACCATCAATATCTTCAGAAACTAAATCATTTTAAAATACATTTAATATGTATGATAAAATAAATTGTATATCAGAATAACTTAAAAAATTAATTAAATTGAGACATTTAAAAGATTGTCAAAACTTTAGTTTTAAACAACAATAATAACTTAGAAAACTATACATTCAAAAAAACAGTTATGGTTTAGATGTTTGTGCAATAGTTTGCCTATATTAAAAAGTATAAAATGTAATACTTCATTAATAGTCTATAATCAGACTTACTTAATGGACGGATTCGAGTAGTTATCTCAGTGTCCACGAACATAGCATTATCGTCATCATCAGATAGTGACTCTGCTGCATCCTCAAATGGATCTTCATCAGAAGATGATGATGATGCAGAAGAAGATGAAGTAGAAGAAGAAGGCATTGGAGAATCACTTGTTTCCATATCAACAGCAGACTATCCAGAAAAATAATAAACATGTTAAAACTATAAAATATGCTCTAAAAATAAAAATGTATAAAATCATTAAATTTGTTCACACAGAATCATGATAGATTATGATACACATTTTAGTATTAACTAACTTTTTTTTGAACAAATAATACAAAAAAAACTATTTCAATAAAAATAACAATATGAACCAAATTTAAGAGACCAAAACGTGAAGTTTTTTTTTTTTGCTCAAAAATGTCATTTCAGGTAAAGCTCATATTTTGTAGATTAAACTGATTTTAATTTTTTTTTTTAATTGGATGGAAGAATACTTTTCAAAGAGTGCACTGGACTTATATTTTAAAATTATACTTCTATATGCTATTATTAGAATTTGGACGGTTACATAATCATAATTCAATGCATCCGTAGAAGCTCTTTAACAGACAAAAATATTCTACATCAGATCATTTTGAAAGGCACAGGTGTTTTTCTTAGGGCTTGAAAACATAATTTAATTTTTAGAATATTTCTCGAATTTATTTGTTATAACACTATAAAAATATTTTCAAGCTCTGGTTTTTCCTCTAAAGTATGTTATGAACCAAAAAACAAGTCATACATAAGCTAAGGACCGTTGATTTTAAATACTAATAATTTGTTATTAACAATTTGTAATTAACAATTTGTAAAAAAAAACCACAAGTAGAACTCTTAAAACATTTTAAAATCGTACAGAAATTATAAATCTGTCGAGGTTCTGTCTTAAATTATCTGTGTAGTTAAATTCATATTTAAACAAATAAATAAAATAATATGCTTACATTTAATCTAGTATTATATGTTCTCCTAGTATGTCTAAGTACTGAATTTGATGGTTTTAATTTAAAATCATGAACTGGAAAATTAATATGAGATTCATCCAAAGTTGTGCTTGAAGTTACAAAATGTGGCCATCCTAACCATTGTTGATTATTGATAGGTAATTTTGTCATGTTTGCAATAACATCTTTTACTTCTGCGACAGTCTGATAAGATGGAAATGACAATTTTAAAACTTCATATTTAGTTAAACTTGTAGCTTCTATTGTAATATTTAGAGTGAATATTCTGGGGTTAGACCTTTGGAATAAATGTAAGACATTAAAATGTTATGCTAAAATAGTATAATTAAAATAATAATAATACCTTCCATTCTGATCTTGATTTGAAGTCATATGACCAGTAGTAAGATACAGTTTAAAATGATCTGGAAAATTAAATTTGGAAAATGTATCATTATTAAGGGGGTATTTATTGTCAGGCCATCCGCTTAAAATTTGTTGACAACATGGAATCCCACATTGAGCCATGATCAAGGTTTTTAAATCATCTAAATGTAAAATAACAATCACAATATTAGTAATTTATTTTGATTCAAAATTACAATTAGTAAAAATATAGTTACATAAACTTAATAAGTATTAATTTGTAATAGTTATACCTGAAGTGTGAAATAAAACATTCAAAGATAAACAAAAAAAACTAATATTAGTCATAGATAGGTTACTGTTATAAGTGGGAAGTCGGAAAGGTAGGATAAAGGGTATTATATGCTAAATGTAATGATAAATTATTCCAATCAAAAAGTAATATTGAGTAAAAATAAAAGAAATATACAACAAAAAATTTGGTTTAAAACATATAAGGTAGGATATATCAATTGTATGGAGTGTCAAAATAAATAAAACAATTTAGAATTCTTTTAATATTTAAATATTAGTCTACATAAAAATATTAATTTAACACTGTGTGTAACTACCTAATAAATAATACATAATTACCAACAGTTGCCTTGTTGTTTACTCTTAATGTAGCGATAATATGGCCATTTTGTTCAAACTCAATATTTAAAATACGTTGAGATTCATCTGAAGTTGACGGAGGCACAACAAGCTCGGTGAAATCTTCTGCGAGTGATATGTTTTGTATATTTGATTGTGTACTATGACCTTCTGATGGTAACTGTTGAGTATGTTGTGGTGTGACATGATGAACGGCAGCCTGAAAAGACAATAATAGAAGTATTAGGTAGAGCAAAAAATAATATTGTAATATAAATGGTTAATATTAAAATAAATAGTAAATACCAATAAATCCCAATTAAAATTGGATAAATGCATCAGCGCTTCACCGGCATTATCAATACCAGTGATGGCCTGGAAAACAAAAAGACAAATTAATAATCCCACAAGACTTTCCAATAACAATAATCCTTATTCCGGAAAACTTAACATCGACGACGAAAATACTTTACCTGAAAGTCGGCTATCATTCCGTTTCTGTCGTCATTGTGATCGTCCATAATAAATTAACAGTGGTGCGGTGATTTCAAAAAAAGGTTTTAATTAATCGACATGTTTATTTTCTGACTGACTTTGTTTTTCGAATGGAAATCGACAGGCCACACAATGAGCTATTATGATCGTTCAGGTACTAGCCACGGCGATTAGCGTAAAGGTAAAAATAAAAACAAAACAAGAACAACCGCTCTATGTGCGTACGTGCGTTGTCCGTGTATCGCCGTCAAGAACAAAAATAATCATTAAAATTAAAACACTACCATGACAATTCGATTTAACCGAGTACCTACACGGAACAGCACTACAAAATACAGCAGTATACGGTATTCAGCTGTTTTTCCGCTAGACTACCACTTCCACTAACACCAGTGCTGCTTTCGAAAGTACTAAGTAGCACAATATCAGAAGCAATACTTTATCCAGTCTGTTGTATAGGAACGACGTATATTGTGATTGTTATTATTATTATAGACAGACGTTGTGGCACTGACGACTGGACGGTGGAAAGAGGAAAACCTCCGACCTCCAACAGCAGCTGCAGCTGCTACTCAGTACTCTGGTGCCTATGCAACGGCTGAACGAACGGCGTATTTTGCTCGACCACTATCAGTCAGTGCTGTTAGATCATAGAAGGGAAAAATCGTATCAGAACCATTGATAATAAATTATCTATAATAAATATATTATATTATACGCCCGTTAATGATTAATAATAATTGCACGACTGTATTGAAATAAAATGGTCCTCTGGACCATATTATATAATGTGAGAATGGATAGGCCGCTTTACTGTCTTAAAGATATGGACGGATTGTGGACAACATCTTACCATCCCACCTATTGCAATATTTCCTTTAAATGAAAAACGTTTCCCATGTTGCCGCAAAAGCGCTGCCGGTTAGACGTATTTTGAGGTTTAAAGGTTTTGAGGTACTTAAGGACATTTACATTAATAATTGTTAATTGTGACGTAATTTCATAGAAACAGTAACTTGTTAGGTTAGGTATTAACTTGTTAATATGTCTATGCATAATTTGATTTGATGATTAATTCATTTAAAAAAAAATATCAATAATTATTGAGTTTGATTAATTAGAAAATATGTGAATTGTGAATATCATAGATCCTATATAGGTACTTTCAAAGACAGGTCTATTTTAGCACCGGTTCTAATGTTGTAAGGATAAATGTAAATATGTGAATTACAATTTACGAATGCCATTATTGCGATTTCAATATTACATGTAAATTAATAACAACCTTTAACTTTTAAGTGAGTATATTATAATATTTATATGTTTATAACATTGTATTAGTTATTTTCATGGATTACCTATCTTAAATCGTGATAGTTATTTGAAACGACGATTATAGATATTTATAATCTTGTTTTAAACGAGTACAATGCCATATAGCCTCAAAAACGTCTGTTGGACAACTGTCAATTTTACAGTGGTACATTTCGGAAATTAATTCTTCGCATTAGAATACTGATACACTAATACATTAGTAGAATACTGATAAGGTGTAGTTCAATCCACAGACATATACAAAAATATTTTATTTATATATGTATCTGAGGTCCAACCTTATCTTATAAGACCGTGGGTCCATACCATAGATCTTAGATCATATACAATATATTATACAATACATATTAATTAATTTATTAATTGTTTATTAATATTTCTATGGCCCATACTCCATAGAGTAATATTTGTGGGCCACTCCTATATTAGAATAATAAGAGATCACGTTCCGAATTTCATTATGATAACAAATCGTATTTTTATTTAAATTTAGTTTATCAAAACAGTTTAAAATTTCAACACAATTTGATATAATATAATATTAATATTATTAAACATAAATTGCTTTTTTCATGAGATTGATTGTACCTATTGTTTTGTTTGTTGAGTAACTTCTAAATTCAATGTACAGAGACGTCTCCAGACCTTGACTATGGGGGGTGAAATAATTAAATTTAATATTAATGATTGATAAGCAAAAAATACTGATATACTTCGCACGATGGGTGTACCACTGTTGTAAAGTAGTTGGAAAGGCATGATAGAAATGGAAATTTAATTTATATCTGTAATCAAAAATTAATCATTGCTAACGAAAAACACGATTCTGAGCGGAGCTCGGTTAATAGTATTGCTTTTTCAAAAATATATGTCATATTACAGCGAAATATATATTACGGACCACCAGTAACTAGATTTGTTCCAGATAATTTTCTACAAAATCAATGTTCGTCAAAATTTGGTATTAAAATTCTTTTGAATTTCTTATGGAATTCTTATGTTAAATAATATATTGGTTACATCCATTATATCTACTTCTGGACCATTGACTATACCAAATGCCAATGTAAGTCCGCTTCTCTCAGGGGTGGGGGGGGCGAAAATACTATTAATTACTATTACTATTTACTAGTAATATTGTAAAGGTAAATGTTACACGGCATTAGATTATATCGAAATTCAATATAGGTTTGCGTAGTCGTGTGTAATGCTAAATGCATCTTGTTGCATGTGAACAACAATAGCCGTATTTTATTGTTTTACAAATAAAATAATCTAATTATCTCTTTGCTATCTTAAACACGAGCAGTTTAAAGGTAGGTATATCAATTGGACTTTATTTCTTTTGTACACATTAGACGTAAATTTATAATCATACATTTTGGGGAAATTCCCATCGCCGTGTCAAATGTCTATAAACACTGAGCCATTGATAAATCATTTAATAATTTCAACTATATGCTGAAGTCTACTGGTTTAAATGAAAACCATATAATATATCATCATATTTATGTTCGATTCAAGTTGATTAATAATATCAGCAGCAAATAAGATAAAATAAAATAAAAATGATTTTAGCAAATATTATTATGGTGAAAAAACTCAGAACATTCTTGTAATATTATTGAACTGTAAAATTCACATATTAATCAATACGCCACGTTCAGAATTGTAACGAACAACCAATAGATTTTTTTTTAAAAAAAAAATTAAGAACAATGCAATTATTACATTTTGAAAAATCATATTTTCTATTTTAAGGACATTTTTTCGAAAAGGTTATATTACAAATATCACAAAGAAAATTAATTTAAAAAAGGAAATAGATCGTAAATTTTACAGAATTATACGCTAATTAATACTGATTAGATTTTAGTATTATATTATCAGTGAATATCTAGAAATTCGTACTATTTATAATATTTTATTTTCATAATATTGCTTCAGTCAACATGTTAAAATAGAACATGTCTAAATTCCGATGCCATGCCTGTATTAAGTGTGTTTTACCAATCCTTTTATATCAAATAGCATCATAAAGACAGTTTAAAACTTGTTTTGGGCAAGACTGTAAGAGTTAGTTTGCTGATAATCAACATGTTATCTACGCCACACGCAAGATAATTCAAGCGCATGCGTGCTATGAACGGTGCATTCCTATATTCAAACGCTCTTGTTTTTTCATGCAGCTGGTTTGCATGAGTTTGGTTTTCTTATTCTAGTTCATGGTCGCATAAAACTTGTCGTTATTTATCGTTATTCATCGTTATTTATTTATCGTCAATATTTATGTAATGATAAACTAACGGTTAATAAATTAAGGTTCTACCGTGTGTTAAATTATGATTAGTTCGAGTGTTGCTTATCATTTTTTAATATTCAGGTTATTCAGGTTACTAGAAAACTTATTAAAGAATAAATAAATTTATTGTACCGACAGTAGTACCGACTAAAGAGTACCCTTATAGTACCCTACCGGCAGTAGAAGTAACGCAAAACATTGAATATTGATAACGAAATTTAACTGTACATAGATTTCTACACGATGATAAATGGGCCTGTAGTTTCATTCTTGTTATAGTACATTTTTATCAACAGATAAAATTCAAAACATGGGTTATGCAACAGAATTTTTATTAACTCTAGATAAACGTGTTGTAAATATTTGGTGTAACTTGGCATGTGATATCAAATTATGCTTTAGTTTAATAACATAATTCAAAATACCGCCAAAAATTATAACCAATCAGAGACGGCAAAGATAAGCGCTATATTTGCGCAGTTTGAAACAGAATTACGCTTGTTGATATCATACCGAATTTATTATACCATAGTATGTCCTATTGTCCTATATACGGTACAATCATGAAAATGCGTTCCGGTTGTTGGAGTTTTATTTAGAAGACAGAAATCATGGACATATTATAAAGATATATAATAATTATAAATTTATAATACGCACTGAATAATATTCATACAGTATATTGTATTTCCTTAAAACTTGGATTAACCCAACCACACCCACAAAAATCAACATATTTTTATATGTATGCTGTGAATCTACATCGGTACAATAAATTTATAATAACGAGATAACATAATAATATGGTAATCAATTTAGTCAAACGCCAACCCGCGATTACCGTGATAATTGATAAAAATTCACCTTCAAATTCAAAGTTTAACATCTGTTTTTGATATTTAACTTGTGTAACGACCGTTAAAAATTAACGATCGTTTAATCGTATCATATTGTATATATATAAGTTGTGCTAATGTGTTGTTATGAAGAATCCACTTTGAGGTTCCACTCGACATTTTCTCGCGCCAATTCTCTCTAGTCTACCATTATGTATTGATGTTTCGGGCCGTTCACTCCGCTTGTTTTTTTGTCAATTTTTCCCACCATTTGGGTGTTCCATTCTGTCAATGTCGTTCTGTTTTATTATCTGATTGTTATTTGCAATTTGTTGAAGAACATTTCGTTCCGTCGTGCCGTTTTCGTGGATCATTTATTTGGTAATTATTTTGTGATAGGTATGTATTATTTGTATTTACATATTATTTGTTTTCAATAATATTATAATGCGATTAAATATTGCTCCGTTATATAATATACCTACTGTTTAAAAACCGTCAAATTTCTATGCACAGTGTGTGAACAGATTTTCAATTAATTTACTGTCATTTTTGTATATACCTACACTTGTTTAGGGCAATATCTGTTGTGCCGTAGTTAATATTCTGATACAAATAATTTTCTGGAAAATAATTTAAAAAAAATCTCGAATAATAAATAATATGAAACTTCAAATTTTAACATATTTCATAGATTTTTTTCTAATTGGATTAAACCCCCCAAAAAGCTGGTGGTTTTGGGATGGGATTTTTTTGTACAACCTTGTACATTATATCATGTGTTACATTTCATATTGCCATTACTACTGAGCTTGGGCATAACTTATAAAGAATTTCATAAGTCCCGTTCATAAGTAATAGTTGTTAATTGCTCAATGTTCACTATATTTGGGTAGGTAGGTATTATAATATAAAACTTTGCTTTGTACACAACATATTATAGTACTTGTATTTAACTCAAAAACAATATCATTTTGTATTGAGTTTTTGTGTAAAAACATTTTGAACCCAAGTAACATTAATTCATCCAAGGAATTCAATTTTAATTAATAGGTATATTTTAAATTGAATAAGTACTGATTTATAAATCACTTATGTACTAGGTTTTTTTATTTTTACTATCTGATTTAAAGCAATTAGAAAAATATTTTTTTATTTCTGATGTAATTTATGTATTTAAATCATTTTTTTCTTTATAGAACAAATAATCAAAATGACCAAGTCCATTATGCGTGGTGCATTAATTGTCTTAGAAGGTTGTGACAGATCTGGAAAAACAACTCAAAGCACAAAGTTAGTTGAAGCTTTGAATAAATTAAATATACCAGCAAAAAAAATATCGTTCCCCGATCGATCTACTCCTATTGGTTCAATCATCAATGATTATCTTTCTAGAAAAATAGAATTACCAGATCGTTCAGTACACTTATTATTTAGTGCTAATCGTTGGGAATTGGAATCTGAAATTCGTAAACAAATAGAGGCTGGTGTAACTTTGATTGTAGATCGATATTCATATTCTGGTGTAGTCTTTACTAGTGCAAAACAATGCATCGATTTCAAATGGTGTTGTGGTCCAGAAAATGGCCTGCCCAAACCCGACTTGGTCATGTTTTTAAAATTGTCGTCTGAAGAAATGGCTAAACGATCTGGTTTTGGTGATGAACGCTATGAAAATGTGGAATTTCAAAACAAAGTTGACAAAAATTACGATCGATTTACAAATGAGAATTTCATTCAAATAAATGCAGCTCAAGATATATCCACCTTAACAAACAATCTTTTAAATAAAGTTTTAACAACTATTGATTTTGTCAAAAATAAAGAATTAGATGAGTTGGTTTTCAATTAAAAATGTTAAGTTAATATAAAAATATATTTATACTTTCACTATCCCATACATTTTTTATGTCAACTATTCATAATATTTCTTTTACCATTATATACGTTTAATATTTTTATGTTGACCATAATATGTAATGTGTATATTTACATTATGTCTTTAATGATTTATAAAACCTGGTTATAATTTAATTATGATTAATATGTAAGTTACCTATCCTTAAAACGATTGCTTGTGTGAAAATTATTATAAAATATTGTTTTCCTTTATAATATTAGTTTATATGTTGTTTTCCAAAATAAATATTCTATTAATTATATTTAAATTTTGGATTTATGGTTTTAAATAATTGCTCAAGGCTATTCTAACAATGTTCCATGACATGTTAGTTAGTGCATTTTTAATATTTGCAGAAAAAATAACCACTAGTTAGCACTAATAAACACTTATGGGATAATATTAGGGCAGTCCTTGATGTTTTAAAATATTTAAAATAAGAATTATTAGTTTAAAATGATGAAATGGTAATTGATCAAAATGTTTTTATCAATCAGATGTATAAAGCACAAGTTAAACTATTTAATTTTATACTTATATTTTCATATTTTCATTTCAACTATTTGGTCAATCGATTAATAATAATTAATATTTATCCATATTAAAATTTTTAATTTCACAACCTTTTATAAATACATTTTTAAATTGTGTGTTCTGAAATTAATAATCAATTAAACAAATTACCTATTTGAGTAATAATTATCAGTAATAATTGATTATCAAACAATTTATTTAATTAATTATAATTTTATAAAATTGTAAAGGTTAAATGTAAATAAAAGCTATATGAGATGAACAAATAATTGTATGGGCGATATGATAATACATATTCTACTACACCACTTAAAATGTTATTAATTTGATCCAATAATATATCTATAAAATTAAAAATATGGGTTTTTAACCCTATATTAATTAATCAAAACAAAACAACCAATAGAACATCTGTCTACACGTTGAAATAGAATAGGTAGGTAAATACTTAACTGTTTATTATATAGAAATGGTAACAGTTTCGGACACTATGAGTAGGCTAACAATTTAACAATGATTAATAGTTAACGGGTTCTATTAAAATTTTACTTAGTCAGTTTTTAATAAAAACAATAGACATTAAATTATACAATTGTTAAGTGTATCAGCTATAGTTGAAGGACTAGATAACTAGTGAAAAATTATGTATAGCTTTCTAAATTTAACATCTTTTCAATGAAAAATATTTTATATGTTTTATAAGATAGGCCACCAATTATTTTTTTCACAAGCATTAAAAGCTAAAATTGTTACGAAATTAGAAAATATCGATTATGATATAATTGTTTTTGAAGTACAAATGTAGGTACTAAGTTAAAACAGTTTACACAATAGGTATCTAATTTTAACAAAGTAAAACATTATTTATTATACTTCCCCATTATTTTTTCTTGAAATATAAATTTTGAAAACAGCAATTATTTCAACATGTATTTATTGAAAAATGTAACAATTAATTAAAATTTGAACATTTATATTTCATTGGTATAATAAATAATTTAGTATTATAGCTGTTATAATAACAATGATTTACACATACATATATTTGTAATGGTTTTATTTATAAATATGTTACAAATAACAAATATATAGTAATAATAAGTATTATATACAAGCTTTAAAGCTTGAAATTAAACATAGTATTAATCAATCCATAAATATGACTAAATACAAACTTGGCATATAAAATTTTTAATGTAATATATCATAAAAACAAAATAGGAAATTACATATACAACAATAAATAATAATAATTATGAATAATCAACATTAAATTTTCTAAACAAATTTTATCTCACACAATTGAATTGGGTTAGGAATGTTTCAATTTGATAAATCCAATAATATCTAATACCTACACAATGTAAAATAAAATATTAATTTTCTTGATCTGTCTTTTTTATTGAGTAGATAAGAGTTCTTAAACTGTTGAGGTTTTTTTTAATGATATGTTTTTCAATTGAGTGTTACAAAAAATACCAGACGTTGATTTTTAATAGTTCATTTCTTGTAGCCTGTGAAAAAAAAAATATACCTAATGAATTATAGTGAAAAATCATCAGATGTAATTGTATGTCTATTGATATATTTATCAATTTAAATATTGAAATTTAATGAAAAATTATTTTTGATTTTTTCATGATTTGTGTACTTAATAACATGTTTAATAATAATAGTCATAACAATTTGAAATATTTGCATTATAGTCTAGATCAATGCTTCTCAATAATTTTATAACCACAATTTAAATTCCTCCCCCATACCCCCTCCAGAAAAAAAAATCTATTGAAACCCATAGTTTTACATGATAAAAAAGCAATTCTAAAAATCAAAAATATAATATTGAATGTTTTATTTGTTTATAGTAAATTTTATTTTTCTATTGTTGAATTATTTATCCATTATCCACTTGTTGATCACTTATGACAGAAATGCTGTCCAAGCACACAAAACACTAGATCACACCAAGTGCAGCATACACATGTAACCGCGCACATATAGTAAACTACAGCTGGCAACAATGCAACATAACAACATCAATACTACATGATGAACTACAAAGCTATATTTATTGTGGTGATAGGAAAAACTGGTTGATTAAAGTTTGAGAATATTCAGTTGTTATATTGCAATAATGATGTACCAACAATAAACAAACATAATAATAATCATGGTATGGTTGAGTTTCAGTGTAATTTTCAAGATTTATAATATATTATAGTTCAATACTATAATTCTTAACTATTTAATTAAAGGGCTTAAAAAACATACATTTTTCGCGATCCACCAAAAGTTGGCTCGGGATACATTGGATTGTAACACAGTTTGAGAAATTCTGGCCTAGATTAAAATGTACAGTATCATACTATTTTTAAGTTATCTTTACCATTTAATTGTTACTTTAAAATATCTAATAATAAGAAATAAGTAATTTGTATACAGGCCTTAATACTGACATAAAATGAAAAACCCTAAATTTGTAAACATTAAAAGTTATGCAATTTTTTTATTAATAATAATAATAATAATAATAATAATAATAGCATGATAAAATAGTATGCTACCTACTTGAGTAATTTATATTTTTTTATTTGATTCTTAGATCTGAATATTTATTGGAAACAAAAATTGTGAGGGTATAATAATTCAAAATCTAAACCCATCATCTGTAATAGATCAAGCTCATTAACTTATATATACTTAAGTCTTACTGTTGGGCTGTAAATTTTACAAGCTGTTCAAATCTATATCTTATTTCTTCGGTTAAATTTTTCTCCTGTGGTTTTGATTGACCTGTCTGTTCCTGTTTTTGTAAGTTTTTGTCTTGAGCTAATTGTTTTTTTGATTCCTTCTTTTCTTTCTTTCTAGAATTTTTCCAATTGTTTGGTGTTAACTTTTCTTGCCTTTTGACATTACTTTTCTTTCGTTTTATTAATTTTTGGGAAGGTAACTCTTTATGAATATTATTTATATTTTCACCAGCATTTAAGATTTCACTGTTGGTATATGATTCATCTGTAAAAGACTGATAAAGACTGATTAGTTTTTCCATTATTAATAATTTATATAATATTTACATGTTTATTTGTTAACATAATTTCACTTGGATTTCCTATATCAAAAGATGTATCATTTTCAATTTTTATAGGCCTTGAAAATAATTGTCCATTAGTCTTATCTCTTTCGATTTTGATTGCAGATAAATGTACGTGCCTGAAAGAAAAATGAAAAATATTTATATTTTAAAAATTTCATTAAAATCACAATATATTAATGTTATTGTTTAATGATTAAAAAATGAGCTAAATATTTTCAAATTTATAAAATAAAAAATATATAATATTTTTTTTTTATGCAACTAATCACCTCAATAGTTTACTCTTGGGTGTATACGGTCAATAGATTATAATATAATTGACGTATTATGGAAACCTAAAAATCTGCTTTCTAACTAATAGATAATAATATAATTTGTGTTCATGAATGTACCTTGGATGTGAATATTGATAACTACTTCTATATATTTCATTCTGCTCCATATGGGATGAAGATTTAATTGTAAGGTCATCATTTGGTTCACATTTTATGGCTTTAATGATTTTTTTATTTTTAAATCTATAATTTTTAATAAAACATGCATCATTACAAATGTGACTCAGACAGCTGTAACTAGACAGCTTTTAGTTGTAAAATGTATTTTATTCAGTATACACTTTGGAGGAAAGTAAATATTAAAAAGTTGTAAAATATATAATATAAATCTTGTTTAGATTTGAGTTCCAAAACATTAGTACACAAATGAATACATAAATACATCCAACTATAACTTAAATAACAGTAAATTTAAAATAATAAGCATTAAACTCACTCTTGTTTAGTATCTAACAGTGGTTTGTCATATTGCTGGATATTTTCAAGCTTAATATGATTACTTTTAGCTTCAACAAGAACAAATCCTTCATCCAGAATCTATAAATAATTAATAATATTTGAATACATTTAATTTAAGTACATTATTATAAATAGGTTTTTTACTAAACTTACACTATCAGACATGCAAGGTTTTATGATTACTTTAGTAGAATTTGGAGTGAAATTCTTAAATTTGATAGGTAAAACCTAGAATGAAAAAAGTTTTTCCATTACGAAAAAATATCTAGATAATAAAATAATTTTGAAATTTAACTCACTAATGGTTCATATTTAAAATAATACGGAATTTCAAATACATATTGTAACTTTGTTTTATAAGTAACACCAACATCAATTAAATCAATTGTAGTATCATCGGGGTTAAATAAACAGAGTTTAATTAATTTCCCTCTATACCTAAAACAAAATATACAATTAGTATAAAACAACAAATATGTATTAAAATATTACTCAATACCAACAATTTTTATTTGCCATAGGAATAAAATTATTTAGTATATTATACATTATTTCTAACTAAAGAACAAAAATAGTATCCATAACAGTCAATCATAATCAATGGTATACACAAAGTAACTAATATAAACCTTTAAATTACATTACACACATTGTTCAATACTTATTATTTTTCTTTTCTTCGTGTATGAAAAAATTCAAAATTAGGAGATAATTTTGAAAATGTAATTCTCAATATCATTAAATAACTAAATACATCTAAACAGTAGGTATCTAAAAAAAAAGTATAAAGTGCATAATATAAGTATTATTAATTTGAATTTTCAATATTCAAACAATATTAATCTTATTAATTTTGTAAATATCAAAGCAAATGAAGCAGCCACGACTTATACATTTTAAATTTCTAATAAAGTGAATTATTATTAATAATTACTTTAAATTAAAATTTTCAATTTAGGTTTTAACAAATGCAAAAAAGTTTGATTAAAATTACACTGAAATTAAAAATCTAGTAAAAATATTGCAATACTTTAATTTATATGTATATATATATATATATACAAAGAACAACTATTTAATGATAAAATAAAAAACTAATATAAAAAAAACATATGAATTTTATCTTAAAATCAAACATATCTTTACTGAATGATAAAAGTATAAATATTAAATAATAATGCAAAATCCTAGAACTACTATTTTTCATAGCATTTAAATTGTAAATATAATTAAAGCATAATCAAATTATAAATAAAACTGGAGTTTACAATCTAGTCTAAAATTTAAAATGTAATATAAATGTGTGTATATATATATAATATATTATGTAACAGGGTAAAGACCAAACTCGGACAAACGTTAGAAACACCAGAGAAATGAGTACTGATTTTGGAAAAAAATGTATTTTGTAGTAATATTAGGTTTTGATCAATATGGAAAATATCACTTCTGCATATCTGTATTAACATGTATATTTTAATGCTCTATAACTGTTATCATTCAATATTTTAATTTTTAATAAATGCAATATATAAAATATATATTATATATTTATTAATTGTTTACATATATACATATATTTTTTAAGCAATAATTTTCAGTATATTCTGTAATTGAATTTACAAGTTGCAGAATAAGTACCCTTAGTTTACATTATATCTTTTAATAACTTCAATATGATATAGTATATTATATTACAATAATTTTACCCCATATTATTTTTTGAGTTATTTATTACAATAAATTAACTGATTTCATAAAATAATAGATTTGAAATAATACAATATGCCCCAATTACATTGTTAGCCAGCACCTACCTAGGTTCACATAGGCATTATTATGGTTTGTCTGATTTTAGTATATATTTAATATTTTCCCAAAACATACATATATATTATATATACATTAAAAAAAAACTATTATTAATAGTTACCCACTTTGTATATAATTAATTAAAAGATAATAATGGCCTAAGCAGGTGTCATTCTTTTTAAAGATGAATAAAAAAAAAAGTTATTTTATTTTAAAAAGAAATGTAATGAAGCCAGGATTGAAAATATTCGTTTTTTTTTTTTCATCTCTTCTCATAATTTGTTAGTACATTGCAATTATCAATGCATTGGACTGAGTAATATAAAAAAAAAATATGATATTCTTTATAGTAGCATCAGTTTTAAATTACCAATCAATAAAGTTACTGCATGAAACTTTTTAAGCGTGTTTCTGCCTGCCTTTACTGAAAAAAAAAAAAAATTAAACTACCATTATAAAACTAGTTTCCTTGCTTTGATCAGAATATAAAATTATGAAAACATATCAGCCAATATTAATAAAAATAAATAATAGAAGTTAAAAAAAAAAAGCCTAAAACAGATTGTTCCACAATAGAATAAATGTAAGATATTTCCTTAGAAGTAAACAAAACAATTATTAGAAAAAAGTAAATGCAATAAAGATATGTTTTTGATTAAAGTGCATTTTTAATTTAAAATAAATTACCAATTTCCATCAATTTCAACAGCAACTATTTCCCTCGCTTTAAAATGTAAAACTGGTTCAAATAAGCAACTCTGTAATGCCATTTCATTCATATCTCGAAATCGTTTTTGCATATTATCAGGAGTTGTCGCAATATATGCATTTATATTATTTTGTGGAGTTGAAAGTAAAATAACCTAATGAAATAAAAATTGTATACATTTTAAAAACTAAAAAAAATTTTGATTTAAAAAATATAAAAATGTGTACATAGATGAATTACCTGTTAATAATCATAATTAGAAATGATTATTAAAAAAAAAGTAGATAATTAAAGATAATAATTTTATGTGTGGTAACATATTAGTTTGGTAAATAAATGAAATTTGTTAACCTGCAGGATAAAAATTATGAAGTATTTTGGAATTTACATTTGTTATTACTTAAACAGATTTCGAAACACAAAAGCTTGTGTATTGGGTAGACAAAAAATTGAATATAAATTCAAATAAATATCATTATAGGTATCCAAAATTACTAAAATCTGATAACGACCACTTATAGTAGAAAAAAAATTTGAGCTGATTTCTTGACTTACTCAAAAATTCAAGTTCAAATGACATCTATATTTATTATCTATACCTATTAGGTAACATGCATGTACAATTGAATATTAATAAAAGTACACATTTTAAATAGTAAAATTTGCGAACATACTTCAGTCCAAGTGTTAGGAGGCAAGAATGCTAAGACTCTTTCTGGTGAAAGAGGCTGTAGAGATATCATTGTATATCTGTATCCTGCCATGAAATACAAAACAAGTATTAATAATTTTAAGAAAAAAGATAAAAAAAAATTGTAAGTGTTCTTAAAACACAAAACATTTTCTATATAGGTTAGATTAATTCGACCAAGCTGCCTGAAATATATAAAGTTGACTTTTATAATACACTCTGTAAGGAGTTTGAGTGATCAAATAAAGCTAAATGTTACCATTTATTCAGTTTGCAAATAAACACAAATATTATTAAGAATATACAAAAGATTAAATAAACAAATTGGTACAGGTAGGTAGTCTAAAGAATATGTATTTTTAAATATTAAAATAATCCATAAAAGGTATTTTTACTTTTGTCATTTATGATGCGATAGAATTTTTGTACGCTGAACCTCCAATGTACAGCATACTAATATAATTTCAGATATTATTGTTCGTTGTATAAACAGTCATTCACAGATAAATTTTAATCTGAATTAGAATAAATAATATAACAATAGGCTCAATTAAGCATAGAGCATGGTTGTCATAGAAAAGAATACTAAGGTTGTAGAGTACGGCGTAATAATCAAAAGCAGTTAGTAATATATAATATTTATATAACATAGTCAATAGCCATATGCCCATTTAGATAATCATTAATTTATATTTTTCAATATTATCCTTGCTGATTATAAGATAACGCCTATCTGTCTATCACTCTATCTCCTATCTGTGTCCTTGGCGCCATTTTAAACTAGTTCTTAAAATATAGATATGTTTACGATATTCGTAATACAATTATTAATTTGTATATTGATTATTGATTATTACATTCGAACGTTTAATTATCCGAATGTGGGGGAATATAATGTTAAAATTTTATTTTTTAAAAGTTTATGAGTACGTTATCATGACGAGTGACAACTATGTGGATATCCACATTGGTAAAACTTATTAAAACTTAATATTTAACAATAACTAGATATGATTAGAATTAACATAAGCTATTATATGATCTGGTACTATGGTAATAATTAAAGCGTAACTGGGTGAAATGTTTATGGAAATAGATATCACGACGATAACAAGATTTTAACTATTAAAAAAAAAAAAAAAAAAAACTTGTTAACTTATTAAACTTAGCTTATAACCTAATAATAGATATAGGTACCTACTTTGTTCAGCATGATATCTATTTCCATTTAAACTGCAGTTATAGTCAATAAACATTGAATAAATGCGGCCAATAAGTGAGAAAAATGGTTATAGGCCGTATTTACGCTATAATTAAACACGCCAGTCCAAAATAAAATTAATACTTACTTAACAAAAATAAATTGTAAGAAGTATAGTACTACTAACCTGAAGGAAAAATTGCACACCCAATACGATTCCGATAATTCAGTTAGGTGATACGGTTTTCTTTGAGTAGTTGAGCTGTTGGGTTATTCATTGCTATCAACTCGAAATGCCAAACTTTTGTTAGATTCGTGAATACCTATTGATTTTTCCTCGCAGAAGCTGCGAACTAGTGGCGCAGGGCAGGGCGGGACCGACGTCACAGATTTAATAGTTTCAGTGTGACCAAGTTTATAAACGGTAAAAATTATATCATCAGAATCTGACAGTAATTTCGCAAGTATATCTAATTCTTCAAAATGTCATAAATTTCTAATAAAGTTCATTGTAATATTTATCTTTTTAAACCTTAGGAATCATGGTCTGAATATTATTATATAGTATTGCGGTATATTGTTTAAATGATCGACTTATCAAGTCACCGTTTGAAATGTTTATAATAATTTATGAGTTCTATTAAGCTCGGTCCACACTAAGACAACATAGAATGACGGTAAGTTGTCAGTAATTTCCTATTCTTCCGTAACACGTGAAAACAAATTGCAACATTGGAAACATAGTGTACACATTTAGTCAACAAAACCACAGCAACATTGATATACAACTGGACTAAACTGAATTCACACTAATAAACTTGTAGCTACATGTTGCCTATTTACCAATTTATTATATTGTTTTATGGTAACATGTTTCGCTTTCAATCGAAAAAAGGAAAAAATGAGAAATTTTTGTTGCTTGCAACAAATTATTGATGAAAAATTTAGTAACTTTTTGAATATATAGGAACTTTTGTTGTGTCAACGTACTTTGACTTAAAAAGTTGTTACATACTTATATGTTGCTTTAGTGTGGACCGTGCTTTAGGTACTCTTATTAATTATTTTAATTTATAAATTATATCCTTAACGAACAATACATTTTAACTCTTAATGAAAGAAAGACACGACTTAATAATGTAAAGACGTTACTAAATGAGAACGTGACGTACTATGTGTAATGGATTTATGATCGTATGTTAGAAATATAATTATAAAACAATTTAAATTTTAAAGTACGTGTACTGATGTTAAAAATAAATAAAATGGCAGCCACAGAGTACTTCATATCTTTTCGTGTTAAATAATCACATGACCTTGAGAAGAAATAAACGTATATCATTGGTTCAGACTTTAGATTACAATGGGGTTGTCAACTGTCCTACATCAGGAAGGATTGTCCTAGATTCATTTGATTTGTCCTACTTCCAAAAATGCTTTAAACTTTATGTAGGACAATCCTACATTTCAAATGTCAATATATATAGTATATATACTTTAATAGGTTAAACTGGTTATAGTATAAGGTATATGAGAAAATACCTTTCAGATGTTTATTTTTTTTTTTTTATATCAGTACACAACTTTTCTACCAGAAGACTTGCTCAGATTTCTACATGTAGCATCTTTTTTGAAAGGAAATCGGCGTGGAGAGATACTTTGCTTATTTTTCGATATTCTCAAGAGTTTTCTCATCGAATTTGAAAAACCGAAAAAAAAAACGGGAAAACGTACGAAATATATTATTAAAATATCACTTTTTTTTCCTGTGCACAACTTTTCTACCAGCAATTTGGTTTCATCTTTTAATGATAGCAATGTTTCTAAAAAGAAATTTCACTATGAAGGTACTTTAAAAATGTAATTTTTCGATTTTCTCAAATGTGAAAAACCGGGATAAAACCTGGGAAAGCCGGAAAAACGTAGAAAAATTGGGAAAATCGGTCAACATTAAACAAATTTTAATAAAGAAAATATATAGAGCATATTTTATAATTCTTTTTACTATAAAATGACATATAAATCGTCAACAAAGCATCACTATCAAATGAACTCCGCTTAGAATCGTTTTTCGTAAATAATGGTTTATCGTTGCTTACAGATATACAATAAATTCTCATCTATATCCTACCTTTCCAACTTTCTATCTACATTAGTGGTTGAACCCATACCCATTATTTTACCTATCTTTTTTGTATCTTATATCTATAATTTTTGACTAATTTTAATTTATCTAAGTTAAACCATTACATATATATATTTATTTCGTACTATGTTGTGTAGGTATCATTATAGTTCTGATAGTTAAATTGATTTGTGTTAAAAATACGAAATAAATAATTAAATAAGTAAATAGCAGATCTTATAGTCCTTAATCACTGATCTATAATATCACGTTTAGGGATTGATACGATTTAATTATTTAAGATAGGTAGGTACCTTAAATCGTTTGTAGGTATTTTTAAAATACAACACCTCGCACTATGTTATTCAACCTGGTCTTATGTTTATTTGTTTGTTTTTCTGTAGTAGTAAAGTGTTAATCTGTATTAGTCACTATAGGTACTTATAATCAACAAAAGTTTTCAGTAGGTTTATTCAAATATAAATTTAATAAATGTTTACTTTAGTTTTTTATTTGATTACCTACCATCTAGAAAGATGAATAGGTTTTTGATAAACCACATTAGGTTTTTCTACATTTTTAAAAAAATTATACCAAAAAGTATGAAAAAAAAAAAAAAAATTATCTTCTTAAATTAGATAATATTTGCTGTATAGGTACCAGAAATCCTATTTTATATTGATGACCAAAGACAATCTTTCAATTGAAAATCTGTTTACGGACAAAAAAAATGCATTAGACATTTATATTATCTTGAAGATTTGACGGTTATAAGACCATAAGGATTGTTCAAGTATTCATAGTTCCCTGAATTTAGACAGATTCACACAATATTATGTACTTACGTACTTACTTATTTAAATGCTATGATCAGTGGTCATCGATCATCGGTCACTTACGCTTTTCCATGATAAAATAATTATTAGTTATTCAATAAAATAATAATAATATATTTATTTAAGAACCTATTTTGTCATGATAGACATTACATATTTATATGTTTTCTATTGTAAACATCTATCGGATTGATCGGGGGTTATTCTCGGGATTACTAGAAATAACAGTTGGCAAATAAAATATAATTTAGGTATCCGTAATATTATAGTAAAGTTTGATCCATATACACAAGTATCTATGACAACATATTTTGGTGATATGAATTATGATAATAAGTAGTTAAATCATTTGAATCTTTTTGATGAATTGGTATCTCAATGTCTCATTATTTTATTTATTTATAATATTTTTATAATTATATTCAATTAGAGTGTATTTATTAGTGTATTTTTTTCATTACAATTATTAATATAATATTAAAATAAATACTTAATAAAATACTTAATATTAAATAAAAAATTCACCATACAAAAGAAAAACCGTCTCTTATATTTATTCGTTTTGAAATCAAATGTTGAAATGTTGATCTACAATCTACGTTACCAGAATGAAACCGCTCTAGAGGTGTAATGTAAATGTTTCTTAGCCTTGCACATCATAGGCAGAAGACCGTGATCGGTATATAAACCTCTAGAAATTATTTTTCTGTTATCTATTTACATTATTTCATTGTTTTCATCAATACGCATTTTAATGTAGGTAATAATAAAAACGAACATATATACTAAAAAAAAAAAAAAAAATTGAATATTAAAATTAGAATATAATATGTGTATCGGCATAATACATAACTATACTTAGATACTCCTTTCTGACAGCTGTATCTATAAAAAAAAGGAGAATTTTGAGCAAAAGCTATAATTTACTATAACTGACCCAGTAAAGCTTTGCTATTGCAAATAATTGTAATAATAGTTTGATAATAGTGCAAATACTAAATAATAATAATAACAATAATAATAGTTTTCTTGTGCCATGATAATCAAATTAGGTGTCATCTACATCATTAAGGTAATTCATGAAAAAATAAAAATAAATCAACATAAACAATTAGATATTAGTACCAAAGTCCAAAAGTATCTAAAAACTCCTATTTTACACCCTTAAGGGTAGAATTTCCAAAAATCCTTTTTTAGTGGATGTTTTGTGCTACGTTATAATAGTTATCTGTATGATAAAATTTTAAGTCTAGTGGTTTGGACTGGGTGATAATGATTAAGTCAGTTAGTCAGGACCTGTTATTATATATCTATATATTTATACATATAGATAGATATGTTATTTATATTATCCATGGCTAACAAATTGAGTCAAATTTTTGGTATAGTGATCCTCCTTAAATCGTTTTCATACGGTTATCGGTGTAGAAAACGTTCATTCTGTACTTAAATCGTAAAGTAGTAAGTATATACATAAACATGAGAAGGTCATAGCTCCTTAGAGGCCTTGACTTTGCCTCTAGTCCTGCAAATATTAACTTGTAATTTTAAATGTTATAAATAGAGGGTGGATTTAGTACAAGTTAAAGGGGGTGGGGGAAATGGTACTATGTTTATAGGTTAATAACTTTGTAACTTTGTTCGTTTTAACAAAAAGTGTACACTTTTTACATAGAATTTACACTAAAATGTAAACTTATATAAATAACATAATATTTAGGAAAACTGACAGTTAATATAAAGAATAGGTATTTAATAGTGTTTAATATTTATGACCTCGCCATAATATTATCAACATCGTGGTTCTGCACTGGTTTGGTAATTACTTATCACATAGAACAAAACTGAGTGATTACACAGTATCTGTGTTACAGAAAAACAATATTTTCCTTGATGTTTTGAGTTTTCATGTTTGCTGAAATTTATTGTATTTGATATTACAAACAGTTTTAAATGTTTTTTTTTTTTTCACTATTTCAAATAATACATGTGAACTATCATTTCTGTATTAAATTTAGGATCAACAATGCCAGATAACAATCCTGTAAATGACCAAAGAATTTCTTTATTTCTAAGAAAACTTTGGACACTAGTTAATAGTCCAGAAACTGATAATGTGATCACTTGGAATGAGGTAAATATGCATTAATTTAATATAATCTAAACAAATTATACAATATTAGGTACTGAACTGCATTAATGTGTTTCTAATCGGTAATTTCCACTGTCAATTAATGTTAATACTAATATGTATTTTGATTTTTATAGGATGGTAATAGTTTTATAATAAAAAATCAAGTAGAATTTTGTGATGTTTTACCAAGATATTTCAAGCATAATAATTTTATGAGTTTTGTTCGACAATTACACATATGTAAGATTGTTATTTATTATAATTATTTATTTTATAATTTATTAATTTTTAAATTCAATATAAAACAGTAGAAATTGTTTAATGTGCAATGATTTTTAAATGTTTAATGGTACAAAATTAAAGGAAAAAAATTAGGTAAATGAACCATATAATTGATTAATAATAAAATGCAATAAGTGTGTTTAAAACTAGTTGTTTTACTGATATATGGTATTCATTTTGATACTAGTGGTACATATTTAAGATCAATAATAATCTATAGTTTTGTTTTAAGTATTAATTGTCATACTAAAGAATTCATTTTTACTTCCAGATTTTATTCAGTAGGTAATTTAGAATATGCAAGGTTATAACAAAATGTTAGTTCAAACAATGTTTGATTAATATTAATTCAAAATATATACCTTATAAAATATTTATCTCAAATTTATATGATAAAATCAAGTTTCCCTTTTTACTAATTTAAAAATAAATAATATAAATATAATATACTCTGTCTTATGCTAAAATACACCGGGTGCTAACTAGTTTTTGTTTATTTTCATGCATCTACTATAGTAACCTGTCTTCTAGTAGCCGTATATTGTGGTTAAATCTGGTTAAGAGTTTCTGCAGCTGTCAGTCACGATGCGCAAACCCAGTGTATTCTAGTTTGAGACAGAGTTTAGGTGTTATAAAACTTGCTGTTATACTATATTTCTATATTTTAGATGGTTTTAGTAAAAGAATATCTGATATTGACCATACATCGCACCATGGAACTTCTAGTGAATATGCTCATCCATATTTTATGAAGGAACATCCTTGTTTATTATTATCAATAAAACAAAAGAGAGGTGAAAAAGTGGTGAGATTAAGACAATTAATAAAATAACAGAATAAATATATTAATATATATATATATATATATATACATATACATATGTTTTAATAGCACCAGAATATAAAAACTGACATTGATTCAATTGAAACAATAAGTACCTTAATAAAAGAAGTCAACACTGTTAAAGATAAAAATAAAATGCTTGATAATAAATTTATGGCTATGAAACATGAAAATGAATGTTTGTGGCGTGAATTAGCAGTTATTCGACAAAAACATATGAAACAACAAAGAATTCTAAATCAGGTTAATGCTTATGGTTTAAAAGTAATGAAAATATATAAATTCACTTCTGAACATTTTAATGATAAATTTTATTTTAAAAATAAACTGAGGCATTGAAAAGTGAGTTCATTAATTATTCTTGTTCTTAATTTGCCAATTCGTTTTGAATGTTGGCAATCATCATTGATATATGAGTTTTGTTAGTGGCACTTTTGAATAATTCTATAGAACTATTGTGAAACCATGTTCTGAGATTTGTTAGTCACTATGTTCTTCTTCCAGGCGATCTTTTGTCATTCATTATTCCTTGTTGGAGAAGGCCATAAATTGTTAATGAATCAAACTTTGTGTATTTTATACAAATATTTTAGTCCATATTTTATGGGATTTTAGTGAATTTTTCAGTAATCTGACCTTTAACAATGATTCATTTATGTATATATTTATTTGTGTATACATTTTAATCATTAATATTTTATATTTGCAGTTAATTCAATTTTTAGTTACTTTAAGACAACCTGGCAGCAATAATACATTATGCCGTGAAGTTAAAAATAATGTTAGGTATGTTCTCCCTATTATGCATCATAAGACATCAGAGAAAACAGATTCCAGTGAAACATTTACTGTAAGTTCACACAATTCTACTCATGAAATTATAATTTCTGTACATTTATTCATATGATATGTTTTTATTATGGTTAAGAATTCAAAGTATAAGCCATCTACTTCATCAGGGCCTGTAATTCATGAATTAGATTCTGCAGATGTTCTGCATTCAAATAACCACTGTAAACTTAATGGAGTCACTTTAAAGTATTTTTTTTAATGTTTGATTTATGATTTTATCAATGTTTTGAATAAGAAAAAATGATTTAATTATTTTGTTTTGTCACAGTGAGGTAGAATCTGAGCTATCGGAAGGAATAGTTCTTAGCCCTAGAAGTGTTTCACAAATGTTAATTAGTCCTGATGGTTCAACAGTTGAAGAAATTTTTACACCTAATGACATTATGATTGATTCACCATTAAATGATTTGATTAGAGAAGTATCAGTATCTCCAACTGAAGAGCTATTAGAAACAAAACCAATTGTGGTCACTGTTAGTCCACCAGACTCAAATTTGAAAAGTGAAACAACTAAAACTCCTAAAACAACTAAATCAAATAATAATTTATCTAAAAAGAGAGCTAAAAAAGATATTAATCCCACAAAGAAAAAAAAGACTGTGAGTTCTGCAACTCCATATACTATTAAAGTGGAATCATCAGCAAATAATGATCCACCAGTAATTTCTATTCCAGAAATGGATTTCCTCGATTCTGAAGTGTAAGTGTACATTTAAAAATTTTAAATATTCTTGTATCAGTTTTTTAAAATTAAAAGTTACATACAATTATTAACTGATATGTTAATAATAATAATAACGTTAATATTTATAATTATTAGTAATTTATTACACAAAAAAGCTGATTCTGTTGATAGGTGCATCACTGAGTGATGTTAGAAGAATCGTAGGGAAGATTTATGAGTAATTTAATTTTTATATGTGTACAACAATAAAATAATTGAATACATTAATAACGATTTTGAGCATAGGTAATATTTTACCTTGTTGCCGTGGTAACCTAGAAATCAAAAAATATTTTACAAAATATTGCGATTATTTCCCCAATTACCTATTATGAAAACTCCTTGGAAAATCAAAAAAATAATTTAATTAATTACAATTAGACCCAAAATGCAATAAATAATGTCTCTTGTTATTTTTTGATTGAAGTAAGATTTCTGATAGAAAAGTTGTTTACAGATTCCAATTTAAAAAAAAAACAATTAATTTTGTTGATGGATGCCACTGTTGTTGTTGGGAAGTTGGAAAGGTAGGATACATAAGGTTATTTAATTTATATTTACTGTGAAACCTCCTTTAATAGATACCTCCAAATAGCAGACGTTTTTTTGGGAACGGGACATTTTCATTATTTACATGTAGGAAAACCTCTAAATAAAGGATACTTTAAATAACTGACACTTTTTAACATTAATATTGATAGTTTTTATCATAAATTAAGAGTAATTGTAGAATACTTAAATAAAAGTTTACATTATTAAGAAATTTTTATTACTATAAATGTACATTATTATACTGTACATATATATCTTATATTATCTGTCCAGTTGTTGAAATATCATCATTTCGATAAAATGTTGTATTTAATTAATGTAAAAATAAAATAAAATTTATTTATTTAATTAATTAATTAATTAATAAAATAAAAATAACATTTTTCCCTCTAAACAGTGGACATCTTTAAATAGCAGACAAAGTTTCAGCGACCGAGAGTGTCTGGTATTTAGAAGTTTCACTGTATGGTTAGTAATAAATCATTGATTCTGAGTAAAGTTCGTTTATACATGATTTGAAAGGCCAGTCAAAAATTTGATTTTAAAACCTTTATAAAAAAAATTACTACATAAAACTTACCTTTTTTAACTTATAATGAACCTCTTGTTAACTTTTTAACCATTTCTATTTGATCAAATAATTATATCTACATAGTACCTTCCCAATAAAAATACGTAAAAACCTCACAAACATAATATGCCTATTAGTACAAAAATTTCCAATATGTTTTGAAAAGTTTATCACCCCTAAAAAAGACCTATATAAGTTTTCTGTTAAAATGTCAAGTTTCTACATTTTTAATTGAATTAAAACAAAAAAATAAAATTGAAACCATTATTTTTCATAAACTTTTCTGCAGTTTTTCCCATTTATTTATTATGCAAACTGCTGAGAAATAAAAATATGACTTATTCAATGACTAGATTAAAAATGCAATTAAAAAGATCCCTGTCATTAGAACAATTTTTATGTTTGAAAAGTTTTTTACAGATAGAAAAAAAACATAGTAAAACCCTCGCTCGGCTCAGAAATATAAAAAAAAGTACACACATTAAGTAAAACCAATAAATCCCTTGCTATGCTCAGAATCTGATATTAAGTATCCAATAATTTTATGATGTAAACATTTTTAAAATGTAACATATCTTTAAGTAGATTATTCAATGTTTTAGATAATACCAGTAGAATATAATGGCTGTGACTGTGATTCATTTGTATATTCTGTTTATGTAATTAATAAAAAGTTTTTTTTTCCAGGACTGTTTCTAATGATGATGATTTGTGGAATAATGAATTAATTTTAAGTAATGATAATATGCAGTTAGCTCATCCGGAACCCAGGCAAGTTTTAACATGTGCTGGGAGCAGTTCTCTACCACCAAATTTACCTAATAATGTTTGGGAAAAGTATGCTGTTGTCATATTATTTTCTATTTCTTTAGAAAATGATAATTATAAACTAGCATCTCAAGTTCAAACTACAATTATAGTAAATTATTCTTTATAGAGAAGATAAATCAAAATAAAGATTTTAATTTACTTTATTATAAATTGATGAAATCTAAATATAATTTTTGATAATAGAACAATACAGCAGTAAAAATCATTTTAAACTGTGAATAATTATTTATTATTATCTTGTTCATATTTATACATATAAAGTTACTAGCTATTATTATTAGGCATTTCAAATAAATTTGGTTTTCTTTTAGTTATAGAAATATTGAGCTTTTACATAGTGTTTAAAACATTACATATAAATAAATATGTTATATTATATAAATAATATTTATATTTAAATAAATTCTAGAGGAAGACATTTGTTAGAAAAAAGTTATGTTTATGTTATTATTATTTTACTAATTATACATATTTTAAATGTAGAAATTATGATCTCTGATGAATGGAAAGCATGATGGCTAAAAATGTTTTAATATATTCCTTAAAATGAATATTTTAAGTATTGATTTGTAGAGTAGGGAATATATATTTAAACATATTTATGAAGTTTATATTTTTATAGTATTTTTAATTTCCTGATTGAAACTGAAAACCAGCAAATTGCATAGTGTTAGATTGGATTAATTCATATCAGTATTTTCAAATCAGTCTTTCTAAATCTTAGATTTAATAAAATGCATATCAGATTATATACTATATATATATTATATGTATAGCTATTAAAGAAAAAAAAAATTAATAATTTATTAGATATACCTTTGGAATAGAACAAAATATAAAATTAAAAGTAAAATAATTTGTAGGTATACAATTTACTTAAAATTTAAGTAAATCATTGCTGATTCAAAGAAATATATTTGCAGAATTTATTANATACTATATATATATTATATGTATAGCTATTAAAGAAAAAAAAAATTAATAATTTATTAGATATACCTTTGGAATAGAACAAAATATAAAATTAAAAGTTTCTCAAATTGATGAATTAAAAAAATAATTTGTAGGTATAAAATTTACTTAAAATTTAAGTAAATCATTGCTGATTCAAAGAAATATATTTGCAGAATTTATTAAATATTACATTTCATAAAATTGTGAAACAAAAATTTAAAAAGAATATATGTATGCATATATATAATAATAATGAAATTGTAACTGTATAATATAAAAAGTATATTTTTGAAAATTAACATTTATTAATAATAAAAGGATATTATTGATAAAAAAAAAAAATATATATGTTTAAAAACTATTTTAAACTTTAATTTATAAATTCATTTTTTTTCAGGGAACATGTCTCAAAACAAATTGATACAGTTCAACATGATTTAGAAAGTTTGTTGAAAGGATTAAATGACAAGTATACTTTTGATGCAAATATGTTTCTTAATGTAAATTAATTTATTTTTATGAATCGAAATTACAATTTAGCATTTCTAAAATTTGTTTTCTTTTTTTATTTAGTTTATCAATGATGACCCTACAAATTTAAATTTTCCTCTCAAATCAGAAGAACAGACACTTAATGATGGTAATGTTATTTTATTTTTAATCTGTTTTATTTACAAACCTGTCTATAATTCAATCAAATGAAGATACTGTATAGAAATGGAAATTTCAGTAAATTGTATTTACACCCCCTGTAAATCAGTAGATACAAAATTTGACAAATTTTAATTTTAATTGGTCCCTTGGAGTTCTTTTTTTATATAGTTTTCATTATGTGCGTATATAAATGTTTAAGTAACATTGATTAAAATAGTTTTTAAAATCTTTTGTAATAAAATTGTATTATAAAAAACTTAATCATAGTTAATCAATAGGTGCATAAATATTTTGATATTATTATTTTTTCAAAAAATGTATTAATTTTAGTACAAGTACTTATTAACAGAATTTACTAACATAATATGTTATTATGTTTTTTTTTTGATTGGAATTTTAGTAAAAAATGGGTTGAATGTTACACCAGACAATCAAATTGTGTCATGTCTATCACCAAACGCATATGATTTAAATGATTTGATGACAGCTTCTGCTGATTGGAGTTTACCAAACACGCCTATATCTTTTGAATCAGCAATTGAAAATGAAACATTGAACACGCCACAAGTATCAGAATCATTGTTAAATTCAGACTCACTTTTTCCAAATACAACATTGTCTGAAACTCTTAAAAAGTAATTCCATCAAAACAAAATTTATGAAAAATGTGTATTTCTTTTCATTGTTATTATTATTAATGTTTTTCTGGTTATATTTTGTTTGTTTTTAGTATGAACAATAAATTATTGTAAAAAAAAAAAAAAAAAAAAAAAAAAATGATTATATAAATAATTTGGAATGTTAGTACTATTAAAAACAACATTTCTTCTTTATTTTTAAATTTTAAGTTTAATTTTAAATATGTACATGTTATGATAATGATTTCTGATTTTATTTTCTAATTTTTTAAACAAATCTTTCTGACATAATTTTTTAATAAATTCCATTTCAAAGTAATCATTTTTTTTTTCAAATTTTTGATTAACAATTTATTTTTAATTGTTTTCAAAATTATTAAACTTGCTCTTTTATTGAAATTATTCAAATAATTTAAAGTTTACAGTTATAGTATAATTTATTAGTATTTCAATATTTAGATATCTATTTCACATAATATTTATTATTTTCATTGAATAGATTACAATAGCTTATTTGGACATACTAGCCCAACAATAATATAATGTTAATAATTTTTATTAATAAATACAATTATTAATACATAATAATGTCATATATAATATAATATATAATATACATATATTAACACAATTTAAATTAAAATATTTTACTATTATCAATTAATAAGTTGCTTTTTCTTTTTAATATGTTTAAATCAAATTAACTGGATGGATAAATGTAGGGTTCTAAATATTTTTTTTTTGTCAAAAAGTATTTAGTATTTTGATGAACAATAAATGTATATTTTGTGAAAGAAAATAATCATTTTAATTTTATTTATTTTTCAAAATTTACAATACTTTTCTGTACTTGTATATTATCTTATATATTATGTTATAATAATTATAAAATAGTGGTCATTATTGTTTTATTTGATAATATTTTATATTGATGCCTTCAATATTATATTATCCTTGTATAGTAACCAGTGGTGTCAAACATATACTTCAGATAGTTAAATTAAACTGTTTTGTAAAATGGACGGGTGGATCAGATTAGAGGATAAGTTAAAATATTATATACAAGTGGGTGTAACAAACTTTATTTCAACATTATTTCCTTTGGTATTTAGAAGTTAAATTACTAGAAAAATGGAGTTGTCTATTTTTGAAAAAGGGGAACAAATTGATAATTTTGGAGTAGTTGAAAATGAAAAAAAAAATGAAGTTTACTTGTGATTGCATTAGACCTCGTAATTGGAAAATGTGAGTGGGTTCAATTATTCAAGTGATTTATGTCAATTTTGTTTGGTACCACTGTACGTATAGTACAAAGACATAAATAATACAATATTAGGTAATTAGGTATACTAACAATATATAATGGTAAATCTTTAAAATATTGATTATTTTATCTTAAGTTATACAGAGGTGGCCAAAAGTCGCGCGACAAATTTGCATTTTGGCAGTGTTACAAACGATAACGAATATGGAACTGCGTCTAATAGGTTATGTTGTTTTTTTATAAACTTTGCTGTTGTTGTACGTAAACAAGATAATGAGACCAAAGTTGCAATATGACGTAACGGAAACGACATGGAGGGTGAAACACGTTACATACAAGACGGTAGGCGTTGCGCGACTTTTGGCCACCTCTGTATTTAGGTACATTGTTATATTAGAATGTTGAACAGTATTAGATAAATTAATTGCTTATACCTTAATATTTTAATGTAGGTATTACCTAGTAATATATATTTTGAAAAATGAAATTTGATTTTTTTATGTTCAAAATATATACCAGAGATGGGCAACTCATTATTACAAGAGGATCAATTTTTAAAAATTTAAAATCTAGCAGGCCAAAAATAGGTCAATAAAATTTATAATTTACTATTGACATTTATTTTTTATGTTTAATTATTTATACATGTGTTATTTATTAATTAATTTGAAAATGTAGCATGGACCAGTGAAAAATGTTACGCGCAGGCCTCTAGTTGCCCTAGTATATAGGTACTAAAGGTACACGGGCAAATGGTTTATGGATTTCACATTACATTGGAAAATTCAATTCTGAGTTTTGTTTCTTGAATTCTTTGTTTTTAGTTGGGAAATACATTTTTGAAGATAAAATTATGAAAATAGGTAATTCACTGAAAAAATAATTCCTTTGTTGAGTTTACTGAGAATTAGTGAAAGTCCCTATCATTGGCGCAATTAAAATTTTGAGGCACAATTGGATGGATCATACATTTTCCTATGTATTATTTTTAACTGTGGTTGAGTCAACATACCTCGAAAATAACAGAGCAACTAGGTATTCAGTTTTTCAAAGACTGCAATTTTATTTTTTTTTAAATAAAATAGCCCTTTATGTTATAATTAGATATCAACCTAAACTAATTATAGCGAGTTTCAAAGTGTTTTTTTCAAATACCTACCTAGTTAAATGGAATAAATTGTAGTAAAATAATCTTTATCATTTTTATTACTCACATTTAGAATTGTCTATAAATCAAGGAGTTATTTGGTTTTTAAATTTGGCAAATAATTATTATACCCAATTTCATACTACCCAATATTGATAAGTATCTACCAAATTATATTCAATTTTTGGCAATATATGTAACTTTTGACTGTATTTATTATATTTACAATTACAATACAATTTATAAAAATGCAGTTTTTTCTTGTATTTAGTAGGTATAAAATAAATAGGTACCTGACAAATATTTGTGACATAAATTTTCATGGGTTTTAATTTTTAAATTTTTAAACTTTTATTTGAAATGCTGACAAAAAAGACCCTGCGGAAAATGTCCATAACATATTATTATACAATATTGAATCAAAGTACCTAGCTAAAAATTGTAACCAGGTCATAATAGGTATTACAATTAAAATGATTCGTTGTAAGGTTAACCAACAATATATCAATGTTACAAACTTACAACGATATTTAACAATAAAATATACAAATATACAAATTAATGGAACAATAATAATTAGGTATAATAATTAAATTAGTTTCTGACTTATTAACTAATTACCTACCTGAATTTATTAACTATTAGGTATATTAATGTTTAATAGGTACAATTTTTGCTTTTTTTTTAAATGTGTTTTGATAATATTTGTATCCCTTTATTAATAGTACAGTACATTGATTTAATCCAAAAAAATATTTTTAGTGTAACACCGAGGTTTAAAGTTCATTTACTACTTACATTTTTTGCCCAAAACGAAAATTTAATGTTTAATTTAAGAACTTAGAAGTTTTCGTTTAGTTCAAGTTTTTGTTTTTAAGTCAAAATTGGTAACAATAATATAAAGTGGGTAAAACAACCAGATTTATGTGGAATACAATAAGCATATACAAACACAAACGTTTAAAGTTAAAATATAAAATAGTAATATAAAAGTAGGTACCTACCTAGTTTATTTTCTAGTTATAGCTACAGTGTGTTTAACTGTAAAAGTAATACGAAATATTTTGTTACGATAATCTTCAATTTGAGTAGAGTTTTTTTCGATGGTCAGTACCTAACGTAACTACCTACTATAGGTAGACATTGGCAGACATCTACTTGTTTGCCAATATATGTAGCTACACACGTACCTACATATTAAAATAAAAAAAATCGAGTTGAAATGTTTGTTTCTGTACGTACACAGAATCAAAATAATTGGTAGGTATTTAGAAAAAAAAACTAATCTAAATTTAATTTGTTTTAAATCATAGGTACCTACTTATAGTACCGTAGCCAGAAAAAATTCTCATGGGGGGAAAACTTAATTTTTTTATCTATTTTTTGTTAATCTAGAATATTTATCACCTGTTATTTTATGACTCCTTTATTCCCCTATTTCCTTATCGCTTATTATTTATACCTCATTAGTATTACAATTTAAAATTAAAACAAATTGTGTAGCCTTATTGTAAGAGAATTTATGAATCGTTAATTTCAGAGAGGGGACATGTCTCTAAAACCAAATTTTACAGAAGGCACAAAAAACTGTCTAGGCAAGACTGAGAAGGAGCTAGGCGTACAAATGAATAAGTATCTACATAAATTACGTGATATCCAACTTTTTAAAAATTAATCATCTCGATATTTTTTATAAATTAACATTTACGCACCATTGGCAGCCATTTTAAATTGTTAGACATGTCCCCACTCTTAAATGTTATGAAAAACCTAAGTATTAGAAAATATCGGTTTTAATTACACTTAAAAATTCCAAAAATCAGAATTTGAATATATTCAAAATTTAACCTAAAAATTGGGGTGAGTACGCTTAGTGAATCAATCTGTATAATATTAATAATAGTAGGTATTGCTGATAATCATTTTATTAGTATAACGAATTTATGTGAACTGCACTATAGCATTACGAAAAAAAAAGATTTTGGGGGAGGCACGTGTCCCCATTGCAGTGTCCCCCTTGGCTACGGTACTGCCTACTTATGTTACTCGATGTTTTATATCTATTGGAAAAACAAATCAAATTCAAATTTATTCATTAGAAATATTTCGCGTTGCCTTTTATCGCTGTTACCTATACATAGCAGTCATTATTTTTATATAATTGGTAGATAAGAAATATTACTGTATTGATTTTGATTTTTGGCACGTCGAATTGTTAATCCTTTTTACATGTGAATAGAATTCTGTGTTTCAGCATTTGATATTGGCCAGCCTACGATCATATCATTTTTTTCTGAATTATTGTCTTCTGTTTGTTCGGGTGAAGACGGAGTAGGCGATGTTTGTGTACGACGTGATCGAACACTTTTACTAAAAAAAAAAAAAAAAACCAATCGTATATAAGTTAAGTTATAGTTCATAAACTGACTTGAATAACTTTATGGACTATGGTAAATATATACATAGGTATATATTGGGTAAAATAAGATTACAGGGTTTAAAACAAAACAAATTATGATTAACGATTTTGGGTTTTTTTTTTTAAATAATATCCGGAAAAAGAGACAATCAGACAAATATTGACTGCACGCCGCGGTGTTGCCGATTTCGTTATGTTACATTTTTTTCCAATTTTCTTTTTGGCCAAAAGTATTGCGTTAAATTCCAAAAGTAGTACCTATTCTGAAAAAAAATATTGTCTAGTTGGTAAATAGCCGTCTTTTTGATATTCCGTGTAGTTTTCTTAATAATTTGGCAAAACCGAGAATAAACGGGAAATTTAACTGAAATAATGCGTTATTTCTGTAATAATAAACCACGGTCTCATTATTTTTAATTTTGTTGTTCTATTATTATTCGGTTGGAAAATTCGTAGATTACCTACCCTGAAATTATCACACAATACTAATATTAGCCATTTTTAGACATGGTAAAATGTTGTTTTAAGCGTTTTAAGATCAAGTTGTTATCAAAATCGTAAACATTGCGGCCTTTCAAAACACCTATAACCGAACATCGCCCAGAATCGTTTTTCGTTAGCAATGGTTTATCGTTGCTTACATATATACATTAAATAACTTTATATATCCTGCCTTTTTAAAAATTTACTCGAAGTTCATTTTAAGTTGCTCTAAGTGATGATATGTGTACCTACCATTGTTATAAATGGGAAATCGGGAAGGTAGGAAACATAATTTATATCTGTATGCATCGAAAAATTATTGCTGAAGAAATACGATTTTGTTCGGTTGTACATGCTTTGAAGTGCCGTAATTTTTAAGATTTTCGTCAGTATTTAAACATTAAGTGTTCATGAAAAAAAAATACTACATTACGCTCAACTTTTTTTATTATATCAAATCCAACTTTTTGATGAAGCACGTGTTAAGTTAAAAATCATTTTGACATGGCCATTAATTACATCCATGTAAATCGAAAAATAATACACGAAATTACGTGATTTTTACGACTTTCATTCAAATTTGAACTTTAAACGCGTATATAAACGATCTGATCTACTCCAAGCCACACCGCTCTATGCTGCATTGATAAAAGAGGCACTTCCATTCGTTCAATGAAAAAATATTCCCAAATTCACCCCTTGCACCGCCATTCCAACCATCTCTACTCATCTATAACATTGACTTATCCATGAACAGTATAATATCTTACTTTTCCTCCCTTTGCTTATAGTTGCATTTTTATTAAATGTTTTATAAAGTTGCTGGTTCATGATAAAAAGAAAATATCACCCTATACATATAGAAAAACGTACAACAATCAAAATATTAGATTAGGTAGTGAATAGTGATGCGGGCGACTCACTGGTTATTTTCCGATTGATGAGCGTATAAATCGTCGTAGTCCTGAGCTATATACGAACATCGACTGCACATCTTTTTGCTGTGCACTTTTAATACGTGGGTCGCAAGCCGCTCGGCCCTGGCCGCTTTGTATTCGCAGAAAATGCACTCGTACGGTTTCATGTGCGTGTTCAGGTGTCGTTTGAGGCACCAGTTGTCCATGCCCGACCACGAACAGTACGTGCACGAGTACCGTTTTCTGAAGTTCCTACGGTCGTTGTTTTTGCACTGCGCTTCGGTTGCCATCACTTCTGCTGCCGTTGCTGCTGCTGCTGTTGCTTCTGTTGTGGATGCGTCGGTCGGTATCATTGTTGCTGCGGGCGCGTCTGTCAGCATCATTGTTGTTGCGGGCGCGTCCGTTAGTACCATTGCTGTTGCGGGTGAGTCCGTCAGCATCATTGTTGTTGCGGGTGCATCCGTTAGTACCATTGTTGTTGCGGGTGAGTCCGTCAGCATCATTGTTGTTGCGGATGAGTCCGTCAGCATCATTGTTGTTGCGGGTGCGTCCGTCATCACCATTGATGTTGCGGGTGAGTCCGTCAGCATCATTGTTGTTGCGGGTGCGTCCGTCAGCACCATTGATGTTGCGGGTGCGTCCGTCAGCACCATTGATGTTGCGGGTGAGTCCGTCAGCATCATTGTTGTTGCGGGTGCGTCCGTCAGCACCATTGTTGTTGCGGGTGCGTCCGTCAGCACCATTGATGTTGCAGGTGCGTCCGTTAGCACCATTGCTGCTGCTGGTGCTTCCGTCGGCATCATTGCTACTGCGGGTACGTCCGTTGGCATCATTGCTGGTGCTGGTGCGTCCGTTTGTATAATTGATGCTGCTGGCGCGTCCGTCGACATCATTGCTGTGGGGTCCACCGTTAAAATGGTCTCCGGAGCGAACATCACCTAATAAGCACGTAAATATAATTACTTATGGATATTCGTATCAACATTTTTGTTTCAACAGCTTGTTTTCTAATGTTTATGATATTATAATATGTTATTATGACCAGGGCCAATGCGCAACAGCATTCATTTTTGTGTTTTTATTTTTTTGAGTGGAGGTACGGGGAGCGGTATAAATCTCAATTTGTTTGATTATTTACAATATTTACAATTATTTACAATTATTTACAATTATTTACCAAATTATTTACAGTAATAACTTTATAAGGTTAATTTTTAAAATGTGTTTATAATATTTAACAGTAGTAAAAAAAGATAACGGGTTTTTACGTATACAGTTATACAGATTTTCACCTAATTATTTTAACAATGTAGTTTTAAATTTGATACTTATGTTAAAATATTAAAACCACCGCCAAAACGAAATCCCGGGCATGCCCCTGGGGTGAATAGGGGGCCAAGACCGCCCGAAAATTACTCATGATTAATCATTTAGAGTCTAAAAACAATTTGAAAACGTTACCAAGTTCACGTGCGGAACTTACCGGTTTCAACTGGCTGGTCGATATCGGTATTTGTATGGTGTGCGTGCCGGTCTGCTCGTTGAAATTGACGACGGCTATGTTGACGACCGTTTGTTGCTGCTGCTGCTGTTGGTCGTCCTGTAGAATGATCGGCGTAGCGCTGATGATCGGTGCCGAAGTCAGCGGTTGTACGTCGGTCGTTTGCGACACGATGATCTGCGGTTCCGGTTCGATCATCGACGACGGGTCACCCGAGTACAACGTGACCCGCGGATGTTTCCGCTGGATCCCTACATTGCCGTACAGGTCGCGTTTCACCCGGCTCAAACAGTACTCGTATTCTCTGTGCATGCGCGTATAATGTTTCTTCACGTGATCTGCCCGGTTAAACTGCTTTTGGCATACATCACACATGAACGGTTTGTTATCCTTGTGTATGTTCTCGTGCCTGATGTGCAGGTCCCGCCGGTCGGTCCCGTACGGACAATAGGAGCAATTGTAACGCTTTTGGGCGGTCTGCGTCTCCGTGTCGGCCGCAGATATCTGCATCTCGTCGTCCGAATCGATAGCGTAAGCGGCCGCGTCGGCCACGGCGTTGCTGACCACGGCCGCGTTTTTATCGGCCAACGCCTTGTCCGCGGCAGCTTTCAGCCGGCCCAGGTAGCTGGTCACCTCTTCGAGCACAGGACTCTCTTTCCACGGCGACCGGCCCGCGGTCTGTTGTTCTTTTAGCCCGTTGGCGGCCACCACGTTGTGTTGCCGGGACATGTGTGTACGTATGCATCTGGCCCACGCGCTGGCGTACGGACACTGCGGACACTGGAATACCTTGACATCCGCGTGCGTGCCCAGCCAGTGCTCAGCCACGCTGGACAGCAGGCCCACCGATTCGCACTCTTGACACTTGAACAGCTTCCTGTCCGCGTTGTAGCTACTGATCTTTGACGTGGTCCACGATATCGTCTCGTCGCTGGTCACCCACGGGTCCTCCTTGGGCTGCTCCTGTTCGCCGAAAGATTCTGCTGCTGTGGCCGTTTCGTTGTTCTCGATCACGCTGAGGCCCTCTTCCACTATCTGGTACTTATCCTGTTCCGCCAACTGTTTGTTCTTGGAGGACGACGATCTATCATGTCCGTAAATTTTTTTCGTAATTTCTTTGAACATGTCTTCGTAAACATCCATGTGTACGTTCGCCATCGCTACTTGATTACCATCTGGCTCCACCGTTATTGATGTGTGGATACACGGCACGCGTTTACCCTGTATAATTATAATATATGCGTAATATTATAAATATATTAAATAATAAATAATAATATACTGTTATAATCAATTCAGAACGATTCACACTATAAGCGTGCTCATCCCATTTTTTTTCCTGCCAAATTCTGATTCTTGGGATTTTCGTGTAGTTAAAGCCTGTATTGTTTTTGAATATTTCGATTTTTCAGAACATTTAAGGAGTGTCCCGTGGCGAAAACAACTTTGGTTTTTCAAAAATGAGAACCTGTACTAAAAAATCCAAAAATGGATTGAGTATTAGTTTAAATAAATTTTGGTGTTAAAATTTTGGCCCGTTTACGAGTTATTTCAATTATAAGTTTGGGTCGAGTAGCGGAATACTATTAAAACGCCACGAGCCGTGCTACAACACAAATGACACTCCACTACTTACTGTCCACCCACCTAAACTTAAAATTGGAATATCCCGTCAACGGGCTAAAGGAAATCAAAAATGTTAACATCAGAATGTATTCAAACTAATACTCCCGTCTATTTTTAGTGGAGTTCTCATTTGAAAAGCCAAAGTTGGTATCGCCACGGGTCACTCTTTAAATGTCATTAAAAATCTAAGTATACTCGAAAATATCGGCTTTAACTACATTTAAAAATTCCGAAATCAGAATTCGAATGTATGCAAAATTTAACTGAAAAAAAAATTGGGTGTGAGCACGCTTAGTGTATCACTCTGTATATATGTTTATTCGATTTTAAAAGAATTTCCTAGAGTACTTTAAGAGTTTCAAATAAAACGAAATTTGTATGCAAACGTACTTACTATGTTTAATTATTTAATATATTTTTTGTAGGAAAATTCTAAATAGTAAGAAAAACAATTAGGTCTATACTAGCAAAAAAAAAAAAAAAAACTACATAAATATTTCAGAAACACGAGTACGCAATTCAGTACTGGATATTTTCACGCAATAATTAGATAAAATTACCACGAAATGACGCTGACAAATTTTCACTCGTGCATGTTTTTTAACCATTATAACATTATAATATTAATGTACCTTCGTTGTAAAACAGCCAAGTCGGTCTATTTGGGAATGACAAAAGAGTTTAATAGTTTAACATAATTCTAGTTACCCGGTACTTATAACAAATGTGTACATTTTTTATTTTTCGAATTACTACTAGCGTTGAGTTGTATTTGTTATAAAAAGTAGGTACATTTTTATAAATAATATTTTACTACTCCCACATTTAGACCGGCATAGTATAGAGTAGCTATATCAATAGTCAATACATCCATAGCCAAAACACCTGTTACGTGTGCACTAGGGTGGTCCTTATTTTTCGCTTGTGATTTTTTTCAGGTTACCCCCCTAAAAAGGTTCGATTACTAAAAAATACGCTACAAAAAAAATTTCAGGCAAATTCATTAATATTAATTAATTAACCCGTGCCACAAAAGCTCTAAATTTACAAAAATTTTCAATATTATCAATTTTTAAAATTTTTTTTTTAATATAACTCCAGGAAAACCTACAAAATACTTACAAAAAATCTGTTAAAATATAAATGATAGAACACTACATTTTCTGCAATTTGTTCATATATAATATTTTGAAAATATATTATTTTTTCAAATATTTTAATTACAAGGTAAAAACAAGAATAATCTTAAACATTTTAATATTTAAGACAACTTAAAATACAACTAATAATTATTTATAATAACAATTTACAATTATAATAACATTGTTACCTAATTATGTGTTTTAGTATTAACACATATAAAATCATCGATTTCCTTTTCTAATAACTCATTTGCATTTTTTCGCGATATAGTTAAACGTTGTGCATTTGAAATTAATTCTGATGAACTTTCGTCGTTGTTTAGAGCATGAACCATTTTTCTTTTTATCTCCAGTGGCACAGCTTCATAGAAAAGAGCAAAAGCACATAATTCTTGAGATAAATACCATAAGTGACCACAAAACTTTTTAACTGCAATCTGAGATATATCTTTGTCTATAGAGGTATAATGTAAAAGACTTTTTATACAATTCAAGTTTTGTAATGGTGCTTTGTTTGAAGATGATAAGTTGAACCATACTTTTATGTATAATCGTACAATAAAAACGCAAATACTTCTCAAAGCACTTTCTTCTTTTGGTGTTAAATGAAATTGTTCGCTAAATAAATATATTTTCAAGCTATAAATAGCTTTGGCCATCCACCGCGCGTGATGAATGGCTCCTGGTATTTTAAATCGAATATTATTAGGAAGTTTTCCACCCAGAAAAATTACTGTTAATTCTAGTAACTCTCGGTAATCATCTCTTGGGTGATTTTCTAAAAGTATAAATTCCTCACTATTTACATCGTCACATTCGTCAGAACTACTCGACGACTGTAGTTCTACAGTTTTATCTGAAATTAATTTTATATTATTACNTTTTATCATTTTTTGATCAATACCAAGCAACGACCCAGGTCGACCTTTCTGTCTCTGGGCTATTAAAAATGCTTTGTCATTCTCAATAGACAGTAAATCTAATGCATTTGCACTCGCTACGTCGAATAAATCATCTAACTTTGATAGAAACTGCGAATTTTTTTTCCATTTGCACTTTTCCTATATTCTAATTTTTGTAAATTTCTCCACTCTTTGTATAAACCTTCCAGCTTGTTCACACACTTTTGTTCTGTTCTCGTTGGTATGCGTGCCTTTCGCCAAAAAATGATTGCTTCTTGTATCACTAATGTAGCACTTTGATGCAAATTTAAGTTTACTTTACGCATATTAAAAAATAGTACCGACAAAACTTGTTTGTTTGATGGTAATTTACTACCAACAATTTGATTTGTACTATATCCAATTAAAAAAATATATTTCGACTCACGTAAACTCTCCCTGGTAACCATTGTAAGTCACTAAAATAAAATGTATGACGTACAAAATTTGAAAATTTAATACTCAACAATTTTAGTGTGACAATGGTTGTTGTAGTAAGTCAATTGAGAAATTAATCAATAAATCGAAAAATGACTACAATGACATGATATATCCGATAACATATAAGTATAAATTGTAATAATGTGTGATGAGAATAAAGAATGTAGATAATATATTATTTGATTGTCTGAGTCATAAAAATAATCTTTAGGTAATAATCGCAAAATATGGGTACTGGGTAAAGTGTATATTATTTATTTGTGCAATCGACCGATAGCCGATAATGATTATGATTTTTTTTTTGACCTTTTTGTTCAAATATTTAAAAAAGCTTTAAATTTATAATATAAATTATAAAAAACAAACTATTGTAAATTTAGTTTTCTTTAATTTATCATCTAAAGAATTTATCGTGAGATCCTTTTCTCTAGAGTTATGTTGGTTTTATAACAAAAACTTAACGATTTTGAAAAATTGTCTATATTTGTAACTTCAGAGCTGTTATGGCACGGGTTAAATTTATTTGATTTGTCTAAAACTTTATTTATATCATTATTTTTAGTAATGGAACTTATTAGGGGGGAGTAATTTGAAAAATTTTTTTTTTCATACATAATATAGTACTACCCTAGTGTGCACGTGACCCAGAAAATAGTTTAGATTATACCCTGTACATAGGTGTTATACCCGTTTTTATCGAGAAACGAACGGCTATTAAGAATATATGTTAGAAAAAAAAAACTTCCTACATTCAGTGGCGTCCGTCATTTTTTACTCTAACAACTGAGATAAAATATAATTTACACTTCAGCACTGTGATTCTAATGGGATCATCCTATCGACGTCCCAAGAAGGACTCCATAATAGTAGCCTCACAAGATTATGGTATCATTGTATTTAAGATTTTGAAATAATCGAAATAATTATTAAAACCAAAAATTTGTGTGGGGGGGGGGTGGGGAGGGGGGCACTGGACTACGGAACTGATTTCCACTATTCACAGGAAGTTCAATTTAGAGGTAAAAGTCTTCATTCCCAAAAAAGTTAGCAAATTCGAGGTTTCACTGTATATATATAATAATTTAAAAGTGACTTACGATAACTTATATACCGATGAAATGGCCTATGTTCAAAAAAATTAATGGATGAAGGGTTAAATATATGTTAGGTTAGGTTCGATGCCCGGTGGCGTATTCTGAACCACGGTCGTGGTATTTCGCGTTTTTATTTACTCGATTTCTCTAATAAAGTCCGATTCCCAGTTAGAAAAGTGATAGGGTACCTGATGATGAATATTAAAACAAAACATGGAATCCTTAAGGAGTCTCTACATACCCATTGTGAGGTTTAACAGGTGTTTTCCAGGAATCCTTGGGCACTTGTCACAATAACAAAATACAATCAATTGATTTTAATATCATATAATATCATGTTAATATATGAAAATGTTCAAGATATTTTATTTGCACAGCCCCCATCCCCTCTAATATGTACTTACCCCCGGTATGAACTTGAGATCGGCGCCACTGTAAATATATTATAGGTATCCATTATAAATATCTCAATTTGTTATTTCCAATGTCTATCGATTTAATTCTTATAGTGAATGGGGCTATGTTTTAGTTTTAGTTTTTTTTTTTTTTAGAAATAACAAGACATTATACATAATTATTGTCAAAAATGCATCGCCTAAGTAAAAATAATCGGACGAGGGAGGTTTTCTTTATACTTTACAGTGCGACGCACGCACATTCGTAAATTGTATTGCATTCGTTTGTGTTGAAAACCATTTACATGTACACAAATCGTTAACTTACGGTCCATACACGTATGCGAAAACTTACGATTACGTACACGGAATGAATAATGCATTTTATAAACATCTGGCCGTAGTGATAAGGAACGTTGCGGCAGTAAATTGTACACAACATTTTGATTACGATAAATCGATAGCCCGACACAAAGGACTGGTCGGCATAACGTATGGAGACAAAAACGTTTCGTGCTCGGAACAGTAACGTGAAATATTCGTCGACCGTAACGATAACAATCGTTAGAGTTAACAAGTACCTATAGTACCAACTAATAATACAAAATAATTAATATTGTCATCGTTCTTGTTGCCGTTTGACCGCGTACGCTCCGATGTAGGTGAAATGCATAACCGGGCGCCGTACAACTCGTGCGTACGGCACGACGACGACGGTCGCACAAACCCGAGTATCGTTAGATAGTAACATACAGGTGTGTCAGTGGCGTATTTGGGATTTTCGGGCAAGGAGGGAGATATTGAAATGGCGAAAAAAAATTAAAGGTCAATTATTATTCGTACGTGTGTAGTTTACGATTCAATCTGCCCTAAAATTATCATCGAAACCAAATGGTCATACGCATAAATATTATTGGTTGATTTAACATTTATTGGTACTGAGACACTCAGATTTAACGGTTCGAAACAAGATAATGTGTACGGGGGTGTTTTTGTTTTTCAAAAATGTATTATCAGCTAAAGGTTAACGCCAAAGGGGACACGTTAAATATTGTCAATTTTTCCGACCAATAAGTGAAGAAACTTCTATTCGAAAACAGGTAGTCGTACAAAATAATAGACCCGGAAAAAAAGTCAAGGAGGGGGAGTGGGGGGGGAGTGAAGGAGCGATATATAACTCTCTCTTTAATGTAGCCCCTCCCCCCCCCCGTAAACACGTCGCCGGAATATTTTTTGTTTTTTAAACGCGCATCGTTGTCATCTCACCGCTCTCGACACTGTTACTGTTGCCGCGGCCGTCCGACGTCCGTCGTAAATAATCGTTGCGGGCCTATGCGTAATGAGTCGCGTACGCGTCGTCCAATCGATAATCATAAATAGTTTGGCGAAATGTGCGTATGTGTGCGCGCGGTGGACGGTGTACCACACACTTGTTGTGTGATAACAGCGCGGCGGTATACCGGCTAATGACCGCGTAACATTCGTACGGTTCGCGGCACAGAGACCGTGCGCGTATTATACCGGGCGCGCGGTAATGCCGCGGACTCGCGGGGTCGTGGTGTGGTGTGGTCCGCAATAGCGCGCGCGGCGATTAGCGGCCACCGCCGTGCGGGCAGCGGCCGCACGGCGGACGGACGCGGTAACCGATAAAATATTATACGTCTTACGACACTCTTACTGGTATTGCCGGTATGCGTTGCGTGCGGCGTTTTCCCCCGTCGACTATCCGGGCGGCGTCCGAATCAATTGCCGCTGGGCCGCCGGCGGTACGGCACGGAGGCAAACGGAGTCGGCGGCGGCGGCGGCGGCGGCGGCGGCGGCGTTGGTGGCGGCGGCGGCGGCGGCCGAACGGCGACAAATGACCGCGCGGCAGAGGGAAATGATGATAAACAACCGCAAACGTCGTCGTGTGCGATGATCGAATCGAAGAAATGCATGCCGACCCGTGTCGGAGAGTTATTGTCGTTGTGCAGCTCCCTCTGCCGGACGAGCGCGTTTAAAAATAACGCGAAATACGCGTGTGTGTGTTTTGCAGTCGGTTGTTTTTTTTTTTTTTTTGTCACTTTTTTCGGACTTTGTGTTGTTTTTTTCGCGGAAAAATAACACTCGACGAAAAAACAAAATAACTACGCATACACGTTTGGGATTTTTTTTTTTTATTTTTATTTTTTCGGACGAATGACGGTTAGATGGAGTAAAAGACTACTAAACGCAGAGAGGGGTTAAAGCGTAACGCGAAAGGGCGTGGCATACGAATTCCGTTCGATCGGCTACAGCTTTCGGTTGCCCACGGCGACCAAGCGCTTTGTTTTAATATTCCGCTGCCAGATGGCGCCAATTCGATACACCTACTTAAAACATTGTCCCCGAACCCGAGAGCTTTTTATAAACTTTCCTCGAAAAATGTAATACTGCCTCTGTATACAGCGATCCGGGTTTTCGTCGATTTCTCGCTGCCTGTAGGAGCGTCCGCCTATAATCGATACTCTGAAACGTAAACCCGTTCGCAAATCAATGCGTTTATTTATGTAGGTATTCGCAACAGTTAGCCATGGTGAAACGAGAACCGACAACGAAGACATTGTTTTTTCGTCCGTTTGTCGTTATTGTCTCAGCTATACGCTGCTGTCGAGGGGACCTATAACCGTATAATCGCATTTCGAAACCTTCAATAATATCGTCTAAAGATTATCTGCAACACTCAGTTTTTATTTCGAAACTATGCTCATTGAGCATTGCTCGAGCGGTCTAGACCAACTTTTTGGGCGATGGTCCGACGAGACGGAGCTTGACCGAAGTCAACCCGCTGCGGCCCGCGGGCGCCGGAAATGACCTATTCTTTTATTTTACATTTTGTTCGTCGATTTGACGGCAAAAGTCTTACTTAGAATTTGTTCGGGGACCGCCGTAGTGCGGACCCGTAGCCACCATAAGTGTTTACGGTAAGCGAACATTTTTATTTTCGTATAAATTACATTATATTATACTGGAGGAAAGACTTTTGGAGATTTCAATTACGGGTCGTGCCATGTTATATGCGCAGCATTATACACGCCGCCCGTGGAAACTGGTAATGATAATAATTCAAACTAATATTGCACCTATGCGAAACGATAAATTACAATAATAACGTCGTGTACGACAGCCGTCGCGGTGCGCGAGGAGGGGTGCGAGGGGGCGACGGCGGTGGGGGGGGGGTGTACGAGAGGAGGTCGACGACGGCTACGCGGTGACGATTTCTGCTATACACGACGACGCCACTGCCGTCGCCGAATAATAAACGACGGGAAAAAAAAAAAAAAAAAAAAAAAAACATCAAACGATATGATGAGGGTCCCGCGCGCAGGCAGAGGTGGCTGGCAGGTAAGTCGACCCGGCACAGTCGATACCGTCGAATGATAATAATAATTATTGTGGGTCATAAAATATCGTATAGCTCCCGTGTAAAATGTAAATGTTTACAGGTGTTTGGGAACGGTAATGGGCCTGTGCCGTTTTGGCCGCACTGATTGGTGAATTACGGCGGTGACCCGGTTTCCACACGAGTCTTCGGCGTGTGTGCGTGTCGTAGCGTATACAGTAGGTACGTGTACGCGAAACGTGTCGCGGGTGCGCGTGCGCTGTGTACGGGCGTTTGTGTGCGGGTTCGCGACGCCGCGACTACCGGACTACGGTGTGTAAGTACAAACGTGTGTGTACGCTTATACTGTAACCGCCGCGCGCACGCGGGTGCGTTTGTCCCGCGCGTGCCTTTGTGTGTATACGTTGGAACGGTCGCGGGCGCGGGCGCGCGCGCGTGTGCGTTGTCGTTTTCGCGCATACAGGGTGCGCGGGAGGGTCCCTCGCTAGTCGGGCTAATCCGCCGTCTGTGTGTGTGCGTGTGCACGCCGCGTTAGGTCAACTGGAGTAGTGCGTACTCCCGTAAGCCCTCCGCGCGTCGTCGTCGTCAGTTTTTGAGTGTCTCGGTTTGTGTGGTGGCTCTACCTCGCGCGCTGGCGAGGCCCGTCGTCTCAGCCACCGCCACCGCCGCCGCGTAGTGTGTAAACGGGCGCGCGCGACCGCGTCTACTGTTTGTGCCGTCCGTAACGGCGTGCGGTCCGAAACAAACCCGTAATAATTGCGATAATTACAGTTACACGGAATTGTGTTGTAAATATTTTAATATAATAAATATTATTGTATAGTAATTTATTATTGTTACGATGATGGATTATAATAATATGTGCCGTGCCGATATTTTTAACGATACATAATACCATAACACATAATATATTTTAGTGTCGTGTTTTCGGGTTTAAATGATGTATACTTTCCTTTACTGTTATTATTATTATTATTATTATTATGCGGTTGGCAGGTGATTTGTACGGTCGACCGTCGTTGTCACAGTAGGGGGCGCGGTGCGCGGATAGGTTGGATACGACGCGACCACCGAACGAAGAGAACTACGGAAAAACCCCGGACGAGAGAACATCGTGGCACAGAGGTTTGTCCGGGCGTGTGCCCGTGCAGCCGGCCGTCGACGATGCCATTCGGCTGGTCGCCGGACAGCACCAGCATCGTCGCCAGCACGTCGTCTAGCGATCGTACCTGCGGCAGTAGCACCGGCGGTACCGCCGCCGGCGTGTGCGGCAAATGGACAAGTGTGGCCGGACAGCGCGACCGCGGTATCGCGTACAGTCCGTGTGTAGTAACACGTACGCGGCATTACGTTATGTACCTGAAATCAGTTGACAATCCTATCTGAATGATCCAGTGCAGCGGTGTCTCAAAAGGTACCTTACCCCGTGTATATAAACGACCTCTACCCCGTCCCAACACCTCCCCCAACCACGCACACACACCCGCCCGTCCGTCCGCCCACCACTCGGTTTACCACGACGCGGCATTTACCGTGGGCCCTTCTCACACCCGTCAGCCGCCCCCAACGTCCCCTCCCTTCCCTCGCAGTCCCTTGCAATCCGTTCGCTCCTTACTTGCGCCCACCGCCCTTCACCCTTGGCCCATACCGGTCCGTTATACCGCCCCGTTTAACTTCCTCACCGCCTTCTTCATAAACGTTTCCCCTGTAACGGTATAGCACCTTGAAGTGTAAACGTTATGCCAAAACGCCATACTCCATTTCCAATAAACCGAATAATAAATAATAATAATTATTGTTTAGCAACCCGTTTTCCAATACTTAAAGTATAAATTTCGTATTTATTTCCGGGCAGCTTTACAATAATATTTTTTCGTTCCCGAAATTGACCGTAAATTATTATTTGTTAGTTTTTTTTTTTTTTTTGTTAAATTCGCGTGTAAAACGTGTACAGCGTTACACTCAATTTTCAAAATGACAAAAATAAACCGATCAAATAATGCATGTACGAAAGCAATACACGTTCAACGTGATTTCTGTTGTTTTTTTCGAAATATGTACCGCCCCCGTTGGTTTTGTCCGGTGTAATCCGTTAAGTTTTTATTAAAAAAAAAATAAAACGATCGTCTGTGGGTTTACAGAATTATACGCTTACCATTTTTGATAAACCATATTACGTATATTATAAATTTATAAACATACACTCACGCACGTTCACATTCGTATTTACCTATATTATGCAGTACTTAGTGCCGTGTTAACGAATTTGTCGCCCCGGGCAGATATTATTGGCACTAGTCAGCCCACATATTTCTAAAAAAAATTATCAATAATAATCACGATAATTCACATTGTTTTAATCTTTTTGACGTTTGCGTCGCAAAACTTAATTTTTAGCTATTTGCCCGAAATTAACGAACACCTATGAGTATTATAAAATTAATAGAACACAATATTAAGTATTATTTTTTAGTATCTGTAACCAATTTTGTCTTCATGTAATTTCGTTAAACGTAGAAAAGTACAAAAAATTAAAATTAACTTTAAAATTGTACCACCTCTAAATATTTCCTGTCTTTAATCCTGTCTTTTTAACACGGTACTGGCAATATTGGGTAAAAGTGAGGGTCATCCGTAGTACTCGCCCCGAACGTTAATCGTGGGAGGCAAAAATTATACTTCCGAGGTGTCTATAAAAAAAAAAAAAAAGAAAAAAAAGAGGCCTTAAAGTTCTAATATTGTGTTTTAGCCCGTCATTATAGCTCGAATATTTTACCCCCCTCCTCTCGGCCAAATATGACACTGCTTATGTGATGAATATTTTATATATGTGCACATTTTACATTAACGACAAAACATATTTTCAAAGAATCGCGTTGAAATCTCTATATTATACTTATAGCGGATCTAAAAATCCCTTGGGAACAGCAGGATGAGATTTAGTACGTACTTGTTACCTAATTATTTTGAAACGATCGAAAATGATTATGAAGTTGCTTTTGACGATTGAAGAAAAAACTGCTGAAAATTTTTTCTTTATTAATACATTTTTTTTTTTTTTTTGGAATTTGAGGGTAGTGATTCCTCCTCTGGATCTGCACTTGTTATGGATATCCACATCAGTATAATATATCGAATGGTTAGCAATAATTGTCTATTAGAATGCTGTAGATCAGTTAGTTGTAAGATATCCGGGTAGAATGGCTAGGTCTTATAGATATATTTACCGTAGCCAGGATCCAACTGGATCTTAAATGAGTAGCTCTTGACATTGTTCGTTACATAATCTAATATATATTTTCAATAAAGCGACACTTATACAAACAGCCGTACTTCGTAGGCTACCTGGAGTCTTTTTGGTAAGTCTCCACATATGTACTCCCTTGAATTAAAATTCACTGTACGAGACGACCCCCCCTTCCCCTCAATATTATAGTCGGCTGCTGTCGCCAGTATTATTGCCCACCAATATTTAATATATCGTGTTATAACACCGAAACACGTGAAATTTTCTGCTGCTAAAGTCGAATAAGCATTTAGGCATCCGTAATAATGTTGTTTATGATGCAGTATAAACTTTTGATTTTTAACTATATACTCGAGTCGTAAAACATTTTTTGATATTTATTTTAAGGTAACACACGCAGTATTGAAATAAGTAGGTAAACAATTTTACGCAACAAGATAGGTGTATCGGCGGTACACCTATATATAGTTTATATAAGTTTTAAACTATATAAAGGTTGTTGCGGTCATAAATCCAAATAAAAACGACGTGTTAACTTTATCGGTACAGGATTTTATATGTATATATATATATAAAAAAAAGAAAAAAAAAAACATTTTAGATATATTAAAAAAATAAAATCATACAAACATAAACATTTAACGGTCACGAAAAAAAACAAAAATACATAATACCAATATCAATACGTTCGTGTTAAAAACGATGACCATAAATATTCCTTACCGTATCTAATACTCAGTCGGATATTAATCGATTTAATTTGGACGAGTATCCGTGACGTTTTCATTTTTTAACCGGGAAATATTAATATAATAATAATAGCGTTTAACGACGAATCGTTAAACGTTTTTTACTGTACACTATACATGTATACGAGTACATCCGATATTCGATAGCAGCAATATTCGTATATATTTAAATACGTTCTAAGTGCTATATATATAGCATATGCCCACTATAACCAGAATTTTCACTCCGCTTCCGGATTCGTAATGGTTTAAAATCCGACCGATGTTATAATATGCATTTGTTTCACGATCGTTTTTTACGAGTATTTTACGTTGCGAGTCCATTTCCAACCGTCCCTTTTGCCTGTATAGACACTTGACACACTAGTTTTATAATATAATGTATGATTTATGTTTAATAGGAAATTCGTCGATGTAATAATACAACAAGTTCAGCGGTATTTCGCATAACCCACATTACCCGTAAATCTTTAATACGACCTAACTAAAAATAAAAAAATAAAGGAAATTAACTTTTAACCCTTAACATGACTAATATTTTACTCCGTTCAGAATCGTTTTTCGTTTGCAATGATTTATCGTTACGTACTAAATTACACTTTATATCCTACCTTCTCGATTGTATCCATCTATAACAGTAGTCTACCCATGGGCAGTATCAATTTTTCTTTATTATTTCTTTTACGTTTATAAAAATCAGTTGCTTTATAATTCCGTTTACTATTTATTTCCATCACCGGTAAATAAATTACTTAAACAATACAATAATAAAAGTATATTAAAGTAAGTAGTCGCAATATGCATCACTTTTACACATCGCACGTATTACAATATAGTGATTGTGATTGACGGTCGTGATTTTTTAATTATTATTCGTATATGAGCACGATTATTATCGTTTTCGAATACACTATAAATAACGTGAGTGTAGTACATAATAAGCCGAACGGTAAAAGACCATAAGCGGGACCTCGCTGGCGGTGGATATATCGAGGGCAAACAAGAATCTGGAAAGTTTGGGTATGGAACCACTGGAATCAATAAGACGCGGATGACCATGACCGTTGGAAGGAATATCGGTATAGAAAACGGCCTCCGTGGCCTGTATAGTTGTCCCCTCCCATTAAAAAAAAAAAAAGTAATTTTCACATATATTTATTTTTCTGTAGGTTATGCTTCCATTTTCCGTAATATATGCAAACATATTTTGATAGGGTCGAAATGGTTACGGAAAACTAGGACAGAATAGGTAACCTACAAAATATTATAAACTAGGTATGTAATACGGTCGTTTATAATAGTAAATATCAATTGAAAAAGTAATATTTATTCGTCGAAAAGTTATTGTTAATCAACGATTTGTTAGAAACGATTTTACAAATAAATTGTGCAAGCTGTGTTAAGGTTAATATTTCCAGTTTTTCGGTGAACGCGATAGAAATGTTTTTGGGCAAACATAATAATATATGATGGATTGAATAAACGTATACACTTCGAAAGCAAAACTCCGTTTTTGTTTTGTTTGGTTTGTTTTATTTTTTTATATTAAAAGCATACAAACGTGTGAATGAAGAGATAATTAAAAACAAAAAAACCATAATAATAATAACAACTTTTAACGTGATCCTTGAACATTTTCCACCTCTTAGTTATTACTTTCACTCTTGCGAAAAATTAAAGTGAATACCTACCTATTATTATTATTTTTCGTTAAAAATAAAATATAATCGTAATAAAATGCGTTTATTTGTAATGTATCAAGTAGATTTATCTAATATTGTTTTGATTTTCATACAATTTCGATCGGCTTTCAATTAAATAATTCAGCATAAAAATAGATACTGTTCACATCATCCATATTAATTAATAGCGTATGATTTTAACTTTGAGCGCCTCAAATTTTAGACTTATACTTAGAAAATCGATTTGAAAATGTTAGAAAAAATATAATTTTTTGGCATTGCTTTTAACGGTTATTCGAATTCACCGAGACACATAAAATAAAAATTGGCGAACAAGTTTCAGTTCGTATAATTTATAAAATGGAAGTAATCGAATATTAACACTCGTATATTTTAAATTCAAATGACCGCCCACAACGCATGTAAATTGTTGTAAAAATAGAAAATGTCATAAAATATATAATAACAAAATCATTTATAATGTTATTTAATTTTTAAGAACAACCTTGTGAAATATATAAACATATCATTTTCTCTCACTTCTAAATATTATTTACTATTAATATTATAATTTATTATTATTATTATGTAGGTTTATTGAACTATATATAATATGCATTCGTATTTATGAATTTATCTATTTATTGAACAATAAATTAAAGAATAATTAGTGTTATTGATTATAATAATTATAAACTTTAACGCCTTTGTTGTAATTGCATGGCATCTGTAGTATTTTTCTCATTTACTCGTTTTTCTCAACTATTTAGAATCGGCCACCTTATTGATCCTAAACAGGTCCATCTGACACGATTTTCCGCGTCATATTTTTTCACTGTCTAAGCGACTATAAGCCGTCCTCGTATTATCACTTTACAACTGCGGTTAGACAGTCGATTGCGTACCAAGTCTGTTGCACCCTTTCGAGCTGCATCCGAGTTCCGTTCCAAATGTAAAATTTGAATTTAAGGATATACTAGTTCAGTCCCGGGTTTTTAAAATGGATATACTATTCCGTCCCGTGTTATTTATTTAGTTTTACGGGTTCCGTCCCGTGTAATTTATTTAGTCACACGAGTTTCGTCCCGTTTGCCTTTTTAACACTAATTAATATAGTAAACAATTTATGACTATGGTAACAATTTTATATTACTTAGAAATAAAGGTAATATTACTTCCGATTTCCGCACTAAATAATTGGATCTAATAATATTATATTCTTTAGAAATAATGATAATATTGATTTCAGTTATCGCACTAAATAATCGAATTCGTATATATAAATACTTTAATAATATTTAAATTTTGTCTGTATTTTAACATTGATAAGAAAAATGTCTATATAAATTATTATATTTTTATATCATATAAATTTAATACAACAACAAATTTTTATTTATGAAAGTACATACTACGTTTGAATATTTCGTATTTAACATTGATAAGAACATTTTTAATCGGGACAGAATTGGTATATATCTTTTTTTGGATGGAATTGGTATAAAAAAAGGTTATTGGGACGGAACTCGGATGCAGCCCCCGTTCGACTAACAAAATGTCAAACGAGAAGGGTTACAAAAAAAAAAAAAAAGTATCGAGTTTTGATTGCGTTTAACTTTTATAGCATTTGATTGCGAATCCACTGCGTTTATTGTCATTTTCTTTTCTGTATGGTTTTCGTATTCATTGTGCCGTGGTGAACGTATTTTTTCATATTTTTTTATACCAAAAAGTTATAGGTTAATAAATAAATACATATATCAAATGTATATTACTCCTCAAATACAATTTTTAAAAATGTTTTCACAGTGCTAAATGTATTAAGTAATGTAATATCTATACAGTGTAAATAATGATATTTGTATGTATAATTTTTTTTTTTTATAATTCGTTATATTTTTCCAGCATAATATTATACTAATGTATGTACATTGGTACTGTACATGTCTTTACAACATTTTAACAGAGCCAATATAATAGTGTACCTATCATAATGAAACGCTTACCTAATTTAGAACGTTTTCTTATACGTCCGATATGTATAAGAAAGCCACACAAAAGTTCGCAATCGGAACTTAGGGAGGGATTGAAAATGTCAAAACAGGACGCAAACGGATGACGGATATATATCTTAATAGTATCCCAATCATATTCTTTCGGCCTTCCCCCCCCTTTCCAATAATAATTATTACGAAATACTTCTTATATAGGTATAGAAATGAAACCTATTGAATTTTGAAATTTCGCAAATCGAAAAAACTTATTAATAATGCGTCCCATCGTTTATTATTATTTTTGTGGAGGTAGGTAGGCAGGTACGTCTATTGAGTATAATAACAGGTAATGGTATTCGTTTTACCAGGTGGATATTTTTCTTTGGAATTAAAACGGATATAGGTCGGAAACAGAACGACTGATAATTTAAAGGGTTCAACGGAAATGTGTGTTACAAAAGTTTTCGAAGGCCATAAATCACGACCGAACTAAAAAAAAAAAAAAAACTACATTCAATACGAATGTGCTGCATGGTATACGCACAGCGTTCTTGCATTTTAGTTTCACGTCTCCGAAGGGACATTATCGATCATGTTCTCTGCTCACTGTTGTTTTTTTCGCACGATTAACCATCCCCTTCATTTTTTTTTTTTTTTTGAAATGCATAAAATCTCACGACATGAAATGGATTTCATCATAATATTACGTACAATTTCTACCTAAGGGAAAATAAGTGAATTCATGAAATACATTATAAGTATATTATTTCGTTGCTTACACAATCAAATTATTACGATTATAATATTATCTACGATAATACCTACTTATCGATTTAGCGAAAATCATTTTAAAATGTCAATAATAAAACTCGTGTAACATTCGGCCGACTTTATAGTACATTTTATTGTTTTAAATATTATATTGAATGCATGCATATTATATTAGGATACAACAATGTTTAAGCCATTTTTGTGGGTATGAATTTGTGGATATATTTTGAAATAGTATGTGTCTAATGCATGTGCATTGTGTATCTTTGATTACCTAACAAAGCCTCTCAAGTCGACATTTTGATTTTTTTGTACATTTTTTAGTTTACAAAGTTCACAAAGTTTTTTTGGGTAAATAATATATTGTTACGATTAAAATTAATTTAAATTTTCGTTTAATATTAACTTTTCAACCCTTTCATAAACGATCTTTAGCACAGCTGCTGAAGTATATTATAAAGATTGATTTATTTAGTACATACATTATATTTAGATTGATGGGCTAGTTAAATTTTTAAAACTTAATAGAAAAAAAGAATTCTAATATACTTAATATTAGAATAAATTCCCTTTCTGTTATTAACACTTGACAGTGTTAATTTCCAATGTTAATCACTAACTGGTTAGAAAGTTAGAAGTTTTACTAAGAGTTATTTTTGTCCGTGATTTTTAATTTAACTACTTAGTTACTTTGTTTACATTGTAACTAGTTGTATTTTTATTAGGTATTTACTAAATACCCAAGAATAGAAAATTAAGCTGAAAAAAATAATGTTAAATTAGAAATTTCTGAACCTAAGTGATACATTTTTATTAAAATTAATTTATGGCTAATTGGGTAAACTTTATGTATACTTATTTTATTATGGAAATAGGTGGTATGAGGTTTAAAAAGTAAATAGAGTATGCTTAAATTAAAAACTAAAATGATATAGCGAAAATTCCATAGAATAATTTCCAAAATGCTGAGATTTTTACGATTTTTGAAAAAATATAAGCTTTAAAAACGTATAAAAAACAACTACTACATCACACTCAATTTGTTTTTTTTACCATTATGTAAAACTTAAAATGTACATCGTATTCAAATTTCAATTTGTGTTCGACCAAACAGTTTTATTCACATAAAATATAATACATACTAAACAAATATCGGAACCACCTCGTATGTTATTTACACGACAAACGTTATTTACCATAACGGTTTGTTCACATCATTATATTGTTATTTAAAATACTTCAACATGAATTTAAAAATTCGTAGGGTTTTAGTAAAAAATAGTAAAAAAATACCTTTAATTAAAAAAAATATCATTATTAAAATCAAGGTAAATTTTCGATTAAAATGCATACGTTTAGCAAATGAATGGACGTGACTGAAGACTCGGTCCCACGTAGTGAGATTAAGTTTTTCACTTTTTTATTTGGGAGTTGGGGCATTGACTTTATACTGACCTGCAGTATTAGACTTTGCGTGAATTTCAATGCATTTTATTGAGATGGCCTGAAATGTTGTGTATTATTGATATTTACTGTATACTGTAAATCAAACTACAAATTTATCAATCGAGACGTAGATAATATATAATGAAATTAACGTTTTGTGTAGATAACATATGGTATAAGTTCCAAAGTTTTATGTTTACCTAACCAAAGTACCAAACCTTTTTTAAACCAAATTACAACAGTAAAACAAAATCGAAAATTATAATAGAAACCGTTATGGAAATATTTTATATTATCGTTATATTTTCGTTTTCTGAAATTTTTCCCTGGTTTTTTCAACTTTTAAGAAAAATAAAAATGGTCGCTGTCGAATTTCAACCATACAAACGTTTCAAACGTTACATGCGTATAAAATGTATGTCGCTCGCGAATTTGCTTTATATATAACAATATACCTAGAGTTCAATGGTCTTGTCTAACCGCTACTATAAACACTGTGTATCTAGCGGTCTTTTCCGTCACCCGGTGACGCTCTGTGTTTATATTCTAATATATAATATAAAGTAGAATAAAGCTAGTAGTATAAACTTCTGCACTTTTCAGACTTTTTATTTTGAAATTCACTAGGGTCCGGTCCGGTCCAATTTGTCCATGGAGTGCCGACTGGCCGGCGTCAGTAAAATTTTAATACTATAACTGCTAAACTAATATCACTATTACTAACGAGTAGAAAAGTACACTATTGTCTGGGTTAATATTACCAATGTTCTCCTTCAGCCATGTGTTTCGGCTGAAAAATTTTCAAATCCATACGGATAACATACCTATATTATAATATAATTTTTGGTTTTTTCATGCTATTTTTAAAATAATTGAAAACCCATCGCGTGATTCACGATGTGCGATTTGCTTTATTTATCGGATGAATTTTAAATTTAGAATATCATAATATTATATTAATATTTTGGTTTTGATTTATTATTAAATATTATTAATTTGAGGTTCGTTGGACACCCATGTAAATAATGGCACTATACGGGATGATCAATCTATCATAAGACATTTAATATCTCGGAAAATATTGACTTTTCCGGAATTTATTTTCTAGAACATTTAAGAAATAAGCTACTATACAATTTTATATTTGCATTATTTTTTGTCACCATAATTTTTGGGGGTGTTTTACGCCCAACATTTTTAATTTCCGTCAATCCATTGACGAAATATTTTCACTTTTAAGTTTGGGTCGGAGGAGAGTAGTGAAGCATCATTGGTGTGGCGGCACAGGGCGCGGCTTTTTAAGAATGTACCACTACTCTCCCCCGACTCGAACTTAAAAGTGGAATATCTTGTCAACGGATTAATGGAAATTAATAATTAAAATACCAAAATGTATTTTAACTACTACTCCGTCTATTAATGGAATTTTTAATGTAGGTTGCCATTTGAAAATCAAAAGTAGGTAGTCGTTTTACCCCCCAAATTTAGGGTGAATAAAAATGTAAATATAAAATTGTAGAGCGGTTTGTTTCTTAAATGTTCTAGAAAATAAATTCCGGAAAAGATAATAATTTCCGAGATAATGAGTGTCTTATGATAAATTGATTACTCTGTACACATAGTAAGTATTCATATGAAGTTCAGAAAACTCATGGAGTTTTTTAAACATATTTTCGGTCTACTACGATTAGGTCTTTATACATTTAAAATCATTCCAGTCTCGGTATTTTTTAGTCGAAAAATACCGCCCTGTCTTTTGGTTTATTTCATTCGCTTGTCCGGTTCGGTCTTTAAAAACCCGGTCCGGGCAGAGCTATACTATACGGTTTAAGTGATGGCATATCGATCTCTATAATATCTATGATAATTTCAGCGGAACTGCCGTTTTGAGAGTATTCGCGGCTATTTAATGTTCCGTGTTTTGCGTGTAAAATCGATATTTTGTCTAAGTACACACATGTACACACGAACACAGTCCCGTCGTTTACACTCAAGCTCGTAATAGATTGAGTGCATATATACAGGGTGTGACTGCACTATTTGACATTTTTACTTGTATCTACAATGTAAAAATATCTAATTGTCCTGTTATACTCTGTATACCGGTACCAAAATTGTATACATCTACAGTACGCTCTGCTATGTAACGAGGGATTCACACTAGAGCTTTATTGGTATAAGCGTTAACCAATCAGAGAGAAAAAAAAATAAAAATAAATATTGCTAAACATAATTTATGGTAATTATTAATAGCCAACAAGTGATAAATGAAATGATAAATAGATATGTAGGTATTTTATAATAGTTTTCGGAGTTCACAAAAATCATCACAATATTGTTTTATTTAATTTTTGTTTGTTTCAAGACATATTACACGTTTATTTTTATCTTTAGCAAAATTTATAGTATAAAACAGTTTTTAATTTCACCATTTCAGTACGGTTATTTGTTGATGTTTATTTGTTTTATCTTTGATTGGTTTACTCAAACAAATGGCTCTTTAGTGTACATTTGCCTAATCTTACACGTATATTGGCTTCACACACATACACTCACTCACATTTGCAGTAAAAAGAAAAAAAAACCGTAAAAACTATTGTTATTATTGACTTAATTATTTCAAAATTTGCAACGTTTCAGATTGTACTACGAATATTATAGTGAGCAAAGTGAACGGCTTTAATAATTATATTTTTTTTCCTTAAGATTGATATTGATAATCGATAGCGAAATTTATTTCGTCATGATGATTTCGAATTTCCATTGTCTTCTGACATTGTAGTCCGTGGTTATAATATATGTAATAATGCGGCGTATTGTCATTTCTGTCAAGCGTATCATCAATAAGAGGGGGGGGGGGAATCGATGTTGTTTTTCTTTACGATAGGTAAAAAATACGTAGAAAAAAAAACAGATATAACGGCCGTGTAACTATACAACGAAAACGTTGTACATTTTGTACAACGCTGAGTAAATGTGTTTTACACACGCGTATCGAAGTAAATTATATATGCGCGGGCGCACTCTGTACATGTGCATACCTATATGTGAATAAGAGAGTAAAGGAGAAAGAGATAGATTTTTTTTTTTTTTTATCAGGTCGGTTGTGTATAGAGAGTATAGGGTGTATGAAAGAGACTCTTGACACACCGAAGTCTGTCAGTCGCGTCGCACACGTATAATATTATGTTTAACGTTTATATATTATGTATGTGTGTATGTGTACAGGGTCTAAAATTTCACAAAATCCCGGTTATAATAATGTCATGGCGAAATCGGCCCCTAAAGGCTATTTAAAAATAATTTTTTTTTTCAAATTCGCAAAACTTCAACAACGCACGGACATCTGCTGACACTTCCGTCAAACTTGTTAGAATATCGAAATTCCCGGTATTCGAGCAAACTATGAATATTATTTATTTTAACCCGATCGACTTTTTCGAGGAGTACTCGCGTTTTATTATACATAATATACATGCTTTTAGCGTTTTAACGATCGACACAGCGGGGAAGGGGTGGATGTGTTGAAAATAATTTCACGAATTATGTACGAGTGTCTCACTTACTTTCCTCTACCATTTTTAGGGACATGGAAATTAATTTCGGCCGACCGTGCGCTCGTGCTTCGATGCCGCTCACCTGCAGCAATATAGCCACTCGTCTATCACTCGTTTTTTTTTCTTATCACCAGGAGAGAAATCGGTATTTCACAAACGTATACTGCTTGGCTCCACCCAACTAAATTTTGATGAAACCGCCACCGTGGTAATTAAGGTGAAGCTAAAAAAATCATAATACGGTATCCACCGTGGGTCGAATAAAATTAAACCACTCATTAGTGAGTGATTATGACTGCGTATAATACTTATCGCCCCCCCCCTTAACTCCCCAGGAATCGCCAAACCTAATCGATAAACCTAACAAATAAATCGTTCCGGAACAGTAAATAAACAATGTTTTTTGTTGATTTCATACATAAAAACCAATACAGTTCCGCGTTTACATAAAACGTGCTAATTTTCGTATCGGTAAATTAGTTTGCATGATTGTCGGAGGAATAAAAACCGCGAAAACAAAACGCAATTTTTGATGGTAAATGAATGGTCAAAGTGTACTCGTTTGCGGTTCGATTCGGAACAACAAACCCACACACACACACACACACACACATATATACACTGTATAATAATATACAATACGTAAGAGTAGTGCGTATATATGTACATGCATTATAATACACGTACGCCAAAGTGTCGTTGACGGAATTGATCGGAAGCATTTTGGGAACCCCCGCGGAAGTACCGGCACTATAGGTTGATATTATAGTAAATAACCGGGTTATGTTGTGGGCAGGTACGCCCGGGGCGGGACCGGGTCCCCGGCATATTGATTGGGGGCCCGGCGGGTGCGCGCGCCGATCACTGTGTTGTTCGGTCATTCACTAAACGTCGTCGTCGGCCGGGCCGGGGCCACTGCCACTGCGCTGCTACCATCCGTCCCTGACGCCCAGCGGCAGCGGTGACGGTCGTCGTCGCCCTCGTCGGTACAACAGTCGCGGCGCTCAGCACACGCCCGTCCACTCGAAACGATGTATACGCTTATCAAATTTCCAGTGGTTTCCAAATGCGGCGGCCCGGAGGACGGAGATAACCGTTGTTGAATCTCGTCCGATCCGGGGCGGGTCCGGTTATTAATTATGCCCGGAACGCCGACGACAACGGTCGCGGTACTGATTTCAGTTTTGGACAACAAAATAGTAGCGTTAAAGTCGATAACTTGGCATTTGGGCGTACGGCGGCGACGTGTGTAGGCAATCTCGGTACACGCGTGCGTCTACACGGGCACGCTTGGTTGTCTACATTATCATATTATTATGTAATAAAATATTGTTAAAACCGCGTTCTTACCGGTCGGTACTTTAACATAATATTATAAAACAACGTAGTCGGCACTAATGCCATCTAATGGTTGCGAGTGTGTCACGTATGTACGATTTAGAGGGTCCCGGTTTCAGTTCCAGGCCCTGAATATTATAATACATTATAATTAATTATAAGCAAACAATTTAAAAAAAAAAATTTTTATCTTAAAGAAAATAGTTCATATCTTCTATTTACGCTATAAGTCATCTATATACCTGCAGTTTTTGTGTGGAAGATTAATCTTTTCCGGATATTGTAATTTTAAAAACAAACCCCATATTATATATTTATCGTATACATTTATTAATATTGTGTAAAATTCGAAAACCATGTAATCAGTATCGTTACAAACGGTATACAAACTATATATTACATTACTACCATCAAATGTTGCGAAAATATTCTAAGTATAAAACTTTAAAAGATTCTTTGAAGCACACTCTGGCGGTCGCACGTGTATACTTTGCTGAAATCCGATAGAGTGCGATAGGAATAGTATTTATTTTATGATATTCCAACTAGAAGAGTTTAAATAATATTTCAAAAGACATATACATAATGCGTATTTATTTCTAATATATCTTTAGATTAATGTAGTATCCTACTCAAAGTTAACATTTAAAAAAAGCTATACTAAAAATAACTAAATTTATTATGCTAAAATAAAGTTAATTGTTATTGTCATTTAATTAATTTATAGGTACCATAAAATAACGTAGTTCGAAAATCTATCTTTCTTTGACAATTTCAGTGTCCCATAATTTCGATAGTTATAATCTCAAATAGTGTTTGAAGTGATCAAGCGGGTCATCCGATTGATTTTTGGTTTTCTCGGAGCTCTCTACTAACCGGACTCGAAAAACAAAATAATGAACTTACGCACTCCTAGTGAATACGCAAGTCATACACGTTTAAAACTGTTTAACTACTTGCAGATAAACTTAAAATACAATTATTAATTCATTCTTTTCATTTATAATTTTTTTTTCTTTTTTTTTTGAGCAGTAAATGATTAAAAAAATGTCACTAAAACTCGTTTACGGATGTTTAGAATTTCCAGAATTCTCAGAATGTTTAGCGGTTGTTTCAACGGTTGAATGTGAGAGGTCTCAGATTCATTTCTTGGCTTGAGGGCAAAATACTTTACATTCCTCTACTGCTTTTCTTCTTATTTGTTCGTGAAAAATTACCACACTTATTTTATTTTTTTCCCTTTCGAGTTTACTAAACTTCGTTTGGAAAATCTATTCAAACGAAACGATTTACTATTACTTAACAATTTAAAATAAATAACAATACAAAATTGGTTTGCGACAAGAGATAATCTCAAAACGTATTTTTTGTACCATTGTACCGTGTCCGAGAAATTCGTTTATTATATTTAGAGAGTTTGAGTTACTTGGAAAAAAAGTATGACTGCATTTTCAAGTAAAAAAGGTATATATAGCAACATACTCGTTTTTTTTTTTTTAAAGTATGGCATAATAAAAATCAGAGTATTTACTAACCGAAAAAATTTTTTCTAGGAAAAAAAAACTTGCTCATCTTAATAAAGCTAATAGCTTTTTCTCTACATCCAAAATCTAAAAAGAAAATTAATGTTTAGTTTGTAAATAATTCTGAAATAGGTAGTAAATATTTGTATAGTTAACTCATAAATTGTCATATTGTTTTAGTTTCGCTGTACTAAAACATTATAAAACGTCAACAGAGAAAATTAATGGAAGTAATATGAATTAATTAAAAGCTATCTTTTCATTTAAGCCCATGAAATTTAACTGTTCTGAAAACTATAATGAAATTTAAATTTATATACGAAACAAAAGTAGCGAGTTTATTAGTTATAGTGCCTATTACAGTAATAATATAATTATTATTTGTTTTGTAATGGCGTGCGCTTTCCATTAATTTTTGGCTTGTTTTAACAGGTCGATAAAGTTTATTCTAGAATAAATTACTCCGAACAATTTAAAATAGCCGTTCTATAAATCTAAAATCAGCCAGAAAAATAAAAGGTTATTTTTAGGTACTTATTACTTAGGTACCTATTATTTGTTTTAAACAAATTGAATAAATGTATAAATATTTATATATATACGAGTATATAGGTTTCTTTTAATATGACAAATATATGTTATATTTTATGAACACTGTATAAATACTATTTAAACTTTGATATTTTGATGTTTTTGTACCCAATTAAAATTTTCGGAAATTTTGTATAAGAGTACTAAATTTATTTGAATTTTTTTTTTTTTAATTTTCGATGTCAAGTGTGGAAAGAAAAATATATTAGTATTCAATTAATGTAACTTATTGGAGAAGGTAAATTCACGCAAAGAACTTTATACAGTTAATTTACAAATTAATAGTTGAATATATGATGGTATATTTAACAGAGAAGTTGCATTTCGAATTGAATAATAATTAAACAAATTTCGATTTTCTAAGTTAAAATAATTTGTCAAATACAATAATCATTTTTATTTAAAAGTTTTGAAATTGCAATAAAAATTGTATAATACAAGGTTATTCTAATAATATATTTTGATATTCATTAATTACAATTTCGGTTCATAGTCATTTAGATTTAAAACATTATTAATATTTATTATTAAAAAAAAGACGGACATACTTCGCAAGTGGGTGCAGCCACTGTTGTAGGGGGTAAGTTAGGAAGGTAGTATACAGAATTAAATTTAATGTATATCTGCATGAAAAGATAAACCATTGCTAACGAAAAACGATTCTGAGCGCAGTTCGGTTGATAGTGATGTTTTGTCAACAATATATATATATGTCATATTATGGTGAAATAATTAAATAGGCATTGTATTATATTTTCTTTAATAATATTTGTTTATTATTGTACCGATTTTCTCGTTTTCCCATGTGTTTTTCCGAATTTTCACATTTGCTGGAAACTCCAGAGAAAATCGAAAAACTACCTCCTTAAAGTACCTTCCCAGTAAGATTTTGTTTTAGAAAAAAAGCTATCATTGTAAATCGGGGCAAAATTGTTGGGAGAAAAGTTTGCAATAAATCGAGGGGTATTTTGCGATTAAAATTGTCCGAGTGAGTGATAGCTTAGGACTCTAGGTAAATCCAAAATGCATTTGTTTTTTCTTGTTTAGGTAAAAGTGGGAAAAATGCAAACAATTTGTTTCAAAACTCGAGTTTGAACATGCGACCCTTAGGATGTCAGTAGGAATGTATTACTATTAGACTACGAACAAATTTAAATTTGATAATATCTAGTTATTTAACATAATATTTAATATCAGCATAATACCAAAACTTCAAAAAGCTATAATTTTGAAATTATGTCAGTCCACTCAATTCTTACTTCACCATCGTTCTTAAATCGGCAATATATATATGTACAAAATAAAAAATTTAAAAATTAGATTTGTTCTGCATAACTTTTTACTAGAAAGACTTTCGTCAAAATTTGATATTAAAATTGGTAAACCAGAATTGTCCAGAAAATAATCAGTTGGGCTGAAATAATTTGAAAATTCCCAGTAATCACGCAGACTTTAATTTTCCGGAATGCAAAAATAAGCATTCTGTAATGTCCCGGACAAGAAATTTCCGTAATTTAACAAAAAAAATCACTGATAGATGGCGATGTTTCGTATACACAAAACAAACAGAAAAAAAGAATTAAATTTAAAGGATTAAAAGATGTTATATTGATTTTGAATTCGTGATAGGTAGTAATTGTATTATACAACGTTTATAACTGAGTTGTAGTGCAACATATGATTCATATGTTAATTATTATAATATGTACACCAATCAGTTGGTTGCAGTATGGTTTCAAGGTTCATCGTAAAATCTAATGAATTGGGCCATGAAAACTCTATAAAATATTTCATTATTTTGACGGAGTGTAAATGTGCAATACAACTATATAGTGAATCGCCATTAAAATTTTATCGTATATCTGTATTGAATTTCGAAATCAGATAATTTAATACTTAAATTGTTGATATTTCTAAAAGACTCAACAAGATTATTACTTCTACAATTATATACTTACTTGTTGTTTTTATTTTCAAGTCATTATTTACACACATGGTTTTACACGTTGTTCAGTCAGAAATCATTATAATAGCTAAAAATGGCTAGAAAATAGCGGTAGAAAGGTTCGGTCAAAGTGTTAGCATTATACGTGACCAAACAATCAATCAAGATCCATTAGCTTAGTTTGTAGTTATGTATTCTAACCTCGAGAAAAATAAAATACAATGCTTTTATTTTTAGTATTATACACTAGGAAACCGGAGTTATTAGTCACGTATATATTTCAAAGGGTGACTTAATTGTATAATTAATTCCATTATTAAAACACTTTGGCTGCAGCGGCAACCGCACGAGATATATTTTTCATTCATTAAAATATTTTTCACTGTTCCCGTGTTAAAAATAAACCTAACCGTCTATATATATATATATATATATGTATGAAATTTAAAAATAAAAAATAAAAAGCCGGTACGTTGCAAGTGTTTTGCATATCATCTTTATGCATTTTATATAGGATATTGTCCATGCATAAGCTGCTGTTGAAGGCGAGAAGTTAGTTGGGTGGGATATATAAAGTAATTTTAATTTGTGTTTGTACGTGAATATAAATCTTTGCTACTGAAAAATGATTCGGAGCAAAATTTAGGTGATCATGTTTTCATGAACATAAGTAGGATATCGTATTAATTTGTAACTGCAAAACTACAAAATTAATTACAATTGTCAGTGTTTTCGTCTCATATTTTTAAGCATTTTTATAAAGTTAAAGGGTTTTATCTATATAGATTGGAAACTAGTATGTGAAATGCAATAATTTCTACAATTTTACTCAAAATTGTATGTTTTAATGTTTATGAAAAAAATGACGAATCGTGACTTTAAATATTCGATATTTTCATAATGTCATTAGAATCACTTACGGTAAACTTATTTTTATCAACATTTCCGTCATTTTTTAAAAACCAAACAATTTCCAAGTGCTATATAAATAGCTCAATAATCGCCAGACTTATGGCCAAAAACTGATTCTGACATTGTACCAAATATAGTCACTAAATCACTTAATACATTCGTTGGTCATCACTATTAGTGGACGGCCACGGTGGTCGACCAGTTGCAAAACCTGACGGTCATCAGGTGGCGGACTGCTGTTGCGTAGCGGGGTGCCGTCAGGTGGCTGTTACATTGACCCTTCTGAATTATTGGGATTATTTTTCGATTTTTGAAAGTTTCATCGTGTTATCTGACATTGTATTATTATGGCCGAAAATTGACATTTCATACCAGGAGTTTAGAAGCCGTTGTATTTTGGGTCACGGACGGCCGTTGCGTGACCCGATGGCCACTACTATGGTAATATTCCTATTTTAACATACACTAATACGAGCAGTGATCCATAGGAAAATTCCCTGTAGTATTTCGTTTTGTTTTACTGACAATTCGTCAATACCACAATTTATGGAAAATATTGAGTAGTATAAATTTTAACAATGCGTAATGAAGAATCAGACCGTTAGCAACTTGGAATATAATCTTATATAAACTTATGATGCTTTGTCATAAAGAGAATTATTATTTAATCTTATGAACTGGGAAATTGGGAGTTGGTCAATTGGAGTTGATTCCATGGATTCACTTATTAGAATGAACAGAATCAAGTGAGCTGATTAATATTATTGAATTGAAAATCCCATTTCTAATAAGAACTGTAAGAAGTTATAGGTATAAAGACCATAAAAATTGTATTGAAATAGAAATTCAACTACTAGTAAATAAATTTAGGGTTTTTTTTTCTTATTCACAGATGAGTGTGCTTGTGCCGATTGAAAGGGCCAGCGATTCAGTTGTATCGCAAGGCGGATCGCCACCGTACACGGCCAGGCACAGGTTCAACTCTCCTGGAAATCCTAGCACGCCAACGGACCCACTGCCTGCACCTCCGGACAACGGCGATTCGACCGCGGTCATCGAAACCCAAGTGCCTATCGTTCGCAAACATCCGTGCTTGTCTTGCTGGTGTTGTTGTTGCGGATGTTCCTGGTGAGTGTAGTGCAGTCGATTTTATGGGACATGGGGGACGGCGAAAGTACGTCCATTTATTGCGAAGGAAACGAGTTGGTGCCGTCGCTGGATGTAGCTTTAGATAATCGTGTCTCCCAGCCTTTTAGACACAGTCCGGACCAATCAGAAAACTTTCGGTAGGTTGCTGTACCAGTTGCGGAGTGCCTCGATTTTAGGGAGATTGGAGACAATTTCTTGAAGTAATATAGGGTTTTAACTTGCACTGTGTATCGATCAAAATTATTATTTTTATACACCTAATAATAGTATTATTCGCTTTTTTAGTGCCTTTATATATAATAACTTACATGTTTAATAACGTAAAGAAAAAAAAAGTTGATAATAAATAAAATACAATAATATCTAAATATTCTAGACATAGACTTTTCAAACATTCATTTAAAATAACATTTTTGTATCAAATTTTTAAATTTAAATATACGTGATAATTTTTGAGAGTTTTAAAAAACAAATAAATATATATTTCTTTAATGAAGAACAAAAATAAATCTATTAAAAATATACACACATTATAAATATAAGGATAAATAATTATGCGCACGTACGTTTTTATTTATAATTTTAAAACGTGTTATTTATTTTTAACATTTATAAATAGGTAACTTTAAAATATTATTACTAAAAATACAATAAATAAAATAATAAATTCATATTAAAATGTTATTAAACTCCGTGTAATTGAATAAATTACGACTCGCGAGTATGACTTATATACTTAAAAACATGATGTTTTTATTACGAATATATTTTAATTGATTTATTTGAACCAGCGTTTATTTGCATGCATACAGGAGTAGGATATGCAAATTATGGTAAGTAAAATTTCTAACTTTTATACTTAATAAAAATTTTAACTTTAATTGTATTCGTTTTGTTTTAATACAAAATAATTTGTGTTATTATAGGGAATAAGTGATATTTGATATTTAATCATTTTGACATAGTATGGTATGCTAATCATTATTGATTCATAATATTTTTTTTAAGAGCATGCTTTTGAAAAGGCCACTGTTGTTATTATTATTATTTTAGATTCGGAACGTAGCGAGGGATTTTTAGGATTTACAATGATGTGTATATTTTTTTTATTATACATTTTTTTTCTATCTGTAAACAACTTTCGAAAAGAAATTTTATTCAAATGTATAGAGTGTAGTACATATTCTATATTTGGTACATAAAGGAGGTTTTTTTGATTTTTCGAAATAATTGGGAAAAATAAAAAAAAAAATCATTTACATAATCTACAGTTTTCAACGTTTTTAATTTTTGTTCGCCATGTTTTCTACTGGAAACGTTGCTCCAATAAAACAATAAAAATAAGAAATTGATTTTCTATCTAGTTCGTGAGTTAGTGATTAGTATTTGGATTTTTTGGTAGTTTTTGTAATAATTGAAAAAATCCGAAAAATGAAAACAGATACATTTACGACATTCTTTTATTTTAAATTTGTACGATTTATGTTTTCTACAAAAAATATTGTTCCGATAGAACAACAACAAAATATATTTTTTGTTGTTTTCATAATTTATTTAGTGAGTAAGAGAATGGTTTTTTGATTTTCTCTATAGTATTTTTAGTAATTGAGAAACACTGAAGAATACGTTGAAATAACAGGAAAAAAGAATCTTTTTGGTATTTTAAATTTTGTTTTTTTTTTTATATAATTCAGTTAATATTTGTAAAGATTTGTAGTTTTGACAGAATACTTATATTTTTTCTAGACTAAAATTTTTAAAACTTTTGCGCCATTTTTGAGCTATTTATAAACATTTAAATTTTTACTAGATTTTTAAATAATTTTTTTTGGTAGTTACTCTGTATCTAACATAGTTAGATTTAACAGAAATTCTTGAGAATTTGACAAGAGGTTCATTATATTAAGTTGTACTCAGCGGTAATTGATTGTCATATAATATTTCTATTATTTTTTTTTTTTTTAGAAGTTTTACAAACAAATTTTGATGAAGATTACTGTCTTTAAAAATATGTAAACCTGAATTTCGCGCCTAATCATTTTTCGTTAGCAATGGTTTATCGTTAGTTACAGGTATAAATTGACTAATTTTATGTATCCCACCTCTCTAACTACCCACATATAACAGTGGCCGTACTCCTTCTCAGACCAGCACTTTTTTCTTTATAAAAATACAATTTTTAATATTGAAAAAGTACCTACAATAACCTATATATCAAAAAAAAAAAATATATAATTTTAAAACAATCCTAAATATGTATACAGTTCTATGTAAAAAAAAATAAAAAAATATTTGAATTATGAATAAAGCACTATTAAGATTATATAAATTGTGTAAAACCTAGACTTTTAAAAAATTTGTTCAGAGTATACTTTATGTCTGTCCATTATGTTTTTATGTAAGTTAAATATATTGAGTACATAAAGTATAAATTAAAATACCGAAAATGCGTACTTAATGCTAACTATATTACAGTAACTTACTTCAAATATTGTGGGTAGCTTAGTATCGAAAATAATTTCGATATTTTTCTGTATAGAACGTACATTGTAAATAGTTCATTGAAGTATTTTCTTGTGTTAGTTTGCTTTAATCATAATATTTTTCATTGCTTCAAAAATATTATCAAAAAAACGTTCTAAGATAATGGGGACGGGTGCAGCCACTGTTATAGGTAATTTAATGTATACATGTGAGCAACGATAAACCATTGCTTATGAAAAACCGATTTTGAGCGGAGTTCCGTTGATATTAATGCTTTGTCAACAATATATATATATGCAATTTTATAGTAAAATAATTAAATTTAAATTAAAATTTATTTAATGTTGTACCGGTTTTCCTATGATTTTTCCAAGTTTTTTATATTTTCTGGGAAAATTCTTGGTAAATTCGAAAAAAGTACCTTCCCAGTCGGGTTTCCTTTTAAAAAACTTGCTATCATTATAAATTGGAGCGAAACTACTAGTTTAAAAGTTGTTCACAGGAAAAAAGAAGATGGTAATATATTTTAACTAATACCTACATTTCTTATATTTTCCCATTTTTCCTATTTTTTTTTGGTTTTTTAAATTTGATGAGAAAAATCATGAGAAAATCGAAAAATGAAATAATTAAAGTATCTCCCCACACTGATTTCCTTTCAGAAAAAGTGTTACACATAAAAATCTGAGCAAGTCTTCTGGTAGAAAAGTCGTGCACAGATAAAAAAAAAGTAAACATCTTTGTAAAACCATAAGCTTCTTTGCTCCATTCAGAATCTATAATATCAAGTTTCTGATATTCTTATATTTAAAAAAAAAACCATTAATATTACATTTATATAAAGCTGGGTAAATATGAGTTGAAAAGTAAAGTAAATTTCAGCTTTTAATTTAACTCTTACCTTTGGTTTTTTTTATTTGAACATTGATCTTTCTTATTTTAAATGACAAACTATCTATCTATATGTTTAATCATTTGCATTTGTCAATAAGAGTTTTACAAATTAAAAGTTAACTTTACTTAATAAGTTGATTCAATTTTCAAATTAACTTTAAACGTGTTTAACCGTTAAATATTTTCAATTAGTTTAACTTAACTGGGTAATACTATTATTCATTAACTTGCCGTGATTTACATCAATAAAATACAAATTGTTTGATAAATGCAAAATAATTAAAAATTAAAGATTTATAGTTTCTTGTATAATAATATTAAATGTATATTATTAAAATAAAACTAATGTAAATAATAACTACTTAGCCTGAAATAATTTAAATTAAATCATTAACTTCATTAGTTACGCCCTTGGGCCGTCATCGTGGATTACAAATTAAATAAACAATGAACAAATAAAGACAGACTTATTAATAATTATTAAGTTATTTTTAAACAGTTTATTAATTAGTTGATTTTTCAGTGTTTTATCTATTTTTTGTTTATCTATTAAATTTGTAATCTGATGATTGACCCAAGGCTATATCTAAATAGATATAAGTTACCATTTAGTTTATGACACTTAAGACCGAGTCACATTATACATATTTTTTTTTAAAATTTGATTTATATACAGGGTGATTTATTAAGCATTTTCACTCTATTTGTGTGGTTCAATTTCGCATAGATTCAAATTCTAATTTTTGGAATTTTTAAGTGTAGTAATTTTTAAGCCGATATTTTCGAATATATAAAAATGATGAGGTGAGCGTCCTTATGAATCACTTTGTATATAGTATAATTTTATTAATTACTTACCTATATTTATTATTACAAAATACAAACGGCTGCTGTCAATTAATGTTTTTACCTATTCTAGAATTAAAACAACAATATATTTCTGATTTATTGCAATCTTATCAGTAATTAGTTATCAGTCATATATTTTATTCCAAATAAAGAGCATTGTTGTACGGTTTTCTCTGATACTTATATCCTTATATCAGTAAGTTGTAAGGTTATATAATTATAACAAACAGATAAATTATACTACATAGTTTATAATATTTTTAGTACCTATACAGGGTGATCAATCTATCGTAATTATATATCTAATTATCTCGGAAAGTATTAACTTTTTCCGGAATTTGTTTTCTAGAATATTTAAGGAACAAGATTTTTTACAATTTTTTTTCATATTTATTTTTGGGAGTAAAACCACTACTTACTTTTGTTTTTCAAATGGCAACCTATATTAAAAATTCCATAAATAGACGAAGTATTAGTTAAAATAAATTTTGATGTTGACATTTTTGATTTCCGTCAATTCTTATTCCTCTTTTAAGTTTGGGTTGGGGTATAGTAGTGGTGCATTATTAACATGCCACGCGCCATACCACCACACAAATGATACTCTTTACTCTCCTCCAACCCGAACTTAAAAGTGGAATATCTCGTCAATAGACTAATGGAAATTAAAAATGTCAACAATAAAATTTATTTTAAATAATACTCCATATTTTAAACGTAAAATTGTAGAGCAGCTTGTTTCTTAAATGTTCTAGAAAATAAATTTTAGAAAAAGTTAATACTTTCCAGATAATGAGTGTCTTACGACAGATTGATCGCCCTGTAAACTTACATCTTTATCTTAATAAATCTGTAACTTTTATCTGAATCGTCCGTAAGGATGTCAATACAATAATATATTATCTACCTTCTATATTTACAAAAAATATAATACTTTTGTAGTGTACAGTGGAACCTCGCTATCTCAAACTCCAGTATCTGGAAGTTTCTGTAAGTCAAATTTTTTTGCAGCCCCAATCATTCAGTATTGGATGTAATTCCCTCGATAAATCGAAGGTTCGAAATGTCAATTTTTTTTTTATTTAGTTCCTTGAGGCTTCGAGATACCGAGGTTCTATTGTATTTATATTATGTATAATATAATCGATTACATTGATGAATATATTAATTATTTACTAATATACGTAAATTACGGGTTTTATAAATATTTAAGTCACTATATCAAATTAAAAAAAAAAAAAAAATGTATTTATAAAATTAAAAATTTCATTTTTCTGAGGGAATGTCTAGAATTATATTATTATTATTATTACTATTGTAACGATATAATAATATACAGAATGGAAAATCGAAAGAAAAATACCTTAATACGAGCGAATTTTCGGTTTTTATATTTTATATCGTTATTGTAATTATAGTAATTCTATGTACAAATTAATTTTTCACGAGAACTAATAAGAAAATGTTTATTATCGTTAATACCTTCGGAAAAATTAATATTATAAATTGAATTTAGAAAAAAAAAAATTAGAATATTATATAGGGGTATATTAAAAAAAAATATTGTATTTATCTCTAACACTTTCGATTTGTTGCTTTTTTATTCTTCATTTTCACGCATACAGGGAACGTTTTTGGTAAGTATATTAAAAAAAAAAAGAAAGATATATTCAAAAACAAACATAATATATTAATAAATTAGTCAATTTTATTTTTATTTTTTTTTTTATTAGTAAAAATGTTATTTCAAATCAACAACTGAGCGTTTTTTTATCATCGTTATTGTTTGTATTTTTAAACATTTTTTTTTTTTTTTTTGAAATTAATTTTTATCGATTCATATATTAAATGAAAATAACGTATTTACTAACTACTTAATAAGTTGTTATGTTCCGTGCGGTTATATGAGTAGTTCCTTAAACGTAAATAAGAGACGGTCGATCAATAATAATAATAAAAATTAAAAAAAAAAAAAAAAAAAAATGATTGCATTACGAGATAGATATTGTAACAATATGTTACATCAAATACTATTTGATTAGATTACATTAATAATTGTTAGTAATAATATGTATTATTAAAAAAATAACGACGGTATTATAGACTCTCTACATAGGTTCATAAATTAAATGTTTCCATATATCGTTAGAACTACTGCAGTAATAACGATATACTATATTAATTTGTAAAAATAAAAAATAAAACATATATATATATATATTTAGGTTTGATCAATTTATATTTTTTTTTCAGTTTCCCATTAAAAAGCCACCCCCCAAAATCGAACGACGAAAACGGGTCTACCGGTGACGTAATCGAAAATGTAGACACGAGTATAAGGTAATAATTTTAATATAATATATTTTATTTTATTTAATATACTAACGTGAAGTTCTATAACACTTAATAGAAGGTTGTATATGCTTATAATCCAATTTATAGTCTAATTAAACATAACTAACATATTGAAATTACGTTTCGGTTTATCAGGTTTTAAATTTTCCAATCTCGAATAACATATTATTTAATTATTTAATAACATAATGGGTGTTAACCCAAATATAGTAATTATACGAATTAAAACAAATGATAATAGAACATAAACTAACTAACTAACTAATGAAAACATGAGCAAAAGTAACAAAGAAATATACAGGTGATAAACAATACTATAAAAAATTAAAATTCACATTTAGGTTCGTCGCACGAGACATTCTGTGTAAGGGGTGGTTTTTTACCGAAGTTATTATGATGGATAGGAGTGTGGAATAAAGTTCGGGAGCACGAGGAACGCATAGGGACACGGAAATTTATCTCAGCTAAAAAATATTGGGCTATCAACTGCACCATGGAGTAGTTTTGAATAAAAAGAAAGCTTTGCTCCCGAACGCCTGTTAGCTAAGGTACTCAGGCCCAGGTAATTTCGTACTACAGAGTAATCGTGAGGGGGATGATCAATTTTAAATATTACATAATTTCTATGGAAATTGCACAAACATTTTTTGAGCAGTGTTTAAGAAATTTTAAAGGTAGAGTTTGTGACCTGATAAATACCTAATTACTTATATAAGAATATGATAAGTGATATCTGTACTCATTTTCAAAATAGTACAACTTTGACCTGTCTGCTTTGTAAATATTTTATTAAAATATTAAAAATGAAAATATTTTCGAAAGTTATATGAATGAAAAAAAAAAATTATAATTCAGTTTTTAAAAATTGTAATATAATAGTACTTTTCTCAATGATCTATATTCAAAAATATATAAAACACTTTTATTCTCTGGAAAATAAATTCTCGCTACAGTTTCCTGAATATAGTTAGTGTAATAGATTATATTCAAATTTCGTTTTGAAAATATGCTTATAGATTATATAAGTTACTATACGACGCAAATCATGCTATAATAAAGAAAATACTAGTTTATGTTTTATGTGCTTACTTAATAATGTATTATTTATTGTACGGCCGTATTTTGCTAAATTAAAAACTTACTATATAAAGAGATGAGAAGATCTTGAAGTAAAACCGGTAATTTTGAATTTTATATGGATGGTAGTTTATATTAACATTATAATAATATATTAGTAAATATTATGATATTGAATTTATATTTTTCATTTAAAACAGGTTGAGAATATCGTGACAGTGATTAAAACATCATAATCGTTTTATATTATGCTGTACATCAGTTTTATTACAAGATATGTAATAATTTTTGTCTCCATACTTGTTTAATATTACATAGTTTAAAAATTACCATCACGAGTACAGAAATTCTCATAATAATGAATATCACCGTACCATTACATGGCACGACGATACAGTTGACTGATATTTATATTATTATGCTGTAACTCATTTTCCCATAATTACTGGTTAAAAAAAGTTTATTAATTTATTAAGAACTGTCCACCTGAAACGAGTCACATTATTCGGCACGAAACGGCCTAAAAATTATTTTCTACATTAGATAAAAAAAGTATATACTATGGACACATTTCACGAAGTGCATATCTATTTCACGAATATAAAAAAAAACGATTTCACTGGATACGAAATGAGTGATAAATTTCATTTTTACAATGCCTTATAAAATATGCATTAGGTGATAAAATATCGGTCATTTACTTAACAATCCTTCTAGAGGAGTTGTTTATTCTGAGTATATACGTACGGTAAAATCACATTTATTTAAATGATTATTTTATTCATTTTTTTTTTAGACTGTAAATTATTTATAAAAACAATATTACATATTATACCCTATTTTTGAACAATGAAAATGCTCAGAATCAAAATACATATATGCTTTTCCTATGATTATACTGGATTATACCCTCGTTCCTCGGAATGAACATCATTGGCATTATTATGTTTATTACTGAATAATATCTAACTACGTTTTTCCAATGGCCTAGTGATAAATAAAAACGGGTATGACTAGACCGTTTAAGTTACTGGGTCTCATGTAATTTATGATATAAATGTTACCGATGGTGGGTCAAATGCTTGAAAAACCTCAACCGCATGCAAAATAATTTTAAACAGCCATAAAACGATGTATTAGTAGATGAAAATATTTTAGTAACTATGATAAATTTAAAAAATGTATACAACTTTTAATCATTTACAATAACAAAATTGTCTAATTTTTGGTTTTATTTGATAATTCCCTCTAGATTATATTTTCTTGATTTGTTGCAATCGTTCCCATTGGTTTTTTTTGTACAAGATCGATTTGATAAAATAATTTAACAAAAATGACTCGCGCAATATTATATTATACAGCGTTACAATATATATCTCTGATACTTTCATTTTTACGTTTTATATGGCGTTTGACGAATCAAAATATTTACCGTTTACTTGTAAACAATTCAATAATCGTTTGTATTTATAATATTTGTATGATTACAGGCCTCCGCTGGATGAAATTCGAAGTTGGAGTAAATCGTTCGATCGACTTCTACGATGTCCTGGTAATTATAGTAATGTACTATATTATTTAGTAATTAACTAATAAATATCTTTATTAAAATTAAAAAAAGGACTAGAGACTTAAAAATAGATGGTTAAAAATGTACATAGAATTTGATTAGGTTTGTAGTTGTCTTGAGAACTAACCACATAAACGTCTTTTACTCTTTTTTATTAAATTTTTACTTAATATCATAGTCGAAATTTAAATTAATTGTTCAGTTTCCATAATCTAGCTGTGTAGTGTCAAACACATGAAATCACTTATTATTTATTCGCCCAAAATACGAAATGGAAAGCAATATTTTTGAAATATTATAGTTCTATAGCTATTTTGTTTTTTGTTATATTACATATTGCCAAGGTGAAAATATTTACACATGAGTGAACGGCACTCGTTTGTTACGCCACCCAAATCAAAATATCATTTTTGACTATGGAACGGTTAGAATAGGCCGGAAGTCGAGAAAATATTATGTGCTGACATAATATTCACCGTCGTCGAGATAACGATAATAAGGACACCAAAGTCCCGATAAGCGAAATTTAATCAATAAACTGTAGGATTTATTGGTGAATAGTTCATTGTATAATTATAAATCTTTTCACGGGATGACTATTTTATCATGAACCAGCAATTTTCTATGGAAATTTATTCAACATTTTTGTAAATAATCGCTGGTTCATGATAAAAAAAAGTATAGTGTTTCTAAGCTTTTTTATTCTGCACGTATACCCCTTGACTTCTTATTACTGTTTTACGCACATAACTATTCCTTTACTGAAGGGGATCAAATTTCATTCATGTTAATCGATTTGATGACGTTTTTTATTTTTTTTGCTTACCAGATACTGAATTTATTACGCGCTAATCAGTGGGGTTTATTTTAATAATAATTTATTAACTAAATAAATATGTATTCACTGATATAAATAACGATTTAAACTATTGCAAAAAAAGTATTTAATTATGTATTTATAAATAAATCCTAGATATATTTGTTTTTGTAGGTACTCAATTACTTTCTTTTTTTTAAATTTATTTTAAAAGTATTTTTTTACTGGACATGCAACTTATGAAGAACTCTTCCTATTCAAACAAATAATTTAAGAAATTCGAATAAAACGATATGAAAAACAAATTAAACAATCATAAATCAATCATTTTTAAACAAATGTAATAGTGCATTTATATGTGATATCCTAACTATATACAAGTTTAATCTATTTTTTTGCATAGGTATTTTAAATAATTAAGCATTATAAATTTAAAATATATAGATATTTATACTTAAAAAAAGGCTTTTTCAGTAGAACTATCGAGTTTTTAATTTTCAGTTAAAGTATATAATTATTTATCTCATTAATACATTGTTATTTTTTGTTTATATTTACAGTGGGCAAAGCGATATTTCGTGAATTCTTACGATGCGAGTATAGTGAAGAGAATATAATGTTTTGGAGTGCAGTGGAGGAGTTGAAAAAAGAATCGAATACTGCTATACTCGAGGAAAAATCTCGGTCCATCTACGAAGACTACATTTCGATTCTATCTCCCAAAGAAGTTAGTAAAGTAGAATATGATAATATTATCAGTCAACCTCATTTTTTTGTTTTCGACATGAACCCGAAAAATGGAGAAGTATTATAGCTGAACATAATTTATGAAAATGTATTTAAAACTACTCTTATTGTAACGTACTAACGTATACGTATTTTTTTAGGCTGGTAAGTGAATTTTCATTTTTTTGGTATTTTCCGAAACTTCGTATCTGAAGTTTACAAATTAAAATTTAAAAAAAAAAGGAATGTAAATGCCAGAGCTCCCTTATTGTAGGTACATTCCCAAAACATAAAATCAAAATTGTAACTTTATGTCAAAATTAATGTTTACTGTACGATTCACTGTTTGCCCCGAATGTAACTTTTATACCAAGAAAATACCGCTGTGTTTCACGATTTCAATTTTCGATTTGATTGCACTAGTTGCACTGAGTTTTCCTTTGCATCGACAATAAAATATTCTGATTTATACGATAAAAACAAAATAATGAATAGTTTAATGGAATATAATTTCGTATTTGATATAAAACCCTAGTTTTGTGATAAAAATACTGTACACGTGCAGTTTTATTTTTGTTAAATCAAATAAGCTTTATTTTATTATATTGATCTTTTAATTCAAATATATTGTAACCTTATACGGGGTTGTTATACAAGTGCTTTGAATAATTGTTACATGTAAGCAGGTGTGGACTGGTAAAAAAGAGCATTGGATGCTACATAATTTTAGGGCAAATATCAAAAATTATTAAAATAATAAAATAAATTTAAAAAGCCAACATAGGTACTTCATACCATGAGATATGGATAGGTCACTGTAGTAAGTTGGTACTGAAAGATATCCATATGGTAATTTAATTTATATTTGTACGCAATAATAAATCAGTGCAAACGAAACACGATTCTGAAGCAAGTTCAGTTCAATATTTTTTTACAAATTTAAATTGAAAACAATACATTATTTTTTAACTATAAACTAAGTTAAAATTCTTTGTGTTTTTAATGAATTCTTGAATGAACTTTAATGAAAATGTCGATAAAAAAAAAATTGCGGAAAAACCTCAATAATTTCTTTTTTATTGAAAATAACACCACGTCTAATTAGTACTAATATATTAAGTAATGTAAAATAAACAATGATGTATTAAATTATTGTAAACAAATTATTCTATAAATTATCGATTAATTATAACTTCCTCATTAAAAATGTAAGGCCACTTACATGACATATTATTAAAATATTTGTATTAGAAAAATGTGTTATTTTTGTACAGGTGAGTTTAGACTCTCGTGTTCGTGATATTGTCAATAAGAACATCAATGAACCATCGCCTCATATGTTCGATGAAGCTCAGTTACAAATTTACACGCTTATGCATAGGGATTCATATCCAAGATTTATAAACTCGTCGACGTACAAAAAATTAGCCAAACTCGAAAACGGAGCTACCGGTAATGCTCCGAACAGTGGCCAACAAACCCCAACCAAACGCAAACAGAGCAATATATGAGAATAAAAACCCGAACAAAATTTCTCAGGTAAAAATAGGTTGATATTTATTATAAATTATACGTATTATAATAATACGTAAGCGCTTGCAACCATTTTACGATACAATGAAAATAAAGTGTTATTTTTATTTAAAACTGGGCGGTTTGGTAAGAATATATTTACCCGATATTTGATCAACACATCGTTTTTTTCTTAAATTTTTCATAATGTATTGCTACTAACAAAGAATGCAATAAAACTTGTTTTAAAAAGAAGGCGCAACAAAAATAAAATTGATAGTCAGTGATTAGCTAACCCTTTGAAAATACCTATGTGAAAAAAACACATCCTTATTTTGTAATTTGATATTATCATTCTTTTATCTATAAAAAATTAATAAATACATTTGATGGGTAGTAGACAATTGAACGATGCCCGTCGGAATGTTTTCATATAGACTTTTCTGAGCTCTTGATATTAATTTTCGATACCTACCATTAAAATCATCATAAACACTAGCAAAAAAATTGCTATTTAGCTTGCAACATTTACGAATCAACAGCCACCAGATCAGAATTCGAAATTTAAAATTTTTACTTATTAGGTAAAGTACAAGTAATTTCAAAAATTTATATTTTTGAGGTATCTTGATTCTTAATTTACAATGCTACAAAAAGATCATAAAACCATGACAAAATATAGGTAGTTATTATCATAGTGCAATAGCGACAAACACGTGGCCGCTGTTCTCGTTTTAAGAGAGTGAGTAGTTAGAAAACTTCAATACAAGAAGAGAATGTAAGAAAGGGGGAGAGTAGATAGTGGCTAATTTGTTTTCACTTCATGTACCAAAAAAAAAAAACAAAAATAAAATTTATATTACTATAAATAAACTTCTAAACTTATATTCTTATAAGTAATTTTTATTTTGGTATTACCTGTGGTACGTATATTATTATTTATAATTTTATTCTTTAACCACCATGAACAACTAACACCAAAATGATTCAATTTTGTATAAAATAGAAAATTTAGGAAATCTTATTTTACTATTAAAAAAATATATTTATAGAATTTGAAGACAGTAATATATTATAATTGTCTTGTTTTTCAGCGATAAATATTTGTATTTTGGTGTTCAAGCCTGCGTTTGGACCCATGTATTTGGGACCAGAAATGAAACAAATGTCGTAGAATTACATTTAATACAGGTAGTATATAAGGAAAACTTTCAATTCTAATGCGTCAAAATAATTTAATTAAAAAATATTTAATAATTAGGTTTTAATCGATAAGGAAAAGTAAAGGTTTTATACATAATATATATTAAACAATAAATACAATTTTTATTTCATTCGCAAAAAAATACATTTTTTTATATCTTTAAAAATTAAAATAATAATATTATAGTAGTGATTATAATTTGTTTTATTATTATCACTGACTTACTGTGTTTGTCATATTGTGTAAGTACTTTGATAAAAAAAAAAAAAAAGTACCTACCTAATAATTGTTTTTATATTAAATATATACTTACACAACACTATAATTCTCTTATCTTAAAGTACCTACATATAATATAATGTGCAATGTTTAAAAAATTATTATGTAAATATATATATAAAAAAAAAAAAACAATAATGCCATATTATATCCACGTACCTAACGAATAAGTTTATGATATTAAACAAAACGTTTAAAAAAAAAACCGAAATTGTGTTACCTATTATACCTTAAATTAAAGCTATATTACTTGTACAATAATTTATATTATTTTAAGACTAATAATATTGTACCTACTCGTCATACACTTCGGTATGCAATATTATAATGATTTAATGTAACAGTACACGTAAACACAGATGGCGATGATGGTATAAACTCAATTTGAATGTTTTTTTTTTTTTAATAGAATATTGTTATTGTTATTATGATTTTTTTTAAATTTTTTTTTTTTGTAATAGTTGTAGTTATACTTTTTTTCGTATATACCTACACTACATATTATATACATATATGGTTTCGTACAAACACAATGTAATAGGTAGTGAAATATAAATTTATTAGTTACATATTATACAATATTATTGTTTCTAGTCTAAAAAAAAAAGACTGTATAATTTTAGTTCGTGTCGTAAATACGATTACCTCTTTTTTTTTTTTTTTTTTTTGGTTATTTAAGAAGCTTTTAATATTGTGCCAATTTGTATTCTTATTATGATTCTTTGTTTAATATTATTTTAAGTTTTTTAGAAACCTATGTGAGTGTAACAGTTAAAATTGAATTCCAAAAAAAAAAAAAAAAATGTCCCATATATTATAATAATATTAATATAACGAATAATACCTACCTACTTGTACTCAGGGTTGGGCAGTATCTATATTCGATACAAGTATCTGGAAATGCGTATCTTAGAAACAATTAACATCAATTATAGTGATACATTTTGGGGGAAACTGGGTTCTTTCCTCTCCTGATTTTTCGAAAAATAAATTTAAAATTTAAATTGACCACTTTTTAGATATTGAAAATCAATGTATCGAGTACCTAGATATTCATTGTGAAGTATCCTGCCCATCCCTTTATGTACACAATTTTCGCCCTGTAGACTCTCGCGTTTAAGTTTTAAGGTGCACAAATTTTGCACAAAATTTCGTTGAAAAATATTATTAAATTATTATAGTTTTTTTCTTCGATATGAAAAATAATAATATTATATTAAATTAAATACAATTATTATAGTAAATAATATTTATTATTAACGTATTACGTGTTACGTCTATAATATAATATATTTATTATTTAATAATAATAATTCAAATCAATAATTATTTTAGATAAAAAAAATATATATAATAATATGATATTACATACATACGACCTGTAACATGAACATAACAGGGTACAACATTTTCCTTGTTTTGTCAAAATATAAGTATTATAACTACCTATTAATATGTAATATAGACGCTCCCAAGATTGTTTCGAAATTATTTCCGGTCAACATATTGCGATTACGGTCGAGTTACACAAATACAGCGTTTTAAAATGAGATTACCGAGTTACGTTCAGTGAGTTCGAAAGTATATAATATTATTATAATACGTGTAGACTTTAACAATAGTAATAATAGTAATAATTACAAAATTATTTACTCTCGTACTTACTTATTTATTTACTCGGGTAGGACATTATTTTGTTTGGACTATTATATTATTGTTGTGTGGACAATGTATCGTTGAAATAATTGCAGTTTTTTTTCCCCGTTATCCTTTTAGATTTAACACCTGGATATTATCATTGTTATTATTAATATTATAAACACAACTATATATAACAAAATGTATATAATTCTTGAATTTTTTCGGTTCGATATTGTAGAGATAATATACCATAAATGTGAATATTATAATAATATTATCATATTGTGTACCTAAACGTGTATAATAATATGATCGAAACAGAAATTGAAGCAAAGTCGGACATTTTGTTTGTTTTTTCCCCCATTATTTGTATTTGCATTAAAAGAATGAAAGAAAAAAAAAGCAATCGCCTATAATATCACCTAATAAAAAATATTACCTCGTTTAGATCGAGGGGGTATAAAAATAGTACATACATATTATGTAGGTAGTAAGAGATAATCATTGTAATATACAACAAATGTTCTTAATAATAATTACTATATAAGTTGTTAACTTTATTATTACTTACTATAATTTTTTAATACACGATGATAATATTGTAAATCACTTTAGTGCGTAATAATAATACCAATAATATTAATAATAATAATATTGTTATTATTACTTACTAACTTACTTAAATCCGTGTAATATGCAAATACGAACGATTCAATATAATGACGATGATGATCTCTGTATTTTTTTTTTTTTTTTTAACACTCGTACGATTTTATATAGAATACGCAACGATTATCATTATTGAGCTATTAAATTAATTGATAAAATGATTGCTTTGATTTCAAAATATAAAAAAATAACAAAAAAATATAAATTTATCGATATTTAATTAAGTATATAATGTATATTATATACCTACATTATTATTCTTCGTTATTATGTTTTAGACAAATATAAAATAAATAATATTATAATAAACATATAAGAATGAAAACAGATTAAAAAAAAAAAATCTATATTTATTATCATTTTTCTTGTGCTACAGCAGAGTATATATATATAAAAAAAAAACAAATACAAGTCACGTTTACTGATTAACGATAATTATTTTTTATTTTGTTCAATGTAAGCAGTATTTTGACGCATATATCTAAACGGAAATAGTGTGCTTAGTGTACGTTCTGATTATATTATAAATATTACACCGACTACCAACTTAGTGTTCCACGACTTCAAAACTTGAAGGAACTGTTCTTCTTCTTTTCCTCTTGGAGGAATTCTTCGAATTTCTGTGAATATTCCCGTTTAGGATCCCATTTGTCCAGGAGTTGTTTCCATTCGGTGGGATAATCTTTTTGGAGTCGTTCAACTACTTTAAGTGCTGCGTTCTTTTGTTTGGGACTGCATTTTATGCATTGTGTTTTCAAGGCGTCCGGCAATACTTCTATTAAATCAAAACAAATATACATGTATTAATATTAGATAAATTTCAATGTGCAAAAAAGTAATCCATAAATTCTTCCATTAATATAAAGAATATCACTACATTAAATTATTAATACTCTTCTGTAATGTTATCTACTATCTAAATGATTTCTAACTTGAACTAAACCTATGCAATTACATTTTTTAGAAGATCTATTTTCTTTTTTGAATATTTATAGAACATAAATTATTACAATAGGATAAAGTTCGATAAATTTTTTATTAATTTAAGGTACCGTAATGTTCAGAAACAAACACCAATTTAAAGTTTAAGAATAATAATAAGATATTATTTGTAGGTAATTAATTATTTAATCTTCTATAATAAGAGAATAAGCGATCAAGTGATTTTAAACTTTTCCATACCATTCTGGATAAGTAGTAATAACTATAATAAGATATAGGTAATAAAAGTTGATAATATGTATAATGCGATACTTTCATGTGCCTTACATGTATTATATATACGTACATTGGAACAAATACAAAAATATGTAAGGAGTCGAGAGAAAAAAATAATAATATTGTAACATTTACTTTTAATATTGTTTGTTATTATGAAACTGAACCTTTTGCACGTTTAACTACACATTTTTAACAATTAGAAATAATAAAAAAATAAAAATTGTTTTTTTGTGAAAACTTTTCGCAGAGTGCAAAAAGTTAAATACTGCAGCAATAAAATAAAAGCTATCAAACTAACCTTTGTTGAATTCTAATGTGTTGTTATGAAACCGACTCTTTTAGATTTTATTTTATGTTTTATATATATTGCAATTTTAGCATTTAGAAATAATATAATATTTTGAGTTAAATTTTTTGTGAAAACTTTTCGCAGAGTGCAAAAAGTTAAATATTGCAGCAATAAAATAAAAGTTGTCTATCGCCCCTATGTTGAGTTCAAATGTATTGTCATAAAACTGATTCTTTTAGGTTCGTTTTTATGTTTAATACACTGAAGTGTTAGTATTTAGAAATAATATGATATAAATATACTTGTTTTTGTTGTGAGAACTTTTCGCAGATTGCAAAAAGTTAAATATTGCAATATTGCAATTTCAATAAATACTATATCTAATCTATATATATATATAGTATATATCAATGTAGAATATATATATATATATATATAAACTAAACGTATTATTTAGAGTTAATAAATTTACCTATTTTGTATATTGTGTGATTATTGATGAAAAAAAAATGACTGTATTCAACGTATTGACAACCTTAAGGGTGTAGATCGTAAAATATTTTCGAAACTCAACAAATGTATTAACGCCCAATGTTTTGTCGATATTAGAACATTATACACAGGCGTTTGTACATTACTATTACATTTCACCGACACGACTAAAGATATTATTTACTAGAAATAAAAAGCACCAGTGATGGACCGTTTTCAAAGAAAATAGGGGAAAAAGTGCGAGAATCCGGTTGGATGCAAGATCTGATTAATAATCAATTACGTTTTTCAACTCAACCAGGCGGGCACACGTTTATAATAAGTATATACTAATGATTAGAAATACAATAATTATTATGTATATTTATTATCGAAATTTTAATCAATGTTAAAAAATTCAAAATGACCAAACATTCAGTTATACAATTAACCGGTTGAAGACGATGTTCGATCGTTAGAGTCAGTATATATTCTATTCAAAATTCGAATATGCGTTCAATGTCAATCGGTATTGTATACTTGTACCGTAACATATACTGCGTTTAGGATTTATATATAAATTGCATGACTATAAATAACAAGATAAATAGCGGAAGTGGAACAATAGTATTTTTTTTTTTTGCTACAGAAGGCTATTTTGTTTATTTAACTTGACTTTTTAATTAACCTTTAAACTCTAGTATTAAAAAACTGACAAAGAAAAAAAAAGGGGGGGGGGCGATAATTTGAAATTAAGCCGGTCGATAGGGTATTAGACCTTATTCCTAACCTTCAGCCGGGTCTATTACGTATTAGGTAAATCCGGGATTAAATATTTTTACCAGTAGGTATATTAATATAGTGCAGTAATTTACGTACTCCTGAGTTCAGAGCCTTCGGCGGAACACGGTTTCTTGTCCATCAGACACTGGACGTAGTTGTTGACCAGCCTCTTGGAGGCGAGCACCTGGTCGATGTCAATGTTGTCGAACTTGTTGGTGTACTCGGTAGAGGCCGTTTCCTTTTGTGGGGCCGCGGTCGCGGTACGGTCCATCAGGGCGACCAAAACGGCCACAACGGCGAACAATAATGCTGTACGTGATTCCATGATGACGGCGATGTGGTGCTGGTGCGGTTGTCGTGCGTGTACTGAAGACCAAGACGGGTCCGGCGGCTTTTTTATATCGACGAGCGGAATCGTGTACGCGTTTGTTGATTGTTTTTTTTTTTCGCTTACCGGACACCCGCGACGACGACGACGACGACGACGTCGTCGTTAGACGAATTCGTGCAGCCCGACGACCTTCTATATATGTATAATAAAAAAAAAAACCCATAATACTACGTAGGCAGGTAGGTTGGTAGATACGTATACCGGCCCGGTACGTAGGCACTTCTCGTACTTAATCGTTTCCCCGTTTTCTTATTATGCCGCACATATAAGTACGCCGGTCGTTTCCTCAATTATTATTATCATTATTATTATTATTCTTAGTATTATTACTAGATACTCGTGCACGTATTACTATTATTATTGTTGTTGTCGTCGTGACGACGCGCTGCTGGCGCACATAATCTTTTGTAATGATAATATTATGATCAGGCTTTCGATGCAAAATGCATTCTGTGAGGATTGGGGTGATCTAAGGCGCGAAGTTTTCCAAGTACATAAATCGTTTCGTATAACAGATGGGATACTTCAAAAGTGAAACGTTTAGTTTTTTTTACATTTTCTGCTATTTTTGTAGCTTTAAGCATTTATTGGTAATTGTATTGTTTGTTTTACATACATATTATATATACAAATTGATAATTTAACTTTAGGTAATTCGAAAAATAAATTTCGTTTTCCTGAAATTTGTGTTTTTTAGATTCCGAGTATTCTTCATAAATTATCAATATAAACTGTCGATCGTTTTAACTATTTATAATTTTGATTATTTTATTTTTATGAAGTGCTGTAATTCGATATCTGACATAAACGTATAACATTAACAAAAGTGACATTTTTGCTGTTTTTCGATTTTTAGAATAGTTTTTAGCATTTTACTATCATTTTAAGGATATTTACATCCAGGCCCAAATTATAAAGAATAGAGTACTAGAGTAATTTCTCATAAGACCAGATATTATTCAGGAATCAAAAAAACGATTATTACAATAGGCAGGACGTTCACTGAAGAAATAAGGGTCAATGATACAGTTAGTTCAATCCGAAGACCTTCTAGGTAAAAGACCATTAGGACGCCCACGTGCGAGAATCTGATAAAGAATATAACTAAGCAGGAAGCCAGTAACCAGAAAGGTTATGGAGAAATCCATAGCCATAGACAAAGATCAGTCAATTTGTTTGTCAGAATAGTCTTAAAGAACGTAGGCAGAAGAAAAAGAGAAACCGCTTATTATTATTAGGTTGAAGATTTCAACGCACTTAGCATTTTTTTTTTTCAAAACGCTTGTTGTGTGACGTTCGTTTTATTACAAATCCATTAACGGTGTAATTTTAAATGAGAAATTATATTTTCAGATTTTTACACGTTAGTATGATTTTTAGGTGTAGGTACTAGTAAAATATCAAGAATATAATAAATCGAAAAGAAATAATACCACTGGTAAAATACAATCGTGAACAAATTATCGTCACTAAAATATCGTTTAAAAAATATATAATAAATAGTCATTTTGCGATATAATAATGAAAAAAAAAAAATCGAAAAAATAATATGTCAAAACCCAAATGAAGAATGAGCCGTTGCTCATTTTGTTACAAATTCTTTACATGGTGTATGACTGAATGAGACTAAGACATTTTTGTTCTTATTTTTAAGTAATTTTCTTCAGTGTATAGGCACATTATTTTCAATATGAAGTCCATAAACATAATTTTTATTAGGACATTTCGGAACTTCATAAATTACTTAATTATTTTAGATTCTAATTGAAGCGATGAATATATTGGTTTTACTATGATCTATTAGAGATGTCATTTTTTTTTTTCTAGTGGTTTTCATAAAAATTGTGAAAAATCTGAGAAAATGTATTCCTAACGAAAACAGACAAATATTTACGACGTTAACATTTCATTGTTTTAAATTGTTTGATTTTTGTTTTCTATCAGAAATCTTATTCCGAATTTCAAACGCAGTGTCTTTTCTGAAACAAAATGTTTTCTAGTTGATACCTAAAAAAATGGTTTTTAATTTTTTCCTGCATAATTTCCGGAAAATAAAACCGGACAATTTGTTGAAAAGTAAAAAAGTTTCCTGCGACATTAACAGTTTTATTATTTTCGATTTTATTATTTCATTGCGGTTCGGTTCAAAATAACCGATATATTTTGTAAGCCCGACTAAACTATGGATTTTACACGTATTGGGTGTTCACATTATATTACAAGTCCGCTCGAACCCGATGAAAATCGCCCGTTTCGAGTGCCGATTATGACCTTTCGTCCGTGCAACAGACCCGCACGTTTCGAATGATCTATACGCTCGTTTTACTATAATACGAGCAGAGACAGCCGGCCCTCGCTCCGCCGGCCGAGAAACCATTCGTTATTGTGATTATATTTACGACTATTATAAATCGGTTGACGACTTGCGGCGGCGGCGTTTCCGTTCACGTGTATACCCGAACCCGAAGACACACGTATAGTCGTGACGTCCGCGATTGCATACGCGTCTAGTTTATTACTGGGCGTGATGGGCCGGGATGGCGTACAGTTCGCCGCCGCCGCAGCCGGGTCCGTATAATCGCGTCGAGTTTAAAAATACCAATTAAAGAAAAAAAAAAAAAAAAAACGACCGCGCGTACCTACACAACGCAATTTACGGTGAAACGGACGCGCGAAGATCGATAGGTCGTTATCGTACCTCGTGCCGTTGAAAGCATAATAATATTACATATTATTATTATTATTTACCCGCAAACCACCTGCAGCTGCACCGCTCGCGTCCCGGGATGTTATAATAATTATTCCCCGTATTTCAGCCGCGGCCGAACGCCACCGTAATAACCATCAGCACGAGTACGCCGGGTATTACCGACCGATTTACAGCGTTCGCCGGTTGTACAAGAATGACGCGGGCTGGTACGTGTAATATAATGGCCGGTCGATGCGGACACGTGCCCACGCGTGTTAATGAACGGGCGCCCGGACCGCGCGGGTCATCGTTTCCGACCGACTCCATTTCGTTGTACCCGATTCGTGTGCTCCGGGCGGAGTGCGGTTAAGAATTTCAGCGCGTTCGGACAGAGTGCTAAAAATCTACTCGGTCGTGGTTTCAACAATGTTTTTCCTTTGTCTGGACGCGGGCGTTTATTCGCGGTACGGTTACGAATTTCCCGTACGTGAATTGATTTAGATTTTCGGCGTTTCTCAAACTGTGGGTCGTCAGTCCCGAGTCAATTGTTGTTGGGTCGCAAAAGTTGTTTTGAGTTACATGGATTCCAAGAAATTTATGTCTTTTAGATTCTGCGAGCGGAGCGAAAAATATTATAATGGTTTTACGAATTTGTTTTTTTTTTTTTTTTTTTATTTGAACAACTATTGAAGCTCATACATCGCATACACCTCATTATTAAAAGTACATCTGTACAATTATATTAATTATAAACCTCTAAAGTAATAAATAACAAAAGCATAATAAACAAATTAAGTGAAACCGCGTGGGTCGCGATTGATTTTCGGGGGAAAATTTGAGCCACGGTCCTAAAAAGATTGAATCCACTGATTTAGATTATTCTATTGTTTTTTGAAATCGCGCTGAATTTTTCGAGCTACGCAATAATATAATTTTACTCACGAAAATAAACACGTGTATGCTGTGCACTTTAAAGTCACCACCCTGTTTTGGAACTAGGCAATGTTGAGACCCGAGGAAATATTTGTGTGCACTACAGGTATCTATAATGATAAAGTCAAGACATACCAACGTTATCTCGACGAAAAAAATAAAACGTATGTTTTAACCGGTTATAAGAAACAGATTACGTATTTGGTTATAATGTTGGTTGATATATTTTGGAGTTTTGGCGTTCACGAGATCACGTGATAATATAAAATATACATATACAGAGTGATTCATTAAGTGCTCTCACGCCATTTTTAAAGATAAATTATGAATACATGCAAGTTAGGGAGGGGTGAGTATCGGAGCACTATAGAACTATTCAGAAACCAGGAACTGTGCCGCTACACAAATTATGCTCCCACCACTGACCCCTTGCTTAAACCTTGCTTAAAAGTGGAAATCTCGTCAGCGAGTTGACTGAAATCAAAATTTATTTTAACGATAACCCCATCTATTTATTTGTTCTTATTTGAAAAACCAATGTTAGTATCGTCACATAATACTCCTTAAATGTTTTGAAAAATCTTGTTTACGAACATATCGTCTTTAACTATACTTAAAAATTCCCGAAATAAACATTTGCATACATACATAATTTACCCCTAAAAATGGGGTGAGTATGCTTAATTAATCACTCTGTATAAACATTATAAACTAACGTCTGGGAATGATTATAAAGTGCATAATATTTTTAGTAAAAATCATAAAAAAACTATTAGGAAAATAAAAAATATGAATCTCCTCAATACGCCAATTAGATAAAATGATAATCAGAAAAAATATTATATTTGATATTTGGAGCCAGACTTCTGGTAGATAAGTTATTTATAGATAGAAAAACATATTATAGTAAAACCTATACGTATTCTTTGTTTCTCTTAGGATCTAAAATAATAATAATTGAATTGCATAGTTATCTACACTGTCATGTACCTCGTATAAGAATATCATTTTACTTTTTAAACAATCGCATATTATATTAGATAGTATTGTTTAGTCATTGTTTCAGTTTTTTTTTTATTAATTGGACGTCGAACTGGAAAGTTAACAAGAAAAACCGACCATTCTATGGTTACAACTGTGATAAGCTGTAACTACATCAGGTAATGTAATATAAATAACTAGTAAGTTGTATACCTTGAAAAAGAGTCCGAATGTGATTTTTTTAATAATTTATATTTTATTCCACGAGACCTTGTTATATATACGTACAAAGATTAAAGAAATATTACATAATTGTCTATATTTATAAACTGTGGAGAAATTTAGTGGTACACGAGACGAGTATAATTAATATTCAACTGTTCAAATTATTAATTTTAGAACAGTCACTGATTTATGATAAGTAAAAATTAATTTTGTAAATTTTTAACATTTATATTAACTTTTTGTAGATGCAGGTTACATAAATAACAATAAAATAACATCGAAAGATGTGTAATATTTTTACTTTGTAAGAACTTTACTGGACATTGAAGGAAAAATTAGTTTCATACTGTCGTCATGTTTCGTTTAGTTAACGGCGAGTGTTAATCCCTTTTTTTCTTAATGCTAATTTCACAGGTTAATTTTACGTATAAATAGTGGATTTTATATTCAAGTCAGTGAAGATGGTTTTTTAAGTATTTTATAGGTGTTATATTTTAATCCTTATCTTGTTACACTTACAAAAAATAACCATTTGATATACCTACTTAACACTTGTGAATCATATTGCAAATTAATTTAAATAAAGGTATTACTTTATGTTATAAATATTGATACAGACAAACTTATATTGCTCATTTGGCGACTAACCAACATTGTTAATATAAATTCTCGATCGTCGAAACACACATTGAAAAATAACCATGTTATAATATCGAATGTTACAATACAACATTACATTATACTTCGATTTATATGTGTAAGAAATAATAATTATTTTTATATTTTATTCTGGGTGGAACTGCTCGTTTAACTGGTTGCTTTTAACTGGTTTAACTTATTAAAGTTGTTTTTCTTCTTGTGACTATAATAAATCAAGAACTAATAAAAAAAAGTCCAAAATTCAATCACGAACACCTATAAAAAAATTTAAATTTAAAAATTCTTGTTTCGTTTTGTTGTCGGATTAATTGTCCATCTATGTTCAAAATTTCCGATTTTTGATTCTGTGCTATCTGGGTATTTTTTAGCAAAACTTTCCAATAAGACAGATTGAATGTTTTGGAGAATTTTTATTTTTCGAAAATTTACTCACAGAAATTTGTATATACCCTAATACAATATTACTCACTTCGTTCAGAATGTACAAATATTATTATAAATAAATAGAACATGTTTATAGTAAATTCGCGATACTGATAGAGAGGAGCTACTGAAGCAGATACTGAAGGATTGATACTGCTGATGGGTGTGTCACTGTTGTAAATGGGAAATCGGGAAGATAACTTATATAAATTTAGTTCAATTTATATCTGCAAGCAATGATAAACCACTACTAATAAAATATGATTCAGAACAAAGTTCGGTTATAATTATTTAAAAATGCCATAATATTTACTATTTTGGTCAAAATATAATCTTAACATTTTTAATACAATTAATACAATTTTTTTTATCACGAAAATATTTGACTAATTTACAACAAAAAAACCGAAATTCAAAATAACGAAACCATTTATGTCCTAAATTTCCCTGTATTTTCTACTTTTTCCAGTTTTTCCCAATTATTATGAAAACTGGCTGTATATCAAAACATGACTTTCTTACTAACCAGTAACCAATTAGATCTAAAATGCAACAAACAGGTCTATTGTTATTTTTCGATTGGAGCAAGATTGCTAATAAAAAACTTAAATCGTAAACATTTAAAACAATAAAATTATAACGTCGTTAATTTGTCAGTTTTAATTTTTTTCTGGTTTTTCAAATTATTATAAAGCTGCTTGAAAAATTAAAAAAATAACCTTATATTGCACTAATTAAATCCAAAATGTAACAAAAAAAGTCTCTGGTTATTTTTTCTATTGGAAGAAGTTTTCTGGTATAAAAATTGTTTACAAACGAATAAAATATACACATACATCACAGTAAAATTAATAGATCCGTCGCTACGTTTAGAACATAAAATATAAATATAATCGTTTTTATAGGAAATTCTTGAAAATACACCGGGTGTGTTAATCTGCTGCTGTAAATACACCGGATTAAATTCAATAACACCTTGAAGAAGTTCGGAACTTGATTCACTCGTCATTCCATAGTGTAAATCGGTCAGTTTACTGTAAACAACGAACCCGGTAAACACATCACTCATTAAATGACTCAGATTTCGTAAAATATGACGTATAGAAAAAAAACATTATTTAAGTATATATTATAATATAGAAGTTGATTTAGTTACGCTACTTAAGAATTAAAGTTGTCCATGGTGAAGGCGATTATTAGAATCGGCTGAAAAAATTATAATACCTACTTTTCATAACATTTGTGATAAATTTAATGTTTTTCTTTTTTTATTTAAATTACTCGTTTATATTTTGTCCAAAAAAATAAAACTCGTTTGACATTTTTTTTCGAGCATGAGTAAACTTTTGAATGATTAACGCCAATTCCCCAATTAGATATACTAAAAATACACATTGTCGAATATATACTATAATATAAGTATATATCAATACACTTACTATTTACTCCTCTGATTTTCATTTAAACGATTGGTTTACAGCAGATCACTAAACTTCTCTTTCGTAATTTAAATCCTTTTAATTCATCAGATCCTTATAATTACCGATCCTTATTCATGTTTATCATTAATATATTTCATCCTTGGACTACGTCCTCTAGTATGACCTTCTATGCCTACATCTATGACGCATTTCGGAAAATTATCATGACACGGTACATATAATTTAATTTTGTCCCTTCGGACTTTAACATAATGTAAAAGTTCTCATTTTTCCTTTTTTATGTAAAGTACTTCCTGCAGGTACGTTACTCTCTATGTCCATTGAACCTTTGCAGCATTTTTCAATAGAACCCCTTTTTTTTCGGCGAAATTATTTAGAATTTAGATAAATTCAAAACTAGATAGTTACTCAAATTTAATAAAAATTAAAATTAAAAATGGATCAAATACAACTATCTGTACGTATAAAATCAATTTTAGATTCAGACATTATTTGTATAAGGACATAATCTTATAGGCACACATAAATGTCTGTTTGTAACGTGTAATTGATTTGACATGGAAACTAAATATAGAATATATAGAATCGTATAACCCGTCATGTATAACGGGCATACAAGATACAACTAGTATACAAGGTTCTCATCACGATCGACCGATTTTTCTAGAGCTATTAATATTTAACTTGTTTTTATTTATTTTTTTCAATTTGATTATCATTGAGAGGAATTCAGAAAAAAATGTGATTTTTATTTCATCTAATGACTAAAAATCCTTAATTTTTTGTTTATTCACTTTACACAATTTTCAAAAAAGCTATTTTGTAAAAGATATTATTCTAAACGTATACTTTACGTATGCATTCATATCCGAACAATAGTTTTTTGGCACCACCTGTTTTAATTTAAACATTTTTAAACTATATAAAAAAAATCACGTAATTTCATATCACATTACGCAGTAATCTCATTTTTCACACGTTTTCATTAAAACGGCTGTTACTAAGAAACTATTTATTAAATATGAATAGAGAATAATATTTTGAAAATTTTCGTAAAATGAATAAATAGTGATTTTTTTTTAAAAATTAGAAAATGAAAATAAACATAAAATTTTTTTCTAAATATATATCCCTCTAAAAGAAAAAAGAAATTGTATATTTACAGCTCTAGAACAATTCGTCAACCTGTAGGACACCGTGTATTATAGTTAGGTATATAATAAAGTATTAATTAATTAATTATATAATTAATAAAACACATTCACGAAGAATGGCACATGATGAAAACAAACTGATACTGGGGCGGGTGTGCCACTATTGTAGGTGGGAAGTTGGGAATGTAGAATATAAAAAGTTATTTAATTTATATCTATCAGTAATGATAAACCATTGCTAACAAAAAAAATTTGGAGTGAAGTTCAATTAAACATATTTCAAAAGGCCATAATAGTTACGATTTTCGTCAAAATATGATCTAAAACCGGCTAAGTATAAAAATAAACGACTACATTATATTCAACTTTTTTTTTTTTACAATTAATTTGAACCTTAAATTAAATTGTCAAGTATTTGTGTTTCATCAAACCGTTTTATCCACAGAAAAAGACCTACGTACATAAAATATACTTGTAAGTATAAAATGCCTATACATAGCTCAAAAATGGCTTTAACAATTTGGAAATTTTACCTCGTCTAGAAAGAGTGAATACAAGCTTTTCGTGAAAATGTCCAGTTTCTACGAAAATATCTAACTGAATTACAACAAAAAACCCAATTGAAAATAATAAAAGCATTATTTTTTGTAAATTCAAAAAAAGTACCACATTCGATACATCAAATCAAGATCTCTGATAGAAAAGTTGATCACACACACAAAAAAAAAAAAAAATAGATCTCTTGGTACGTTCTGAATCTAAATACGTATATCAAGTAAAAAATCGAAAGTAATAGAGGTTTTAATACAAAAACATAAGAAACGGAAAAAAGACATAAATGTAAAATTTGAGCTATTCGTATAATATCTTAAATAAAATTTAATATAGATTCTTTCCGTTATAACGAGTGTTTAATATGTACATAATTTACAGGGTAAAATTTAAAATCATTTTACGCAATACTATTTTATTTGAATGGTATGAAATTATAGTCGTAAATAGTATTATTATGTAGACACTGTTTGAGAATCTTTTATAAAATTCGAATAATTATCAGAAAACTATTTGGAAAATATCTTAAAATATTTTATCTACGAGTACATAATATATACATGCTGTCCCACAAAGATATAACCCTTGAATATCTCAGTAGATAATAAAGATAATATAATTTTAATATTTTTTTTTTATATATTACTCACAGGGATAAGGACTAAAAATATGCAATTTTTAATTAAATATTTTCTTTTTATTAAAAAAATGAAAAAATGAACTTTTTATTTTATAATTTTCGAAATATTTTAAAACAGCCATCTGTAGAGTTTATTTTCCTGAGAATTTTAATAAATCACACATTTATATCCGATTAATAGTTTCTAAGTAATAGCCGTTTTAAATTCTATTAATCCGTGTGAAAACCGATGTTATCTTGGGATTTAATTCAAAAATAAATATTTGTAGTCTTTATCCCTGTGAGTAATATAATAAAGGTAATCGATATTTGTTTACTTTTATTATCTCCGGAGATATTCAAGGGGTATATCTTCGTGGAACAGACTGTATAATATATATGTATGTTTATATATTATTTATCTTTATAATACCTGGCCGTGAAAAAAAACAAAAAAAAATCCAAACATGTGTGTGAATATTTAATAAACATCAAATGTTTAACAACATAAAGTAAAAACAGAAATCGAATTGTATTGTCATGCATGTAAATGTTTAATAAAATATTCGTTTTGCTGCAATTGTTCGAGTTTTATTTGCATAATCAATGTAATCAATCATTCGTCATACTTACTGTAGATTGTATTTATAAAAAGAAATCATTATCTGTAGTTTTCTGTTATAATTTATTAATATCGTCAAAGTTGATAAATTGTGTTCAATATACGTATTAACTTTGAAATAGACAAAAAAAAAAATGTACAGAAACGATTTTTAATGTTACCCTAAATATAAATAATGACTTTACGTCCAAAGTTTCACGCTTTCAGAGGCTTCGCGCTTGTAGATCCATAAGAAGAATAATATAATTATAATAGGTATAGGTACAACTAGAAAAATAATATTTTTAGAATTTTAACTATGTTTTTAAGAAAACACACGTACACGTGCGTTGTCTTATGAAACACGATTTCCGGCCGTAGCCAAGTGTAGGGTATTATTACAAGTATTAGGTGATAAGTGTGGCATAGATTAAGCTGATGAAAAAAAAGTCTCGCAAAAATAAAATTATCTTATCAAGGGCCTCGCAAATCGCCCCTGATGACTTTATTTGTTTAACTTTTTTTTTGACATCATTGTATGAGGTCTCGTATTAATTCAAAAGCACACATTAGGTATAGAATTAATGGTCACTTGTATATTATTTCTGTAAAAGTAACTAAAAGTAATTTTGAGAAAATGTTGAACACATTATTGCGAAACGTTATATGTTTATAAAATTTATTAGAATTTTATTTTCATTATGCGTCATAATATATAATAATCATAGATCTTAAATTAATAGTTTTATTTTTTATTTGTGAAATTTTTCACATTACGACGTAATAAATAATTATCATATTAATTTTGTTTAATGTATTTCGATAAAAATTATATATTTTTTTTTAAAAATCACAATACAAGGTTAATATTATGTTACCTATATTTTTAACGTGTTTATTTGTGTAATTTTGTTTTAAGCACTGATATAAGCTTTTGAATTATAAACAAATCTTTTAAGCACCATGAAACTCTACCTGAGACCACGTTAAACTTCGAACAAATCCAATAATCTCTACTTTGACTTGACAAAGATTATTGTTGAAAGTTTATTAGTAAATGTTGAGCAAAATCAAACGTTCTACATACATATAAAAAAAAATGTAATGCTGAAAGTTCATACCATAAAACAATAATATGGAACAATATTTTCTGTGCTTAAAATGTCTAATCATTTTTCTTTTTCCCAAACTTTTCCCGAAAATAGACTGTTGGTAAAGAAAAAATAGGAAAACAAGTCAATTATTCGGTGCGCAATACCCTAACATTTTGGGCAGTGTAAAAAATATTATTTTCACGATAATTTTCCCTACATTGAATGGTCATAGTATGACAATGAATACTTAAAATGAAATATTATTCATAATTATGTAGTTTTATAATTGTAAATTTGCTATCATTAAATTTAAGTTAGTGTGATCTTTATTTGGACAAACATGAGTTGTAGTATTAGACTTATAATTTATTTTTAAATGTATAACTGTAGTTTGCCAGTAATGATCGGCAAAACATAAAATAATTGATCAATTTAATACTTATGTTAATTGTTAAAACTGGCGGTTTTGGATAATATTATAACTAATCGAATATTAGGTATCGGTATATACTTTACTAATTGTATTTCTATAATTATAACTATTACAAACGCGAATGTACAGAGTTCAATCAATTCCAGAAATATAGTTAATCAAGGTAATTTTATTAAGTCAACATATTAATTTAATTTTGGTTTATTAAAGTTAGCAAGAGACGAAACTGAGATACTTAAAGTTTAATAATATAATAGTTTAAGATAGGTTCAGATTCTGCAAAAAATGCAACAACTTTTAGTAAAAGTTAACGCCTATTTTTATATTTTATTTATTATTACAATTGCTAATAGCAAACAGATATTTTCAAAAGACATCTTGCATACCT